GCGCGCTATGCGCGCGTCGCCGCTTCGCGGCAATAATCAGCTCTAAATTTCGTATTAAATCCTACCATCTGTCGGCACGCTCGCAACACGTTGGCGCGACTGCGGCGGTCACTATTTTGTTGTTTATGTTTGTTGAACAAAGAACATTTCTCGGCCTACCGGCTTGTTAAAACAATTATTACTTGGGACTGTTTTTCGGACTGTTTTGTATCGGACTGTTATTTTGTTCATTTTCATACGTTTCCGGACTGTTTTGTATGGGACTGACTGTTTCGTGCAGACACGGTCAGTGCGAGTGGGCATTCCTAGAGTTAGACAAGTTAGTGTTTTGTGAAATAACAGTTGTTCAATTATAAATTAGTAGCATTTTAAACATATAGGTTTACGATCAGAAACGCGAGAAAAAAAGAAGTACTGATCTCGTATCACTGACTGTTAAGTTACAGTTTTCAATTAAACAAGAACTGACTGGTTTGTGGAAAAAGCTTCAACTTTTGAAATTTAAAGAAAAATTATATGCCTTCAAGCTCTTTGAATTTCAAAAAAATTCCTGGTTGGTGCTTTGTTGATAAAATCAACCCAACTTGAGTAAATTCGATCAATGATTTAAATTTTTATTTCTGCTGGATATCTGACCATTACACATTTGCTGTTCGATAGTGGAGTTTACTTTTCTTTGTGCAATGGAAATGAACTGAATTTAAAAATGTATCAAAAGTAAAACGGCAAAAAAATCTAAATTGAGCGTGAACAAATTATCGGAATTTTCATGAAAAAAAAATCACCTAGACCTAAATAGGAGTCTTCGCTATGTTCAATACTCCTATTAAAAGAAAAGGAGACAATCAAGCCGTTATTATCATTTAGAGCTTCTATTCACATTTTTGTATTGATGTTTTTAGTTTATTAGAGAGAATTTTCTGCCGCCATTATACGTGGATGATAGAAGCTTCTTCTTCTCAGACTATTATGATTTTCAGCTTGTTTGATTCCTGCCTTTTGACGTAAAACAGTTTCTTTCTTCGATTTCCAAATAATTTTTTCAAATACTTTTTTATTATTACAATTAGGATAGAAAGATGGTGATTTTGTAGTTGAACTTGTTTAATGTTAGATTATAAATAAATGAGCACGCAGAGATCAGCTGCCTTCAAAAAATCCAATTTTCTTTCACAACTGCCTTTCCACTGATTCATGGAGATAACTTCCGCCCTTTAATCGCTTTTAAGAAGCTCTAAGTGATGTAGGTTTCAGATAAAAGCTCATTTCCTTGCGACTTGGATTGAACTGATTTTACGGAATGAGTTTTACAGAAGGTTATACATAAATTGAATAATTAGCTGAAAACTACTATGAATTGCATATTTTGCATAAATCTTTCTAGGATGTCAATATTTGTGCTGCTGTGTCGTTTTTATCAGTAGCAGTCACTTTCTTTCATGCTCATGATCGAATCGGTTTTTTTAAGTATAAATTATCGCTGATCCCGGTGATATTTGGATTATCAAAGAGCAATTTCCAGACAATGAATTATTTAGTACAATTTTTGGTAAGCAATAAAAATTTGGTTAGTTCACACATCAAAAATAGTAACTTTTAATACCGATATAATATTTGAAAGGCATCATCTTTGGTTTAAACTTGCATTAAAATCTATCTGAAGCGATATTACTTGATTCAAAGCACGGCTTGCGTTGTTTAAAATAAACGAATTTGGTTAAAGTTTCATCAGCCAAAAACTTGAATTTAAGTCAAAAACTTGAAAAAACTTGGTGGGGGTCGTTGAACTTGGTGGGGGTCGTCGTACACTTGATACAGACATGTCTGTCGCTAACGTTGATTGTTGTTGGAAACATGCTGGTCACTGAAGAAATATTCAGGTCGGCTCTGACAGATTTCAAAATTGTATCAACAGCAGTTATTTTTTTTGTTTGTTTGCCCGTACCGAACGAAAAGAAAACGCCCTGAATATTAAGACTGCAAGTTAAGGTCAATTAAAAAGTGTTTTGGTTGAGTGATTGCCGAAATAATCTAATAGGAAACTTTTTTTTTTTAAAAATTTTGTTCATTTCATCTCCCTCGCATGCTATGTAAGATGCAAAGGGTGTTATAAGCATCTCTTATTGTTTTAAAAGTACAGAAATGCTGGCCTCAATTCAATTTGAAACGCGTTTATTCGTCTTTTACTAGTGTTATATGGAGGCATGATTTTCTCGAGTTAATTATGTCAAACTGACCAAACTAGCAATTTTCAACTTTTCAATTATACTCGTTTCACATCGATCGTAAACTCAGGATAGTACGGGGACCAACGTTTTAACAGAACGGTATCTTAGCAGAAAAGTAAAAAATGGTCTTTTAACCAGACTCAATACATAACTTTCTAACCGCTTCTTTTCAAATTGTCTACTATTTTTTTTTACTGATCTTAACTGAATTATTGCGTTGTGGTTTGGTAAAAGATCGGTCTAGTAAGCGGTTGGTCTGGTCAAAGACCTAGCCGCGGTTAGTTTAGTGGTGAGCGCGAAGGTCAAGGGATCGGTCCTCTAGAGAAAATTTCTTTGAACAAAGAGAAAAAACCACTACCAGCTTATTTATTCCTGGCTTTTTTTGAAAGTCGAAACAGCAAGGCGGTTTTTGTCGGGCAAATCCAGCAAGTCCAGCAAATCCAGGGCAAATTAAATGGCGTCGAATATTTTTTGGTTTATGTAATGTTGACAAACCACGAGTTGTTGTGGTCTAAGTGTTTGCATGACCCAATAGAACATTAGTCGAAATTAGTAGAAATTCAAAAAACAGCTGTGAAATCAAACATACTTTCGGTAAAAATCGTGAAATAATTGTCTTTAACCAGACTAAACGGCGTCAATACATCCATTAATCAAATTTGTTCGGCAAGTCTGGTAAAAAGTCTATGTTTTAACTTTTTTTGGTAAAAGATTGTTCTGATAAAAAGTTGGTCCCTGAGTTTTAGGCTGATAATATTAGCATGATGAGTTAGCGTTTGTTTAAATTAGCATTTCAAGTTCTTAAATATGAGTCGTGCATGGAATTAATTGAAACAATAAGATTGCCTCAATTCAATTTGGATTGACTTTGTGCTGCTGGATAATTCTTCACGAGTGACTATAGCTCCTTACCTTTTCAGTATCAAAGCATAAAACGGGAAATTTTGTTACACTCATTTCTCAATTTTTTTTTGAAAATTGGTCTGAATGTAAAATTTTCCCCGAGCCTATATATTCGTTACTTTTTTTCAAAATTTGGGACAATATTTTCGAAAACTATCCGAAACGATAGGGAATTTTACAAAATCACTTTCGTTTCATTACAAATTTGGCTAAGTGTACACTGAAAAAAATAGTCAATTAGTGAAAAGAAAACTTGTGTTTTCAAGCTACATTTTTTTAATAAAGGTTTTAAATCAACACTTATGCTACTATTCCGGTCCTCTTATATCATACTCATACTAGTAACGATATCTGTTAATAATTTAAGCCGAATAACAACTCCACGCGTGAATAAAAAGCGCCTTACGCATCAAATTATAAAACGAGAATTTTTGTTATACCCTTTTCTCGTTGTTTTTTGAAATTTGGTCTCAATTAAAAAATTAACCCCTAGTCTATATCTTTTTTACTTTCTTCAAAAGTTGAAACAAAATCTTTTTAAGACCAAACTGGTCTGAATGTAAATTTTCTTTAAAAAATTGCTTTTCGGGGATCTGTCTCTTGACTTTCAAGGGCCACGCCGGGTGTCCACAACGCTCTATCAACCTGACACAAGTCACCTAAACTGCTCGTTCTATATTTTGTTGCTGAAAGTGTAACGCGAAATCTTTACTGGTGACGATTTATCCCACACTACAGAATTGTTCCAATTGAATTGAAATGGTCTTATGAATTGCAAACTCGAATAGCTGTTAATTCTTAAAATTTGATAGTATCAGCTTTAAATTCGTAAGGTTTTTATTTCATTTACCAAAATCTATTCAAGACCAGTTAAAGTCCAGTCGGAACATACAAGGTTTTGCCCTGATACGAGCAGTCTTGTTTCCCTTATTCAAGACTAAGCTATATTTTAGAGCAAATAGTTTGACCTGGTTCGATCTGTGTTTTATTCTGTTCCTTGAGTTGAATTGTGCTTTGCTGCAGTCTGACTCAAAAAGAAATTAATTAAGAAAATAGGTAAATGTATTTTCAGAGTTGTTCTGAGAGAAGTTTTGTTTCAAATTGCAAAGCACCATATACTTAACAAATTTAACCATTTGATTAAAATGTAAAGATGCAATTCCCATTTCAAATCAGAAATCAAATTTGAAATTATTTTTACTACTGATCTCTTGAGAGTTTGGGGCTTTCTTCAATACGTTCATGTAGGTTTACACGTATTATATATTCTTCAACATCATTCTTAACAATATTTGGCATTTAACATGAAACATCTTGCTTTTGATATCTGACTCTTGAACTTGAAGATTTATCTTATATTTTGAAGTCAAAAAGTGATTGTGCTCTAAACGCCCTGCAAAATATAGACAGCATTTGCTTGATATTTACATGATAGGTTACAGATGCCGGTGTAATGATTCATCTCAAGTAAAAGGCCATATATTGTTCTTATCGCGTTTTTTGTTCCGACCACCGAAAATAAGAAGGGAAGGAATTTTAGATTCGGATGTTTTTCTTAAGCAAAGTCAGGTAATATGTACAACAAAGCGAAGTCCTTAGTGCCGAGAGATATCATTTGAAGTCTGTTTAGTTGTATTTCGAGCATGTAAGTTAGAGCATGAAGTCGACGCAATCGAATCTTTCTTTTCTATAGGTATTTATGTGAAGCGCCTAAATTATAAACATTGAACCATTATGTCAGCTTTTTGCTATTTTATCGGGAAGACGAATTGTACACCCCTACCCTCGAAAATAATAATGATAAATTTTGTTTCTGTGATGCGCAGACGATCTATGAAAGGCTATCCAGCCTGTCTGAGTATAGTCCGTTCATCCTAATTCCCCACATTCCAGACTGAGCTATCTTGTTGAGCGAAGCTCTTTTTTTGCAACTCAAGGTTGTTTTTTTTTGCGTCTAGACTTTTCTCGTGGTACCACTATTGCAGCCGAAAGCGGTCAGGCTGTGGTAGACCTGAAGCTAGAGGTTGAGTGAGAGCTCGTCCTTACACTATCACTGCCATGGCAGGGGATCGAATACACAATCTTACGGTCTTAAAGTGAACGAATACCAATAAACCAAAACATCTTAAAAAATTCGAAACAAAAATATGAAAAAGCTTAAATGGATGTGGTCGGAACACTTAAATGAACTTGCGCGGCATCTAATCATTGAAGCTCTTGCATTCATTCTTCTCAAACTTATTTATAAAAATTAGACATCGAATTTGGTCACGCATGCTTCTCCGATCATCAGTTTTAATTGGCTGCCGTTCATCGCCCCTGATGTTTGGCCATTGCCTGTGTAATCATTTAGAACTATTTCTTCTGTCTTCATTTGGCCCTGAACTCCTCCTGAAACATATCACCTTTATTCGACCTTTATTAAGCGTTGAATGAAATCGTATTTGACAGAATTTTTAAATGACATCAACAAATCTACAGCAATGGTAACAATATTGGAATCTATATATACAATAAATTACCACCATATAAAAAAAGTTTGTTTTTTGTTCAGTCTTTGGAAATTTTACTTTTGTTAACCCCCTGCCCCTCCCATGGTTTAGGGGAGATGATTTTTTGACAAACAACTTTGAGTATAACCCAAGTTGAATCAGTTAGCAGTTTACTTTTAAAAATTACTGAAAACATTAATTTATGCTATTAAAAGTATAAAAATGTTGCAGGCCAATTTAATTTGTGCTTTTGTCTACAGTGCATATTCACAAAATTCTTTTCAAAATTATTACTTGGCTAGGCGAAAGTTCTACTGTATGTCATTTAGGGGCAATATTGTACCATTAAACCGCTTAAAAAAGTCATGCGATGTTTTGCCCTTTTATATTTTGTGTTCTAGCTAGTTTATCATGACCAATCGATTAACCAATTCAACCGGATGGTTTCTTAAAACTAAATTGAGATTTTACATTTAGGGTTTGTAAGTTATATCATATCCACTTCTGCAATTTGATACAATAACTATCAAAGAGTTCTTTTAAAAAAATCAGTCAGCTTTTACTCTTCTAAGATTTTATAAGCGATTTTATACTCTTACTTAAACGAACTTTTTAAGTCGTGATTTTGAAAGCAACAAATTTTCACTTTGTTCATGACTTTAAAAACTGACTTTAAAAAAGCAAAAATAGATATGCTAGTGGTAGTTTTTCTATTCAGACCAAAAAATTTGCTCACTTGTGGATAGATCAACGTCGGCTCCGCCGAGTGCTCACACTAATCCATTCACCTGGTACGAGTCTATCTCAACTGCTCCTTTTATTACTAAATGCTGAAAGTGCCCTACGTATCATCCCAAATTAAATCGTGCCCTATCTAAACAATTTTATGAATTTTGTTTGATGTTTACACAAAAATTTAATACTAACCCTGATTGTGGGGGTTGTGATGGTGGTTGTTATGTTGTCGGGTGGGTACTTGACCACTTTGTCCGCTTCGATCCTCTCCTTCTCCGCTCTCATTTTCGTCATCTTCTCGGTCGCAAGATACCTACATGTATGTCTGTGCTTGTTAAGTGTCAAATAAACAAAATGAAGACTCATTCAGGTCGTGTGGTATTTTATTTTTTTTTCAGAACAAAATTTTAACTGTTGTTCACGCTTGAATTTAATATTTCACGGTTTGACTTTTGAAGTTACGTATTGATACAGTTGTCTGAATTTGAGTTAGTTTTATGAAAAAGACATTTCTAAAGATAAATAAAAAGAGATTTTTGAAGATGATAGTGATTGTTTTTTTCTTTGAAATTCAAAAGTTGAAATTTTATTTGAAAGCAAGTTATTTTTGGTCTCCTTGAACTTATTGTCACTTGAAAAACTGCCTGTTGGCTGTGACAAACAGATTAAACTTAATTTTCATATTTTGTACTTTATTCCACGGATGCTGTAAAAGCAGCCAAAAATTTGTGAAACAAAACATCTAAAATCAATGCTCCAAATTTCATGAAACTGAAAAAGTGGAAAAAAATCTCTGTTGAAACATAGATAGACGTAGATAAACATAGATAAACGGATAGACGTATCGGAGACATTAACAAGATAAATGAATACATACATCCTCTTCTGGCGCGAAATCACAAGACAAACTGGAAACTGTACAGTTGCTAGTTGTGATGATAGCATATAGAAATGGGTTGACAGCCGCATTCGCATACGTGAACACAATCGCACTCTCCATCCAAAACTCAGAGCAGTGGTAGTTTAGAGGGCTGAAAATAGCTCGGAAGAGGCAGAGCCAGAAAGGAAAGTGAAATAGCCAGAAAAGAGCTACTAAAGCCGCAAGCATTCGGAAGATTCGACTCTGGTGGATTGTGTTGCTGGATACAAGCGAAAGTACCGATTTGGTTTTGAAGATGATCACTGTATAGATTACTCCGATCAGGATTCCTAGAAATTCCAAAGCAGTAAATTAGAAGGCCAAGCGGTAATTTAGTATTTTAAAAAATAAACACGTTTTAAGAAATAAACAGAACTGGTCTCGAAATGTCTGCTTTTTGGACAAAATCAAGTTTATAATTTTAATAATTTTGTAGCTTGTTTTGTGTTTAAATTTTTTGTTTTAATAACAAAGCTTACCTGGAATGCAGTAAGTTGTGGCAAATAGTACCGAGTTGTATCGGATTCCGACCGACTCTGAGTATGTTGAAACACATGCGATTACGTTACTATGGAGCTCGGCGTAAAAAGCAGCGGGCAGAGATATGACGAAAGCAAACAGCCAAATAAGCCCACAGATTACAATTTGAGGCTTGGCTTTGCTCTCTCGGGTCAAATGGCCTCGATCGGTGACCTTAACTAGTCGCTCGTAGGACATTGCTAGAATTGTGAGACTTGAAATTTGTAGGAACATTATATCGGCGGCATTGAAAATTTTACAAAAAGGAGTGTTTGCTATTGAAACAAATCGGTCGTAATATCTGAGATAGCAGCCTGTAAATAATAACAAAAGGTCGGCTGTAGACATGTTAGCAATGAGAACTATAGTTCGGGTCAATTTGTGACCAAAAATAATGGTAATAAGAACGGAAGAGTTTGCTAAAATACCCATGAGAAATATAATCGGATATGTTACTGAGGCTCCCTTTGCCGTCTCTTCGACTTCTTGCTGCTCATAGTTGATCTCAGTCGCTGCCAGTCCCAGCACTAAGGTGTTGTCGGCCATGGGAACTCCTTGAGAGTCCATATTAATATTGGCGCATAGGTTAGAAGCATACAAGTCACAGCCTAGGTCTAGGGTCCGACTCTTCTAAGCGCTTTGTTTGATTAGATTTGCTCTCAATCGAAGTTAGGATTGGGATCCAGCGCAAATATAGATTTGTTCCATCTTCAAATTTAATCCATTGAATGGTTTCGTTGAACTGCAAAACTAAAAGTAGAAATAAAATTGATTTCAAGCTGCTTTCAAATTTCAGCAAAACGCATTTTTACAGGCGTCTTAATTACGCTTGTCGTACAGAAATTTAACAATTAAATATTGTTGAGATTTAAAGGAGGCGATCAAATGGTTTTTATTCCAATTGGTCTAAATTTGAATGCTCTCAAACTCGATTGTTTTAAATTAGTTGTAATTTGAACAATTTTTTTGCAAATTATTATCCTTTTTGGGGTTCTTCAGAATTTAATTTAATTTTTATTCTTTATTAAAAATTGTTGAGAATTTTGCGGAAAAAGAAACATGGTTTATGGAAACGAAGCGCTCAATCTGGACAATTTATTAACCCTTATACCCTTAAAATCACTGATGCATTAAAAAATTATAAGGAGATGTCATGGATTGTACTTTTCTAGGCTATTATTGAAGACAAAGGAAGGGGGAAGAATGAAAGAAACTTAAATTAGCCAGTCAGAATTGGTTAAAATTTAATTTTTGAAAAGAATGAAGAAAAAAACTGAAAATCAGTTTTGGGCAGTTCAAAGGCTAATGATTGGTTATCTGTGAGGTCATATGAACAAGTACAGCCCTATGCCGAGTATTTTACACGTAATGAATGCGTTTTAATTATCTCTAGCTACAATTAAGTTCATTCTAAGTTAAATCAAAAACGAAAGCTACTTTTACCATGTAGATGTCTTTGTAGATGGTAAAAATAAATGGAAAACTCATCAGGACTCTTCGCTAATAGTAAAATACAAGAAGCAATTTTCCATTTGTGACCAAAATTTCAAACTGCTGTTTTTCCTACCAACTCATTAAGGGTTGGGCAGGGACTGTTGAAATACTCTAGCGATTGAAAACTAATTGTCTATTTGTTAGCTGTATTTTTTAATGCATTCAATTTGCATGGCCCTTTTTTCTAAAGCGCAAATTAATCTGCCCCTCAAAAATGGTGAAAAAATTACACACGGCAATCAACAAACGCCAACGCTTGACTTTTTTTAGCATATATTCTGCCCTCAAATTTTTCCCTCAAATTAGTTCCGAGTTGTGCTTTGAAATTACTAGGAATCATTTTTTTGTCTGTCTCTGCTTTAATTCAGATCAAATGGGAAAAATCGATTATCCTCAAAGTTCAAATGTTTGACTAATGTTACTTTTCTGAAGCTGTTTAGACTATGTGGCATTAACCCAATGGCGCCAAGCAAGTCAATTTAAGATAGCAAAAAGCTTACAAAGTTGTTAAATGTGTCAATGAAGCTTATTGGATCTGGCGAAAAACAAATCCTTAGAAAATGAAGACAAAAATGGATTTTTTTCCTGAAAAAAGTTACTCTTTAGCTATTGTTTGTATCCCGAAAAAATTTTTGTCGAAAAGTTTTTTTCGTTCTAATTGTACTTGAAATGGATAATCCTTTTAAAGTGCGTTAATACGCATGTTCAATAGTTTTGATTAAAATGTTGTATTTTAAACAGACTTCAAAGTAGGCGTTTCAAATGCACAGTCAGTGATCAAATCTGAGAATTTAATTGTTAATCTGATTTGTTTCTGCAGCTCAGAAAGTTCCTCTTTGTGTAGTTTCGGCGCCCATCTTTCGTCAATATCGGCGCTCATCTTTCCATTAGATAATTCAAGTAATGAAAAAGTTTTTAAAATATTTTTCATATACTAGTATTTAGAATTTGGATGTGAATGTTTGGACCAGTTTGTCAGTTCGCGAGAAATTAACAGAAGATAATTTTACTGTTGCCTAGGTCTATATTTTTTGCGGTCACTGAAAAAAGTCAAAGTGTGAAATCTTTGCTTACACTTGCGAAAGCTAGTGTATTGAAATCGGGTATATGGTTGCTTACAGATTTCATCCGCCAACATAATTAGCATATCAATTCCTGCTACTACTTTCCCCCTCTAAGCATAGAGATAAGGCACATGCTTGGGACGACAACAGGGTGTGGCTATATTCCGAACAGAAGCCCAACTTAGTCGTTTATGCTCTTATCGTTTGTCGGCTTTGTTTCAGCAGCACAAATTTTACGGATTTAAACAATTTTTACAATAACTGAAAGTAACTGTTCCGACTTTCGTAATGACAGTAACGGAATATTTGCGCCCGGGTGGTTTTTTTCTTCAGACAAATTTCGATTTTTTAACTAGCCACTTTTGACGGTATTTTCTATATCATTCAAAAAAATTTAATTTTACTTTATTACATTTAAATTTTTCATGTTATTACTGCTCCATGTACGTTAAAAGGCAGTCAAATGTTCAGGTCTTCGCTCTGATTCGAGCAGTTTTGTTTTGATTTGCTAAAAAAAACTAATTGATGGAACGAACTATGTATTAGACAGTGTTTTTCCTCCCGATTTTGACAACCTCAGTGCAATCTTAAAGTTGTTTAAGTGGTATCAGATTAAAACGCTATTGGGATTCAAAAAAATTTCGAGAAAACTGGTTTGAATTTTGCCTCAGTGTCAAAAAACGGGTGCAATTTTTTTTCCATTTTCAGGGTTGTCAGACTGGAAACTTCCGGCTGTTTCCAATCTAAGTATTCTGAGACTTGTTTTTTTATTTTTAGCTATCATTATCCAATTCAGTCCCCTTTACAAACTAAAAATTAAACAATAACCTCCAAAAAGGCAACTAGCTATCCTTCTGGTAAATATGTGCTAATTGAACGCTGTTAACTTTTAAAAATTACAAATCCATCATACTATATTTTTAATGGGAGTTTTAAAAGCAATTTAGTTTATCTTTTTTGTGTTGTTTTAGATGACGAGACGGAATCAAGGAAATCAAGCTCAGGTGAGTTGTTGAATTTATTACCGCCCTTGATTGATAAAATAGTTTTTCACCTATTTATTGTGATCTGGTATGAAAAATGTGACAAATTAGGTAATAAACAATTAGAAAACCCCTTTTAAGATCTTAGGTGAGATCTTTCAACTAAGCCATAGTTTAAATTAGCATAATAAGTTGACGTACTTACGATGAATGTGGCACGTTTTGCCCCACACTTATTTCGCTTTTATTGGCACATTTCGCCCCTCACACGTTTTGCCCTTAAAGTATTATACAATTAACTAAACGCTGCTTTCATAATTGATAATTTGAGGGGCGAAATGTGTGGGGGCAAAGTGTGCCAATAATTTTATTAGGGGCGAAATGTGTGAATACCACTTATAATATTATAGCTCACTGAATAAGAAATCTGAACATGAAAATATATCAGTTGTAGATCGTTTCTTGGTTCGGGAAGTATATTTGATCTATCCATGAAAATTTTATGTCCATTTTGATTCTGAATACGCAAACCGGCCACGAAATTACAGGCTAAATACTTTCGAAATTGGTACGATTTTTCATTATACAGAAAATTTCAGGGGCGGAAAACTCAGGAACTGAGTCATCCCGTACAAAACTGCGAAAAGCCAAGGCAGCAATTAAACTCGGTTTACCGAAGTCCCAGCTACAACTTGTATCCGACATAGTAACTTCTGATGACGGTAACATTATAATCGTATAAACATAATAAAGAGTAAAGCTGATCAGGTTTAATTTCCGTTCCAATATTGATTTTTTTTGCGTTTTATTGATTTTTTTCTTATTCCACCTTTTGAAGTACTTTTCTTTCTCTTTGTTTTCAAAGTGCATTATTTGTTCTATTACTTTTTGTGTTCGGCGGTAGTTGTTGATAGCACGCAAAAAAGCGCCACCCGAAAAAAGCCTTACGGAATTTTTTTTTTTTAAATTTTTTTGTTCATTATTATTAGATGGATCTCACGATTGCATGGCAAGATCTCCCATATGCTTTTGTTTTGTGCACAGAAAAATATCTGGTTTCCAGTTTCAAAGTATTCACCTGATGTCAAAGCTATTTTTTTAAATAGTGATGTTAACTTTTTTGTGCTATTCTATAGAGTAATCTAAAGGTGACATTTAATTCAATTTAAACAGCTCACTTCACTTTAATATAATTTAGACTGACTAAGCTGTCAAGATCTCAATGTAAACCACATGCTTCGCATTTTCATCATGAAATTCGTTATTCTCAGCAATTAAAATTTGTTTAATATCTAGTTTTACCGTGCTTGTCAGGCTCCAGGTCAATTCAAAGTGCCGCTTCTAAAGGCGGCTACAAAGGGATCCGTCGTCCCAGTCAAAAGTTATCAAGTGTGAAAGCACCTCCGCATGCTGACGAGAATTCGCCGTCAGACCTTGATGAGACTTCTGACCAAGGTGGATTTTGCAGAAAAAAAACTTTTATTTGCTAACTTTCGTTATTGTTTTGTTCTTCTCAAACTAATTTACGCTTGCTTTTGATTGAGTTAGTTTTAACTTGATTGTTTGATATTGAAAACCATCCAATTGTTCAGACCAGTTGAAAAATAGGGAGGAATTTTGTAATCGGGTGTGCTTTAATTTTTCCTTTTTTTTTCCACGCAAAATCAGGTACCAAAAGTAATTATGATAATGGGCCGAGTTATATAACATATTAAAGCCCTTTCAGTTGTGAGTCGAACGACATTAAATTTCCCAAATTTTTTCCTAGTATCGAAGAAAAAAGGTTTAAAATTTTCGATTTAAGTCTAAATTCGAGCGAATAATGCGAGCGAGCAGGCTTACAATAGCTTATTTTTGATTAATTTAGGCCGTGTAAATTTGCTTTTTGTCAAGTAAAGTTGTTTTTGGACTAAAGTAAGTTTTTGGAGCTAGTAAGTTTGGTTTAGCGCCATTTGGAAATCAACTTTTGCCAATTTTTGTCTATATGACTATGACAGTCAAATATAAGTTCCAGTTTTTCATAAAGATCCTTTTATCACACCACGCAGAAAATAAGTACACTATTTTGAAAAAAAAATTTGCGAACAAATTGCCCCATATTGATTCTCTTGAAATTTTAAGCAGGTTTTGTTCTCATCATTTTTGTCTTAAGTCAACCCAATTAGAGAAAAACGCATTATAATTTTCAAGTTTTATGCGTTTAGGCCGGATCATTTAAATCAGCATTAGCTATAAATTTGTCTAAAAAGTAAAATTTCAAACCAGTTTTTTTCTCAAAAAATTAAGTATCGATTGAATCACGACTAAAAGACCTTGAATATCATTCATCATCCGACATTGTCTAAAGTCCAACGATTAATCGTATTACTTAATTTTGTGTGGAAAAAACTTGAAAAAAAAAAACAGACTTAAGCTCAAAAAATTTTCACCTTGTGAATAAGCACATTTTTGCTTTTATTGTGACTCTTGAGCTTAATTTTAGCTCAACCCTAGATTTTAGTCTTTATCTGCTCAGTTTTTGCGACCACTTTTTGAAAAAGCAGTTGTTTTTTTACTTTGGAATTCGAAAGACTCGAAGAATTGAAAAGTTGTCTAAGGATTCATTCTTTTTTTTGAACATTTTTATCATATAAAACTAAAGATGACACTGATATTGACTAGCATTTGCAATATTCAACAAAAAAATGGCGCCAAATTGTTTTTGTAACTTAGTGAAAGAAAACTAAGAAATACTGAAATAACTTCGATCCGTATTACAATCGGTGCAAAATTGTACATTACTGTCAAACGATTATTTTTTGTACCTGTTTTTGCTTTAAAAAAAGTTTTTTTAAAAAAAAACAGACCTGAATTGAAAGTTCCTTCCCCCTCGTTAACTTTAAATTAGGGTGTCAAAAGACTCGACATAGTAAATAGAAGGTAGTCAGACTTGAATGTTCCGGCGGCCCCTTAATCGGTGTCGAAGAGTCTTATGGTTGGACAATCATAAGTTTTAGACAATATCAAGCATCAAGTTTGTGAACGTTTGACACAGAGGCGAAGCTTTGATGCAAAAATTTGAAACTAAAAATGAGAAATGAATTCAAAATTCTATTTCGTGAGTTTTTTTTAATATAGGCAGTAATAAATAAATCAAAAATATACATGCAAAAGTTTAGTCCAGCTGCAAGTAACTTGGCTGCACTGCATTAAACTGCTCATAAGACAAGCGTTGACAACTTTTGTAAATCGCGCAAAGCTAAAAAAATCCATGAACCATTTTTTTTCGGATATAAAATTATAAACACAAATGCATATATTTTTAATGGCCGAAAACAAAGAACTATAGAAAAATTTTCTTTGATAAAAAATTAAAAACCGAAAACTAATTTGAAAAATTTTTTTCCCCAAAAGTTTTTGCAAGAAATGCATTCTACAAACTAACTTTTGACCGGCTCAAAAAGTGCCCAGAAAAAACTCGAATAAAAATACGATCAAAAATTGACACTGAAGAACTTCATTCACATTAACTATACAAAAAATTACGCAAAAAGTTCATGCGTACAATAACAAAAAGAACTTAACTAACGCCGGTTAAACTACTAAAATTAAAAATGGTTTCAAAATTATTTTTCAGACTTACTTTTTTGAATTTAATTGAAAAGGGTCAGTGATGTTGGCCTAAATTTTTTAAAATTAGTTGTTCGGGTTCAATCATTATCGTATCAAATCAATGAAATAAAGAAAAAGAAAACAGAGAAATTAATCTGACCGAATTAAGGCCGAAAGCACCCACAATCAATACCACCAATTTCAGTCATCCTGTGAACAAAGTTATTAACGTAAAAAAGTCTAGTACCCGTTGCAATACGCTTGCCTTTCGAAAGAGTATAAATTGCTAATCTAATAGGATCGATTAGTTTGGCTCGATTGAATTTGGAATGATTTGTAGTTTGGGATGATTCACCACGCATCAAAAAATTTTAATTTTTTTTTTGAAAAATTCGTGCTGAGGGAGTCGATATCTTCAATCAGGTATAAAATTAACTTCATAAAAAACCGTTGTTTTGGTCGCCGAATTTTGACTGAGCAAAACAACACCCAAGCATAAACAATCCGCATTTTTCAAAACTCGGAACAATAAAATTGAGTTTTATTTCTTAATTGCAAATTAAGGCAAGAATCGTTTTTTTTTACGTGAGCTTAGAAGTGCGGAAGAAAAACATACTGTGTTAATGTTTTGCTCCAAAAGTTTTCTTTGTTTTTTTTTGTGGCTCCGATTAATTTTTTGACCACCCTTTTTGTTCCGACTTTCGATACGAAAGTAACGGAATATTTGTGCTCGGGGTGGGTTTTTTTTTCTTCAGACAAATTTCGACTTTTTAACTAGCCATTTTTGACGGATTTTTTTTTATCATTCGAAAGGTAATGTTGTCCTGAGCTTAAATTTGAAAAGATATTTCACCTGTGATCATTTTTCGTAAAGTTTCGGGGGTTTAAAGATTGTCATTTTGGCTAATTTGGGACAAATAACGCGCGACAAATAGTGAGCGGAGAGTTAATCCGTCTTAGAAATCGTTCCAAATTGGTTGAAAGAAGCTTATTTGCCATAATTGATTTGTTACAGGGGCGAAATCTATCCTTTTGTACTTAATATGGCGTGTGGGGGGATGATTTTTATGAAAAATTTCAAATTTTCATGAAAATAGTCAAACTTTCATTTTTTTTATTTCATTTAATTTCTTAAATGTTATTACTGCTCCATAAACATCAAAAGGCCGTCGGAACATTCAGGGCTTCGCCCTGATACGAGCAGTCTTGTTTTCTTACTTCTTGAAGACAACTAATTCAAAGGAGGTTGAAATAATTCGGGTTTCGTTCTGATACGATGTTTCTTTTTTTTTCTTTTCAAAACGGTAGATGGACGGGGTGTAAAAATAGGAAAAATTAGATATCCTTAAATAAAGGTTTTCTTCCTAACCTGGTGCTTGATTGTGATTGACACTTTCATGATACCTTCTTCTGGCCTGCTTTTAATGGACTGAAACCCCCGATTTTCTCGGCAGATGAATTAATAAATAAATCATATGACAGTTGAGTCAATATTCACAATTACCTTTCTAGATTTTATTCTCTCTCTGTTCAAGAGGTCTGTTTAAGAAAATACCTCAGATGTAACTTCCTCTAACAAGAACCTTTAATTCGGTTTAATTGATTTTTCTGAAGATTTCTATCCCTTGAAAGACTTCAAAGAACTGACATTGCAAAGAGGCTGAATTGTGAAGCTTTTTCCGCAAATGTTACTAATTATTAAACAAGAAACGAATTCGAGTTGAACAATTTATAGATTAAAGAAAAGGTAATTTGAAATTCGCAGCTAAAACTTCGATTGAAAATTGCTCATTATTCAAAATATTATAATAATGGTTTGACGTTTTTGAAATACGCGCTTTGTTTCAGCACGTCACGCGGGCAAGGAAGACAAAAAGTCAGCCAAGTCTTCAAATAAATCAGATGAGGACAAGTTAGAGTTCCCTCAGGACGGAAAGGTACTTTTAATTTGAACCACTTTGTCTAAACCCGTATAACAAAAGAGAAAAGATGCATTTCTTGCTTTAGTAATTGTATTTGATTACCCTTTGGATTAGGTCATTATAGGGCCGGATATTTGTTACTAGCTAAGAGGAGAGAAGAATGTGTAACGTTTATTCTTATAAGGAGCAAGACCAATATCGTCTCTCAAACCGTGTACGAAAGCGTAAATGGTTTTCAAAAAATGTTTTTAATGTGTTTTCGCTCTATCGACTTTTTGTATCGAAAAAAATCTAATTGCCATTTAATTGAAAAAGAAAATTTTCTTCGGGCTAGTTTTTTTATTATTTTCTTTTGGACCAGTTTTTTTGTATAATTTGACTTTTTGAATGAAAAAGAAAATTAAAATAAAAACAAAAATTATGCCTGAAGCAGATTCTGTTTTGAAGTTGAATGTTTTAGTAGTGTTGCTTTTTATTTGCTGTTAATTTTTTTTTTTGCATTTAACCCTGCCCCCCAAAATGCCTGAAGAATAATCAAACCTCATTCGTAAGACTCGATTGCAACAATAAGAGCTGAAATGTATTTCCCAGGGGGTGATCAAAAATGTATTGAGATTGGTATAATAATTGGTTGAATTACTGTATTTAATTATTACAAGTACAAATATGTAGATTTCTCTGCCTACTTGCCAGTTTATTCATATAGCATACGAAGTGACTTTTTTAGTCTGCTTAAATATCTGGTTATATTTCTCTGCTCTACATCTCTTGGATGTATTAAGGTTAAATTTTATGGACTCCAACTTCAAAGCTTGATTCGTATAAGAACTTAATTATACACTACAGCGCTGCTTTAAATTATCCGGAAAAAAAAACGAATAAAACTTGAAATTTAGAGCGCGCCGTGTTTGCACAAAAAATACGGAATTTAGACGAAAAATGATGTAAGCAAATGTTCTTAGAGTTTTGCAGTATTGTTATGGGGTATATTTTCAAAAAAATATTGTGCCTAAATTTTCAACCCAAAAACGATCATTTCTGTTTTTTTTTGTCTCATCGATTCGTCCGGATTTGAGCTGTCTTGCTGTTCCGACTATCGAAAAGTATTTGACTCGGGTTGGCTTGACTTTTTAACTAGCCATCTTTGACAGATTTTTTAACTATCTGAGAAATTTTGAAAATCAAAGCTTAAAAATATTTTAAAAATATGTTTTACTTTTGGGATTAATTTTTGTAAGGTTTACCACGGAATGAATTTGGGACTACTTTGACTAGTATAATTCAAATTGGGCTAATTGATTTATATTTTGTGCTACTGAAAAGCATCAGCGGCAGATTAAATAGCTTCAAGTTGAATTGAGGCTTGCACATGAAGCAAATACATTCCTTTATATTTTACATAGCGTGTGGGGCATAAACATTTGAATCGAAAATAAAACAAAAAAAAAGAAACAATTTTTAATAATTTTTTTTTCAATTGAAGTTAAAGGGCAGTCTGAAAAATCTATGTTTGGGCATAATGCGTGGTGCTGTGTTCTTTTTCATTTTATCTGCATTTATTTTAGGGTTTTAAGGTTTTCTTGCATATGTATGTGAAATATTGATTCACATTTTCGTCTACTATTTTTTGCGCGTTTTAAGCGTTTACTTTAGTTTGGGAAATGTTTATTACGTTCTAGTTATCAATCAGAATAGTGTAACACTGTTTCTATTTCTAGAAACAATACAGTGTTCCATTGATTATCCACTTGAGGGCCGATCAGGAGACGACAATATTATGACAATTTTGACCCAACTGAACTATTTTTTTTGTTTTAATTTTTTTTCAACACGCATTTAGTCCAATATTTTGCACCATAGTAGCGGTAATTTTGAGAACTGATTTGAACCCAACTGAACAGTCGCGTTTCGTACAGTTTTAAATTTTTTTGTTCCGACCATTGAAAATGGGGAGGAACTTTGTATTCGGGCGTGTTTTAGTTTTTTTTTCAACTTTCTCTTTTCCACGCAAAATCAGCTACCACAATTAATCATCGGACAGGGTTGAGTTATCTATCATAAAAAAGCCCCTTTCAGGCGTGATTCGAACAACCTTAAAAATTTTTTAAAAACTTTTCACAGTGTCGAGAAAAACCGGTTTGAAGTTTTTGATTTTTGTAATAATTTTGAGTTATGACCTTTGGTCTATACTCATAGAGTAATTTCAAATAAGGTACACCGTCTGTTCGTCACGCTATCTTATTTTCGGCCGGATAGTTTCGTGCAACTTCTTAGTCTAATACCAATCTTAATCTTTTTTTTTCATATCTCCTAGTCTCAAAAGATCTAGTGTATACTGGTTTTCGCGAGTTAGTTCTTGGAGTTTATCCAGAAGGAGAAGAACTGTAGTCTAAGATTTATTCAAATTGTTCTGGTGCTGAAACTGCAAGTAGTTTCAGCTCTTACAAATAAGTGTCAAAGTTAGAGATGGAATATGATTGGTTAGTTAGTAATATTTTATTAGGATAGTTTTATCAATAATATAATTGTTTTTATATCCAATTATAAATAATAGTTTAGAACTGGTTCCAATTTCGAGCTAATTAGTTAGGTAGTTAGTAATTGCAATAGCTTACTTAAGCTTATTTCAAAACGTGGAAACTTAGTTTTACTGAATTAAAGGTAGTTTTTGGAGTTTTTAGCGCATTTTTGGGAATCAAAAACTTGAAAAAGCACCAAAAAATTTCCGCAAAAAATTTTGTAAACTTTTTTGAAATTTTTTCAAAATGTTTTTTGTTTTTCATTCTTCAAAAACTGTTTTCCAATTGACTTGTTTTACTATTATTTTGTTCAGCTTTTTTATCACAACATGCAATAAAAAAAACAAAAACGACACCAATTGGAAAAAAAATGATTTTTGTGCTTTTATTAAGACTGTGGTCCGAACTTTTTGTGCTACTTACACAGTAACCGGCTGTCCTTGTTTTCTCTTGGGTTTGGAAAAGTAATTTTTAGTCGAAACTGTTATATCATCCACTCAAATTCCTCAACGAGTAATATAAAATGCAAACAAGACTGCTCGTATCAGTGCGAAGCCCTGAATGTTCCGACTGCCTATTAAGGTCTAGCGAGCAGTAATAACATGAAAAAATAAACGTAATTTTAAAATGATTTTTTAAATTCCGACTTGCGTAAAAAAAGTAATGGATTATTTTTGCTCGGAGTGAATTTTTTTTCACACAAGTTTCGACTTTTTAACTAGCCATTTTTGACGGAATTTTTAAAAATCATTCAAAAGTTATTGTTGTCCTGAGCCTAAATTTGAAAAGACATTTCATTTTTGATCATTTTGTGTAATGTTATATGGGTTTATATATTGCCGTTTTGGCCAATTTAGGACAATTAACGCGCGATATAATCCGTCTTAGCAATGGTTTCCAATTGATTGAAGGAAGCTTATTTGCCATAATTAATTTATTAGCAGGAGCGAAAGCTATCCCTTTGTACTTTATATGGCGTGTGGGGGATGATTTTAGTCCAATATTCCGAAGGTGAACGATCGGAAGAAAAAAAAGCCACCCCAAGCACAAATATTCCGTTATTTTCGTTACAAAAGTCGGTACAGAAAGTGGTTGCTGAGCAAGTAGCATAGAATATTTGGACCAAATTTCGATTGTAATTTATAGGTAAATTTTCAAAGGTTGTTCCGCATTTTTTTTTGAATTTTTTAATTTTCTATCGTTTTCGTAGTTAGTTTGAAATGAAGCCTCACAGTTACAATAGTATTAGCAGAAAATTGTTTCATCTATTGTAAAATTGCTTTTATTGACTTATTCTAGCGATAAGAATTTCTGAATAGCAAAAAAAGAGCAGTTTTTTTTAACACTGAGTGAAAATTTCAGAAGTATTGTTTTTGGAGTTCAAATCACAACTCATAAGGCAGATAACGCTAGACCTTCTTCGATTTTTTTTGACGTGATTGATGTTATGTAGAGTTGTCACCAAAGTACCGTATATATGTTTTTTTTTTTTTCATATTTTTTGAGATTAATTGGAACAAAATTTTTATATCTAGCTCTTTTTTGAGTGTTAGTGGACGAATGCATTGATTTATCAACTAATTAGGTCGGGTAGTTTTTTTCTGTTTGAAGTTTTTTTTCACACTCAAGTTAGATTTTTGCCAGTTCACCTCCTGGTTGTTTGTTAAGTTGATCCATTTCTTTCGTCGTGAGGTTTTCTTGAAATCGTTTTGTGGAAGAACAATTTGAAACGCTTTTGCTATTATTTGTGGCTTACAACTTTTCTCCAAGCTTATAAGTTTTCACTTATACAATTTTTCAGAAAAAACGTTTATGTATGTTTTTTTTCTAGTTATCTCCTTTAGAACAGGTGATCGATCACTACTTTTGAGCTTCAGGGCAGCTAAGTTACTCTGTAACGTACTATAAGTTTTTGTCGATAGTGTCAAAAAGCTGCTATTAAGGATAGAGTTTAAGGTAAGAGCGATTTCTCATTAATTGCCTGATATTCCATATAAAACCCTTAATTTTAAGATGGCTGACCGCTTTTTTCTAACATTTATCTAGCTTTTGCTCAATGAGTTTTCCGCAATTTTAATGTTTTCGTTTGAACAAGAATTTGGATTTTTTTTTTTCAATTTTTCTGCGTTTTCTTTGGAAGCAGTAGTAGATTGATTTTAAGCTTCCATTATAGTTACTAATAAGCTTAGAGTCTGGGAGTCGAAGAGAGTTTCAAATCGAGACTAAAAGCCAAAATTATTCAGACCTTGTCTTCGAGCAAATTTTTTGAAATAACTTTTCGAAACTGAAATTAGACTGAATTGGCTCTCTTTTGATATAACTTTTGATACCCCTACGAGTGTGTATGATATGATAATTTGGCGTGAACGAACCATATCAGGTTTGTGATCGGAATGTGAGTCAAAGTTTTGTGTGTCAGATGTTGATGATTTTGGATGCTCTTTATCAGTCGCGCCAAGTTTGTAAAATCAAGCATCACCGGTTCTGCGCGCCAAAAAAAAAAAAAAAAGTTCTCGACTACAGTAATATAAAAGAAAAACAAATGAAAAAATTAATAATTATCTATTGTTTGTGTTTTAAATATGTGTTTTTGCGTATGTGCAGGATATGAACAAAATCAAGCTTGGTAACATTAATACTGGCTTCAGTTAACTATAGTTTGTTGAAAATTTAATTGAGAAAATAAACGAAAAAAGAAGACTTATTGAGAAAAAAAAACGAAAAAAAAAATGTTCTTGTATTTTTCGACGGTTTTGATTGTAAGTTATCAGTAGCGCCAACTTTTTTTCAAAAAAGTTTAAAAAAACTCTACTTTCTGTTTAAATAGCCCAGTAGGTCCCGACCACAATAATTTAAAACGAAGAATTGAGAAATTTTAAAATTTTTGTTCAATTGAATAGAATAAATTAAGCTTCGAAACTTTATTAATCGCTTCAGTTAGATTCAGCAGTTTTTGCTCAATTGAAAGCAACAATTTTTCTAACTTAAATTTGGTTTTTTTCTTTAAATGTTCGTGCATGGAAAGCCCTTACTCAAGCTTAAAATATTAGTTTTTAATCTAAAAAAATTGATTTTTTAGCTTATAAAAATCTGTACCCTTTTTACTCGTTGACTTCATTTGACTGTTTTTTTTGTATTTTTTTGTATTACCTGTTTTTTTTGTGGAAAGAAAAGTTTAAAAAGAAAGAACTGAAACACCCGAAAAAAAGTTCCTCCTCACTTTTAGTGGTCAGCTAATTCTTGTTGTTTGACTGGAATTTTGGAATTTTGTTTTCAGCTTTGCCATTCTAATTGTGAGGTTTGGAGGCTCAAATCAATACTGCTTTTTCTATTTTATCAGGGCAGCGTTAAAAAGTATTAAATTCCAGTGAGATTAAGATTTTTGAAATATAAATATCTAATATATTTGGTTGGGCAGCTTCAGTCCAGCTAGAGGACTATTTTGTACGGCAATGTTAGGTTTAGCTTGCTGTTTCTAAAATATGTTTGATGTGGTTTTGCTATAAATATTTGTAGGAATAAATATGAAAATAAACTGTGAGCTTACCTTGTTGTTGCTCAAAATGGTATGGTAAAATCTGCAAACATAGGACAGTACGTGATTTAGTATTTCTTATACATTGTATCGACGATCGTAAATTGCAAATATTTTATCTTTTTTATTGGCAGTTTTTGCTCAGAACAGAATCTATGACGGGGCTGAAGGTGGAAGAAACTAAACGTGGAATTTATTTGACCTCTGTTTTAATATCTTACTTTCTAAAACAACAAATTTAAACGTCTTTTTTGTTTTCTTGAGCAACTTACTTCTCTTCAGTAGTACTAAAAGAAATTCTTGAAGGAAATTTTCAACTATTTCTAAAAAAAGGTTTTATTTCAAAATCTTGTTCAAAAAAAATAGTAATAGTAGCTTACCTGGAATTTACCTTCACCGTTAATTATTTTTCCGTAATTTGAAAGGTTAATCTTATTTTTAAAAGACTGAATTTTTTTTATAAGAGCGGCTTTTCTGAACAAAGAGATGTAAAATGCATGATTTTTGTGATGAAACTAAAAGAAATGTTGTAATTGAACGAAAAGAGGAACAAATTGGTCCAATTTTTTATACGTTTTTGTAATCAAACAAAAGTCACTTCAAATATTTTTATGAAACTGAGTTTTATAAGGAAAGTAAAGACCAGAAAAAGGCGTGAAAAGGAAGTTATTTTGAAAGTAATGATTCCTTCTTCTTTCTATAGCGTATTAGGGGTTTCGGTATTGCTGATATTCCCTCTTTATTTTTAAGGGTATGTCAATGCAATCGGCTACAAGTTGCATCTCTAATTCTTATCCCCTTTTGTAAGAACGGGATCGGAAATTAATCTTACTTTCGACAGATTTTGTTTCCTATTGCGAACCCCTTTTGGTGGTATCACTTTTCTTACTTTCATTTCCTCCAATTTTTAACTCAAATCAGATTTCAGGTTCAAAGATAGGTTTTAATCTTGCACCGAGGAAATAAAACTGCCTCGCTCAATCACGTGACTGAAGAAATTGGACCGCAGTCAAAATTAAAACAAGGACACTTTTTTTAATTGATTTCTATCAAATCTGACAAGCGTACGGTCAGTAGCAACAACAGGGCCAATTCTTTAACAAAATTTGTGGAAGTTAAAGTTTTGTCAAAATTTTCACTTGACGAGAAATTAATGAAATTCAAATAATAATCATCTTTCGGTGACGTTTTCCCCAGTTGAATTTCTGGCAGGTTGTTTGATTAATTATTCGCGCTCATTTTACGACATGGCATGTTGTAAATTGCTCAAATGCCAACTTTTTGCCTCCGAATAAATTGAAAACTGCTCTTTTGATGGTTTCTAATTCTCTAACCGAATATATTTTTGACACAGGCGAAGCGGAGCAACGCAACACTAACGACAAAGAAAATTAATTCTTTTCAGTCTTAAAAATGAGTGGAATGAATAATTTTGAAAATAAGCAGTAATTCTTTTTGCTAGCTGTTTTTTTTTGCAAATACATCGGGAAAAAATTCAGCGAAAAAAAACAGCTGGTAAGATTTTTTTGTTCCGACTGCTTTTGAAGAAAATGATGGTTTATTTGTGCTCGGGGTGGTTTTTTCTCCAGACAGATTTCGACTTTTTAGCAATTTTGACGGAATTTTTTATATCATTCAAAAGGTATTGTTGTCCTAGGCTCAAACTTAAAAAAATATTTAATCCGGGGTTTATGGGGGTTTAATGATTGCCAATTTGGGACAATTAACGCGCGATCTATTTCATGCTATTAACGCGTAAGCGGAGATTTCATTTGTCTTAGAAATCGTTTCAAATTTGATCGAGGCATGCTTTTTGGTCTATTTAATTTACTTTGTAAGTGCAAAATTTATCACTTTAAATTAACATAGCATGTGAATCGGATGATTTTCAAAAAAAACCTCAACATTTTTTTTTAATTTTCTTTTTTTTTTGTAAAATTTCATCAATTGTTTTAATTCAAACTTACCCCATAGAAACTAAATTATAGTCGGAACATTCAGGTCTTTGCTTTGATACGAGCAGTCTTGTTTGTTTTAAAACCTAAAGTGTGCGTTTTTGCTTTACTTATGCTTTTAAAAATGTTTCAGGTCTCAAAAAGAGGCTCAGATGTTGACTTATCAGTTGGTGATGTCACCGCTCAGACGGGGACAACTCTTATGCCACCGGGTGATTCCTCGGTCGACACGGCAACAATCAAGCCGAACATCACAGTCGACGGGACAATCAGTGCGCCCATCGACACATCTGGAACCACTGGTGCAAACAATCTGACCTTGGACCAGACAACCCATGGAGGTTCATCGGGCGGAGAAGCTGGTGGGTCGAATAATACTGGGGGGATAGTTCAGGAGACTTCAGGGGATGTTCCCCCCGAAGATGCTAAGGATAAAGGAGTGGGGGATTTAGAGATAACCCCTGTGACAGCTGCGATTGCGAGATACTTGAACATTGATTTGTCACCGGAAGGAAAAGCGTCAGAAAACAGAAGAGGGATTGCTATAGTTGTCTATGGGGCTCCAGAATCAGGTTGGTTTCCGGGATTTTGTTTCTTAAGTTGTAAGACAATTTTTTTAAATGTTATTTTCTAACCAAAATGAAATGGCTAGACATCGTCTGTCATTTTTGACTATAAAAATCATAGCTTTGAGATAAAGAACAAAGCATGATTACAAAAACCAGAACTACCGTCCAAAATTTGTAATTTATTGTGATTTAAATTTTTAAGCTCTGCACTATTTATGCCAGAGAAAAAAATGGTAAAGAATATTTTCAGTTATTAAGTTTACACAAATGAGCTAGACTTAAAAGCGATAACACGTTTGTTTTTACAACTACTTAATTTTTCCATTTTTATTTGCCACAAGCATTTCTTTTCAAAAAAGCAATACATCATCATATTGTGAAAAAATACTTGACAATTGATGTTGTTCTTGCTGATTGAAAGTCAAGCAATCAAGTAGAATATTCAGTTTGCCGTTAATGCAGATTAAATGTCATATAGTCGATTTGTTTTTTATAGTTTAAATTCATAATTTAGTTCAAAAGAAAAAGAAAATTATTTTTGGTATGAAAATTAGGAATACCTGCATCATATTTTATATTTCAAATGGTTTTGTTCAATATCATTTTTTGAGGAGAAAGGATACGGCGGCAATCCTATTTTTCAAGTCATCATAAAATGCGTCTTTTAATTGGAACGGCTCTTTTACGAGAAAATACGGTTTTGTTGACATTAGTTTTTCTCTCTTCCAGGAAAAAGCACAGTGGCTAAATCGCTGGAGTCAAAATACGGCCTGTCTGCTTTGAACGTGGACGAGTTGGTTCTCTCGGCTATGCGATCGGGTGATTCGGCTAAATCGCTTTCGGCCAGACAGCAATGTGCCAAGACCATGTACGACAAACTGCACCCTGAGGGAAAAAGTGCCGAGGAGGAAGCGAGAGAAGCCGGTAAGAGTTTTCTAGAACAATCTAGAAAATTTTAATAATAATTAATTTTGAGTAATACGAATTTTTGTCAAAAGAAGAAACATAAAATGGTTACCAATTTTCCAGAGCATTCTAGAATCTTTCTAAAAATGGTTACTGCCGATTTTTTTTTTAAATTTAAATCGGAAACTCATTGAAACCAATGGCTAAAAAAATGGTATAATAAAGCTATATCTTTAGATTTTTTTTAGCTCAGTTTGTGTTTCTAGGTGAAAAAGGTTTTCTGCTGTAATTCAGAAGCGATGTGACACAGTTATGACAACTTATCCTCACAAAAAAGACAAAATTTGAAAATTCATACGTTTTTCTCAAATTACTTAGAGAGAGAGGAAAGCCTCATCTCCCTGACGCCTTTGTAGGAAGTTTAGACCAACAAACACACGTTGAACATGTTAGATACCCGCTCTAATTGAAATTTTTTTCTCTTGTTTTCACAGTTACCAACTCCATTTGGTACAATTTCCATTTTTCAATGACAGGTATAATTGGCTTCAGCCGGTTCGGAACATATTATATAGACTCAGTAGCTTCAAAGTGCGTCATTTATATGGCAAAAAGTATATATTGTGCTGAGGCGTATCCATAAACTTCAGTTTTTATATGTTTTTATGCTCCAATTCATATGATATTTTTTCGGCGCAGTGGTCGTCTATCTTAGTATTGTCAGCCTAGTTGTCACTTTTCAAATTTTGTTTTAATGCTATGTCTAGGCCGAAAATGATCGTTTTCATCATGGTTGTTCTGAAATAATTTCAATTGAGACAAACGGTGACATATTAGTTTTTAAATTAATTTTTAAAATTTGACTTCTCGCTTATTTGTTTTGTCGGCTAGCTCACTATTCTTTGTTTGTGATGTTTTACAAAAGGTCTGAAGCTCCGTTTTGCCGTTGCGTCGGCTTTGAACTCCGGTTGATTTTTTTTCGGCCAGCTCGGCATGCTGTTTTTGTGATCTATTGTAACTGATCCAAAGCGACGCTTCGTCTCTGTTTAAATCTTGCCCCAAGATCCAATATACACCAGAAAGTGATTGTAACTGTTCCGATTTTTGTAAGGAAAGTAACGGAATATTTGTGCTCGGGTGGGTTTTTTTTCTTCAGAGAAATTTCGACTTTTTAAATAGCCATTTTTGACGGAATTTTTTAAATATCCATTCGAAACGTATTGTTGTTTTGAGCTTAAATTTGAAAATATACTTTACCTGTGATCATTTTTTGTTAAGTTATGAGAGTTTAAAGATTGCCATTTTGGCCAGTTTGGGACAATTAACGCGCGATATATTTCACGCGATTAACGCGTGAGCGGAGATTAAATCCGTCTTAGAAATCGTTCCAAATTGGTTGAAGGAAGCTTAGATGCCATAATTGGTTTTTTACTAGGAGCGAAATCTGTCTCGTTGTACTTTATATTTCATGGGGGATGAGTTTCACAAAAAACCCCAAATTAAAAAAAAAATCAGTTAAATTTTTTTTATACTTTATTTTTTTTTCTTGTTATTACTGCTCCATAGACCTTAAAGGCAGTCAGTCGTAAGATTCAGGGTTTTGTCTTGATACAAATAGTTGTTGAAATAGATTCTAACTGAAAACCAAATCTGAATTTCGAGTCTTTTCTTAAAAGTTGAGAGCTTCACAATGATCGGATCATTGTGAAGCTCTCAGCTTTTAAGAAAAGACTCGAAATTCAGATTTGGTTTTCAGTTAGAATCTATTTCAACTACTATTTAGCTTGGAGCAATTAGGATTTATTTTGAAAGCGGATTGTTTTTCTGCAATGTCGGAACAAAAAGTTGTGAGGTCCATTTTTTCTGGTCTGTCAGTCAGTACATTGAGACATATTTCAAACGAAAATAAGATGAAGGATAACAAACTGGTAATGTCATTTCAAACACCTAAATGTTCTTTTCAATTGTATTTTCACAGTTCTGAGTAAATTTCGTTAAAATTTTTAAATTGAATTCCCAAACATTTGAATATTCCCCACCACGCAATGTTTTTTTAATCTTCCCGCAGCTCCCAATAAAAATCCAAATTAAAAATATTCACAACGACCATTTTTTATGTGAATCAATATGCGTGCCTCAATTTACACGCTTTATTTATCCCTAATTGGTAATTTTCAAACTAGAAAACAATAAAAAAGACGAAATATTTTTTTTACATTTGAGCTCAAAGTATCTTTGGTATAAACCGTTTTGTAAAAAAAAACTTTCGTTAGAATGTCGAAGTTGGTCTAATTCAAAAGCCAGGCGTAACCCAAGCATAAAACCCACAAAGAATAAATGGAACAGAAATCAACCGAAGCATAATTTTAGCTTTCAAGATTATTTTTTCGGCTTAAGTTAGATTAAATGGATGTAAATTTGTCAAAACGTAAATATTTTGATGCGATTGGCAGTCTTTTCACTTAGGCGCTGGTCTAGGTTTTTCTCGGGGGGGGGGGGGCGGATTTTCAAAAAGTTTTTCAAAAGCCGATTTTTTTTTAATTGACTAAGATGATTTTCTGAGCACTCACAAATCCTTATAAAGACCTTTTTTGACCAAATGTTTTTTGCGCCGCAGACCCGCAGGCAGAATTTAAAAAAGAAATAGGACAAAAAACGTTTGTAAGGCACTTTGGTAAAATTTTGACCAAAAATCGCGTTTTTTTTTTCGGTGCGTGCTCCCCCTCAAAATTAGTATAAATTGGCGCAAAATGCGCCTTTAGAAAAATTTTAAGGTCAGTCAGCCAAGTCTTGATATCTTAACGTAGCATTAAGGGTGGCGTGGCCTTTTGGGTCAACAGGCGGTCGAATTCCTGAAGAAAAGAGGCCCCCCCCCCCCCCAAATCCGCTACTGATTTCTCTAATGAGAACCGTTGATATTGTTGACGTCAGCAACTTATGCATGCCATTGTAATTTTAAAAGCTCATCTTTGAATTTTTAGTGTAGGTGGTTTTATAAGAAAGCCCCCGCAAATGAATAGATTATTAATCTAACTACCTTGTGGAGTAATGAATGGCGAAAAACTAATAAGCTTAATTTTAATATAAATGGAACGTTAATGAATGGTCTCCCCAAAGGGTGTGATTATGAAGAAATTACCCAAATCATTTTATCAGATTTGCTTTGACATAAATAACTAAAAATAACAGCTTTACTCAGCCTTTTTTGAAAAATAAATATGCTTTTTTGTTGTGGAGTTGAAATGCGATAGTGTACAAATTAAGTTGTTACGAATTGTATCTGAGTTCCTGTTCATAATTTAGAGCAGTTGGTCACCGTGCAAGTAGCACAATGTTTTCCGACTACAGATATCATTGAGAATAATAAGTTTTAAAAAACATATTTTAATTATCAAAACTATTGTCAAAGCACTAAAAAGACCCTGTTTTGTCCAAACTTATTTTCGCTCTGCAGGTGAATTTTTCAAAAGAGGCCAGAAAAGACGTTTTTAGACACTTTATAGACATTTTTGATTTAAAAAAAGTTGAGTTTTTCAGCGCGCGCTCCACCCTCAAAATTAGTATTTATTGGGCGCCAAAGGTGCCTTTAGAAAAATTTTAAGGGTCAGCCAGCCAAAAATGGAGATCTTAGAATAGTACCAAAGGCGGACCCTTTGCGTAGTCGGGGGTTCGAATCCCTGAGGGAGTTTCCACGTAATTCGGCTACTTGTTGAGATACCGACAATGATAACAAAAATATTGTAAAAATATCCCCCTATGCTGAGGCCTTCTACAAACGGATGTTTAGTTTTCAATCGATCAGCTAATTTTATCTCAGCAGAAAATTAGTTTTAATGTTCAGATTTTGCGTTGCAAATCTCTGTGTACTTACCCCGGGTTGTTTGTCACTTCAAGCAGTTTTCATTCGATTTTGAACTATTGTTAATTAAAAAATTATACGGAAGAATTTACTTATAATATCAATAAACAAAAAGTAAAAAATTTAAAAAAACGGGTCAAACCCTATTTTTGGTAAGAAGATATCGAAGCCCTTCAAGTTGAATTCGAAGGGCAATTTTACTTCCTAGCTTAGGTAATTATAATTGACGACTGACAAGTAAGATAAAGCTTTTAAGAAAATGGTTTTAATGTGGGGATGTATTTTTAAAACCAAAATACATTTCATACAAACCACCGTTAAAAATAGGTCAGTTTTTCCTAATTTGGCTGAAGAATTTGGTGCTTAAAAATTGAACGAGTTCTTTACTCACGTAAAACTGTTTAATGGTCTGTTGAAATCATAGTATTGACTGCACAACAGTTTTTTTTTGACTCGCGGTTGCAATGTAACGACGCGGTATGAAAAAGTAATGTATCATGCCGTATCACTTTTCATTCAGACTGTCTGATCATTTCCCGTTATAACATTGGTATCATATGTCGCTTTCAAATAGAATTTATACTCGGTTGCAACTTCAATTCTAAAGTTATATGGTTTCAAATTTCAGATTGTGAATATTGATTAAAATTAATATTACTAATGAGCTTCTCAAGTTTGAATTTTGAAATTGATGATCAAATAATTTTTTGAAGCAGTTTGGTAGTCTGAATTGTGGGGTTAATTTGAGGACGCAAAATAATAAAGATATTTTTTAATCTTGTAGAAATTGTAGTGAATTTGAAATCCCTTTTTTATTATTGATGTCTGCAAAACTTGATCTCACAAATTGTAATATAAGTCTTCGTTTTAATGTCAGCTTTCAGTTTTTTTAGTCTTCAATTCCAATCAGCTTATGCAAATGAGTCGATTAACGGCTGTGCTGTCCAATTTGGGCTTTAATTTTCTGAAAGTACTCTTAAAAATGTCACGCCGCAGGGGTGAATTTTTCTTTTGTAACTGCTTCAACCATAAAATTGACTGAAGAAGCTTGTTAACGAAATGGGTATAGAGGCAATTAATATTTTTATTCGGTTGTAAAATCAAGCAAATAACTGTTACCTTTGGATAACATGAAGGAAATTGTTAAGCTTCAATATCCACCGTTTTTGTTTTATGTGGGGTTTAACTTGAATGAACTGATGATATGATTTTGTTGCTTTTCATCATCTGAAAAAATGTCATCTGATTTCTTTTCTGTGGTTTATTGCTGATAACATTGCTCTTGAGCAGAGTTGTAAAATTGTCCAGTTTTCCTGAAAATGGCAGAGTTTTTATGGCAGACAAAAAAGATAGCTATGTGGTTTTTTGGTAAAAGTTGACCTTTTTGAATGACTGTTTTACAATATCCCATTTTTATTGATTCTTGTTCCGTCATTAAGAGAAAATAAGAAAAAATAAAACAAGGATTGTCGGTTACTGTGCAAGTAGCATAGAGTGTTCCGACCATAGCTTTAAAAAATATATATGTTTTTTTGAAATTAGTGTCGTTTTTTCTCTGTGGTGTTATAAAAAATCTGAAGAAAAAAATTGAAATTAGGCAAGCACGACAGTTATAGTCAAATAGGCCGATTGGAAAACAGTTTTTGTAAAAAAAAATGGCAAGAAAAATGAAAAAAAAAATCGGTAAATTAATTTTTAAATTTTCCCCAATTTTTTTGCAGAAATTTTTTTCGATTTATTGAAGTTTTTGATTCCGAAAATGGCGCTAAAAAACTCCAAAAACTATAACTTTACTCGAACGAAACTAAGTTAAAACTAAGTTGCTTTAACTTTTTAACAGCACTTTTTGACAAGATTTTCATATCATCTGAAAGCTATTAGTGTCCAGAGTTCACATTGAAAAAGATATTTTTTTTTGCTATCTTTTTTTTGCAAAAATATAAGGGTTTGAAAATTGCAGTTTGACTAATTTGGATTATTAAGTCGTGCTTCATACTGCGTTATACTTCATGCTTTATTAACGCTATATTTCGTGGTATTAACGCAGAATCGACTTCTTAACATTTCTCAGAAATTGGTCCAAATTGAATTCAGGCTAGCTAGTTGTTCTATTTATTAAGTTATCAAAGTTTAACACTTTGTACTTTAAATAACGTGTGGGTGGATGATTTACAAAACAAAATCTAATACGTAAAAAATAACGTTTTCGTAAAAATCCGTAAAAAATAACGATTTTTTCGAACGATAACGTTTATTTGAATGTTTTGTTGCTATTTATTCAAATAAACGTTAGCAAGTTTTGTTGCTTTAAAATTATACTCAAGCGCGAAGGTTTTGCTTCAAAAGCGAATAAAAATTGACGTAGAAAAAATAGTAGCGATGAATGTTGATGATGGAGGCGTAGCTATTAGCATGTGTGCCAATAAGCATGCGGTCATTGCCTCAATTGTGTGTATTTAGAAGTAAAAATAGCCTAAATTTTCAAATAGTTCAGGCGTATCACTTATTTTGTTAGGGAATGAAAAATTCACTTTCGCTATATTAAAAATTCGGCTAAATGCACGCTGATAAAAAATTGCTATTTTGAGTACTATATTCTTTTACATTGGCGTGCTAATCGACACTCAAGCTAATAGGCCGGTCCTCGTTGATGATATGCCCTTTAGAAAAAGAGTCCACCTCCGAATTTGGGTTAAAATCAGATGGTTTTTATGACAGAAATCATTGTTCAACTTTATCTGAAACTAAGAATAGTAATTTATAAGTGAGGGAGGCATGTGTCATTTCATAATAACAAATATTAGCTCTATTGACTAGAAAAAAAAACAAAAAAAAGAAGCAAAACATCTTGAAACGTTCCTTTACGGTTTGATATCCGTAGTTTTCTAATATTTTCGCTGAAATCATTGTGGTCGGAGCTTATATGGTTTTCTAGTTTTACCATTCGTTTCACTGCTTTTTTGAAAAATGTTTTTTTTTCCATCGCTGGGTTGAGTTTTTTCTGCTTAAGTAGAGAAAGTTCTTAGCTATACATTCGTCTTTTTATATATTGTGCTTTCCTCTCATAACTTGTCTGCTATCTGTTTTGACCGGTCTATGAGTTTGGTAGTCATGAATTTTTCATATTACCATTTTTCTTGTTCTTCAATTGTTTTTAAAATGGTTTTAGAACTTTTATAAAAAGAGAAATTATGTTAGTAAAAATCTTAAATACAGTCGCGCCTGAATTACTCGGTATTTCATCATTTTAAAGAAAAAAATTCAAGGCGATATAGTTTTTTTATGGGATGATTTGTATGAAAAAGAAACTAGACCATCCTATTTCTGTTAAACGTATTTTGTGTAGTGGCGTTTTAATTTTGAAATTTTTTTTGAAACTGAATTGCTTTATTGAAACGAATTGTATTTTGTCTTAAAGCATCTCGAGGACCAGGTTTTAGTCGATCAGGCTCTCGAACGGGAGTGCCGAAATCAAATTCTAGGTCCAGTTACAGAAAGAAAACATCATCTTCTAGTCTTCAAAATCGCGCCAATTTTTCTTCAGCTAGGGTTTTGAGTGACAGTTCATCGTCTTTGCAGTTTAAAAACGATGTCTCAAACGACTTAGAAAGAAGCAAAACGTTTCCGGCAAAAAGTTGCTGGCCAAGCTCGATGCTTTCAAAACGAGAAAATGTCGTGGCGAAATCAGTCAGCGATAGTCAAGGCCAGTTGCGTGTTGTGTGCTTCGTTTTTTGGTTCATCTGAGATTCGCTGCTTGCTTATTATATTGATGGTTTCATAAACTCTTTGTTCAATTTTGAATGGGTTTTGAGTGTTATTGTTTGTTAGAGTTTTCGAAAGCTGCTTGATGATGTTTATGGCGTTCATTGCACTGTTTCCCCCTGACTATTCACGTACCCGAAGAACCGGATGTCCGAACTTTTTTGACCATTAAACTTTCCAAAATTGGCAGATTTTCAAGTTTTTTGTCAAGTTTTTAATATTCTTATCGGCTTATTTAAATTTCGGACATTCAATTTTTCGGCCATGAGGGATACTCTCCTATTTTTGTCGGTATTTTGTTCTTCGAGACAAATGGTCTCTCATATAACCTTTCTCTCTAGAACTTGAGGCTTTAATTTATTTCCTGTCCAAAAAAGCAATTGAATGAAAAACGTCTATTTATTCACTACTTTTGTTCCAAGCATTCCTTTTTGTCTGTGCTTTTCAATCACTTCGGGGGTTTTCATTTTGACGCAATTGTTTTTGTTGATGAATGGTCTAAATTTAACCAAAGAATATTATGGTCTATAAACTACTATGATCATCTTTCATGGAGTGTAATTGTGTGTGTTTTGTTTTGCACTCTTAACTACAGAGGAGCGAGCTATGTCTCCCACCTCTCGTTTGCACAAGGAGCTCGGAATAATCCCAGGTCAACCACTCACCTGGAAACAGATGCAAGCTCTCAGAGGTACCCTACCCTCCCCCTCCCAGCACGGCCCCCTCTCGGTGTACCCATAATATAGTTTTGTCATGTCGTATCAGATGTATATATCATATCTAGTTGTAGCTTGTTGTACTTGGTAAACAAGACAACGACAAAAGTTCAATTGCTTAAATAAAAAGCTGTTCACTCGTTCATCGGAACTGTATCCGATAATTAAAATGAGTTTAGCCAACGACAAAAAAGTCAGTAAGTATTAGGAAAACAGTTAAACATTTTCACCGATATTTACAACGTTTTTCAGTAATTAACTCAGCAACGACAAAAAAGGTCAATACTTACTCGATAACAGAGCTATTCAGTTGCTCGACGGAACAATTCGATAATAAAAATGAGTAAAAGGACTTTAATGTGATATATCACTCAACCCAGTCTGATGATTATTTGTGGTACCTGATTTTCGTGGAAAACAAAAAATGAAAAAAAAACTAAAACTTACCCGAATACAAAGTTCTTCCCCATTTTCAATGGTCAGATTAATAAGAGCACGCACCTGCATAGATCTAAATTTTGAAAGGGTCGAATTGTGAACTTCTATGTGCTTTCGAATCATCTTACAATTCATCTTTATCTCAAGCAGAAACAATGCATGTTTTGTTAAAAACTTCACGTCAGCCTTTCCGTATTTCGTTTTTCTTTTTCAGCGGCCCAGAAACCAGCTGCTCCCGCTGCGCAACCTAAAGCTGGTGCAAAAGCAGCTCAAGCTGTCGCACCTGCTGAACCAGCGCAGCCAGAAACCCTCCCGGCGTTCCCGGTTCCTCGGAAACTGACCGAACTGGACTCTGTTGACCCCGCAAACAGTGAGGGGTTCATGTCATGTCACTTGTCAGAAGAAATGCTGGTGGATTTGGTGTCGGAAAGACTTCAGGTGAGCAATAGATTAATGGCTAGGTACGATTCGCCTTTTTTAGTTTATTGATTGTTTCCTGGTTGTTCAGCGCCAACAATCTCCACTTATGGAAGAAAGTTTCTTAGACGTTTTTCTTTAATGAAAAGAAACAATTTTATTGCTTTTTTTTTAAAGGTCACTATTTGTTTTAAGTAGAAAATCCGAAATAAACAAAAACCATTGTAATGTTCAGCTTTGTTCGGTTTGCTACAGAGACTTTATCCATGCTTACATTCTTGTCTATTTCAGAGCAGAGATTGCTTCAAAGGTGTGGTGTTTGACGGACTAGAAAGTATCTTCACTCCTAGCATCCTGGTGACAGTCCAGGTGCTGCTCAAGGCCATCAACAACCGCAAACACATCTATTTTGTCGAAACAAACCTCACACAGGTACGCGAAGACTGATCAGGTATCATATTTTCTTAGTTTTGAGCTCTTTTTATCTTTTACGATCATTTTTTTTTCATTCGGATGCTTTCTCCATGGAAGGTAGCTTTCTTTTTGAAGATCATTTCTCAGGATGTTTTTGCTAAGGAAGGCCATTACGTCAAAGAACGTAGTAAATACTTTTATATAGCTCGTGATGTTTTTATAGTTTTTTTTCAAGGAGTCTTAAAAAATTTTCATGCTTAAAGTTTTTTGCGGTATGACTTTTTTTCCAAGTTCAGCTCAATTCCTTTGATAAAATAAACACAAACTCCACTATCAAACAGCAAAAGTGTTAAGCTCGCAAAAAACTTGGTCGACTTCTAGTTTCGACTTTCAAGTTTCCCAGTGAAATTAAAAATTACAAACTGATCGAATTTTTCTAAATTTAGTTAATTTTATCAAAAAAAGTGCAAAAATGTTTTTTTTTACTGAAATTTTGAGTGCTTTAAGGCCATATATTGTTTTCTTTGAAGCTCGAAAGTCAAGTTTTTTCAAAAAAAAACAACCAGTATTTATTTGTTTCCTTTCTTTCATTGACCCACTTCTAGTTGCCTGTTGGCTGTAATTTTTACACATGCGATACGTGTTTATTAGTACCAGGAGTTTTTTCTAACCTATATAGCAAATAAAAGTGCTCATTTAGTGAAACTTTTGGTAGGTTTCAATTCAATCATTTTTAAGCCTAATTAAGCATAAGCACTTTAAAAGCTTATCTTGCTGCTTTATTTTTGGCTAATATTAGGTCCTGTTTGAAAAAACAAACAGGTATTTTGAAAATGTATTATAGAATTTGTTGTTTTTTTGTTTTGCAATGCTTTGGATTTTTCTCAAAAACTATTGTATCGTATTTCAAAAAAATTGAAACCAACGGAAAAATTGGCTGCTTTTCTATGTGCCTGCATATTTCGTTTGTCTCTTTCCATTTAACTTCACGTTCTACAGCCTTCGAAAATTTCAGTAGGGGTATTTTTTGACCTATTTGTTTTGAATTTTTTCATTTTCTCAAAGATTTAAGGCACAAATCTAGGATGAATGTTTCAATCGAAAGAAAAAATTATGGGGATTTACCCTTTTTGAGCGGCTATTCTCTAAATTTGGTAGAATAAAGTTATGGCTTCAACCAAGGCAATTTTTTGACATTTTGTTAAGTTTTAAAATTTGATATTTTTGAAAAACTACCTTACCAAGTTAGAGATTAAGGTTTTAACCGAAAAAAAACAATCAGTTATGAGAATTTTCCTTGTGCAAATTGCTTTACCCTGTGTTTTGAGAAAAATATGGACTTAGAAAATGTCCAATTTTTGAATTTTGTGCGTTTTTCCAAAACTTAACCTTCTGATTCTGAAATTGGTAGTTCATTCAAGCTAATATGGTGCTTAGATTTTCTCCGCGCAACCTGTTTTAACCTATTAATTTTCGAAAAGTTGGTTTATTCTTCAGAAAAATCCATTTGATGAAATTTTTACCTTTTTTTTTAGAAATTTCATCACTATTTTCGAAAACATCTAGCTAAATCTGATATCAAGGGTTCAATCTATAAAAATCAGGTTGTGGGCGCCTTCCCTACTTAAAAGGCTTTTCCTCTGCTTAATTAGAAAGATTAAAAGACTAGGAAAAGTCAAATTTGAATTTTCGATCGTTTCTCGGAATATTTTAGTATATATTTTTAGTATCCATTTCCCTTAAACCAGCGGCTAATCCCCTACTGAAGCAGAGAAATCGCTAGAGCTTTGCGTAGAGTTAGTTTTTTTTTGAAAATTTGGGTGGCGTCCCTCATGCTTGAAGGACCGAATGCTTGAAATTATTTTTAGCTTAATTTCAGCCAATCAGAATTGAGTATTCAAAATCTAAAAATAAATCGCAAAAATCTCAAAGTAAGAAAATAAATCCAGGCCATTAGTGTTAATATTGACCGATTAGATAATAAGCAGATGAATTTCAAGACTGAAAAATTCTTATGATTTTGAACTCATTAATCTTGATGATTTATCTGAATAGTAATGCGGTTGTAACCCGCAATTTGTAATATTTTTGATTATTTTCCACTGATTTGATACATTTTCTGTTAATATTGACTTCGATATAGTGAGAAAGGCCTTTAGCCAATAGAAACGCTTAGCGATTTTGATTGGTTGAAATTTTTCAAGCATTCGGTCCTTCAAGCATGAGCACCCTCCCCAAAATTTGGCATTCCGTATTAGTACAATATATGATTTAAAGTATTAAATCAGTTGGGTCCAGCATTAGCTGGGCAACTAAGTTACTTCCAAGCGGAGATTCAAGTCCGTAACATTGAAATTGTTTTTTTTTTGTTTTTTGGTCAAATTTGTGCTGCGTAGCATTGGCATTTTGACAGAAACTAGCTATTTATTGGTGGCTAGTGTTATCAAAGTTACAAGCGGTCGTGGATCAGATGTGAGAACGTGATATTCATAATCTCATTAAATTTTTTTCTCATAGTGTAGTTTGAAACTTTTCCTTAATTCAATTTGTTTTGCCTGGTTAGAGTTCTTTTTTGCGTTCTCCTCGCTTGTGTTTGAGGAGCGCAGCTTCGCAGGGTCGAGTGATGATATATAAACAAATCCCTACATTTAAGCCTTTTGAGTCAATTAAGTGCTAAAAAGTTTTTAAAATGCCTCAGTGTTACTTTTTAGTTTAATTTGGAGCAAGTGAAGCAATCGTGTAACGCAAAAAAAAAATTTACTAAGCTATTTTTAATTTTCAAAGATTAAGTGTTCAGTTGTTAGCTGCAAAAAAAACTAATTTTTAGAGCTTAGTCTAGCATTTTTGTGGCACTAGGTTTTGAAGTGCTCGAATTAGCAATTTTTTGAAAAGTTTTTACAAAATAAAAAAAAAATTCCGCAACAATAAGTCTAGTCTATAAAAGAACTCTTGATTAAGGCCTGGGAAACTTTGATTTTATCTGAACAAACCATAAAAAGTGAGAAGCAATTGAGGAGAAATAGAAAACAAGACTGCTCGTATCAGGGCGAAGCCCTGAATGTTCCGACTGCCTTTTAAGGTTTTATGGAGCAGTAATAACATTAGAAAATTAAATGTAAGAAGAAAAAAAAATGAATTTTTTTTTTCTAAATTTTGAATTTTTTATGAACATCATCCCCCTACACGCCACATAAAGTACAAAAAGGTAGATTTCGCTCCTTGTAACAAATAAATTATGGCAAATAAGCTTCTTTCAACTGATTTGGAACGATTTTTAAGACGGATTAACTCTCCGCTCACGCGTTAATAGCGCGAAATATATCGCGCGTTAATTGTCTCAAAATGGCAATTTTTAAACCCCCATAACTTTACGAAAAATGATCACAGGTAAAATATCTTTTAAAATTTGAGCTCATGACAACAATACTTTTTGAATGATATAAAAAAATTCCGTCAAAAATGGCTAGTTAAAAAGTCGAAATTTGTCTGAAGAAAAAACCCACCCCGAGCACAAATATTCCGTTACTTTCGTTAGTTCTTGTAAATTAATTGTGATCGGAATTTTCTGTGCTACATGCACAGCAACAGGCTATTCTTATTTCTTTTAACTTCGTTACACTCAAAATCAGATTCTGCAAATGAGCATTAGAATCAGTCGTGATATTTCAAAATAAAGTCCTATTAGTCCTGATATGAACGGCATTATAGCACCTCCGATAGCCGTTCATTGATTCTCTGCGAATCTCAGAAAGCACAGTTATTTATAAATATCATATGAAGTCTTTTTTAATGTTAATATCGAGCGAGTAAAGAGAGCTTCCTGGTACTTTAAAGTTGAAAATTTCAAAGAGAAAATAATTTCCAATAAAAAAAGGGGAAAACGTTTTAGAAAGTTTTTGAAAGTTTTCGGATTTTTGTTACTAATTTTTGAAAGACAACTGTAGTCACGTAAGGCCGATGCCAACAAAACGGCCTAAATAACCGTGGTCTTAACAGTCTGTGCTGCTTGTGATCTGTGATCGGCTTATCTCGCTATGGATTTTGCAATCATTTCAATGTGGCAAAAATTTCAATGAACTATCGTGAGATTTTCGTTTCCGCTTACATACGTCTGTGTATAATATTAGTTTTATTGTGTGGGTTAACTTGAAAAATAGTCATTCAAGTTCCCTTTTTAGACGTCTCTAATACGTCAATTTCTTTTAGGCCTACTTGAAAGAGAGAGCGGCAGTAGTGGCTGCCCAGAAGGAGGCGGAGTTGGAGGAGTTACGGAAGCAGGAGCAGAAGAGAATCGAGGAGATGTCGGAGGATGAGTTCGAGGCACTCAGTCCCAGGTCCAAACAGGAGGTGGAGAGGAAGCAACTCAGGTTCAAACGGGAGAAAATGAAACGGTTAGTTTGTATACTCTGGGATTCGAACTCGCTAGCCTCTGACCATAAAACAGACTCTACGATTCTCTTATTTTTTAAATTACTTGGTCATGATGTGCAGTGAGATTCCATTGCTTAACTAGAACTTTCACGCAACTGATTTCACGTCTTGTTATCTAAACTTATTGATATTTTTATATGTTAGTAAAGATAACTAACTTTGTGAGTAACCATCTAGACTGGTTGCCAGCTTAATATTTGCATTAAAATTAACTTGTGAAATGACGTTTTGAACAGAAAGAGTTCGAAGCTATCAGTTTTGTTAAATGTGTTTTTGTGTTTTTCTGTAAGTGTGGAAAGGAACTATGGATAAGGGTCCGTTTTTTTTTAAATTCCTCAGGGACAACCTCAAGGAACACCCACTACCTCACCTCAAGGAAAACACGTAAGGTGTCAAGTTGTGGTATCATATTAAAGCTCTATTGGTCGTGGTTTGGATTCCAAAACGTGTTCAAAAGAGTCTTCTTAGTGTCGAGAAAATTCGGTCTGAAAGTTTTCGGTTTTCAGGTAATCTAGCATGTAACGCACCTACGGTGCTTCGAATTTTTGAAAACTCAAGAAAAACTGCACACATTGGACCACAACCACATTGGAAACCAGATCTCGAAAAAATCAAGCCTCCAAAAGTAGAAATACTTGAGTAGCCATATTTGCAGGCAAGATTTACAACTCCTGGGAGTACCCTGGCAGCATCCAATTACAGGGTTGCGATATTTAAATTTTGAGAATTTTTCGAAACCTAAGTTAACTGAAAAATCATTTAAAAAATCCTCATACCTCGAAAACTACCAGAATTTGAGCAGCCATGTTTGGAGACAAGATTCGCAACCCCTATGAGTACTCTGACAGCCCCCACTAAAGGGTTGGAAATTTCAATTTTTGAAGAAAAAAACTGTTTGTTTTTCTGAATTTTTTTTTGAAAAAATCATAAAAAAGTCATTTCTCAAAAACTACCAGGAATTGAGTAGTCATATTTGGAGGCAAGATTCGCAAATCCTGAGAATACTCTGGCAGCCCCCAACTACAGGGTTGGGAATTTCAAATTTTGAAGAAAAAAATTTAAAAAAATTGTTTGGGTTTACTGAAAATTTTTCGAAAAAATCACAAAAAAACGTCATATCCCAAAAACTAAAAGGAATTGGGCAGTCATATTTGGAGGCACGATTTGTAACTCTGAGAGTACCCTGACAACAACAGGGTTGGGAATTTCAAACATTGAAAAAAAAATTAATTTAAAGTTTTTTGAAAATTAAAAAAAAATCGCAAAAAATGCTTATCTCGAAAACAATAAGGATTTGAGCAGTAAAAATTGTAGGCGAGGTTCGTAATACCTGAGAGTAACCTGATAGCCCCCAACTACAGGGTTGGGAATTTCAAGATTTGGAGAAAAAAGTTCGTTAACTTTTCTGAAAACTTTTTGAAAAATCACAAAAAACGTCATATCTCGAAAACTACAAGGATATGAGCAGTCATATTTGGAGGCAAGATTCGCAACTCTTGAGAGTACCCTGACAGCACCCAACTACAGGGTAAGGAAAGATAGAAAAAATATAGAAAATATTAAAAAAAAAAGATAGAAAAAAAGGTAGAAAAAGATGCAAAAAAAAAGAAAAAAAATAGAAAAGATAGAAAATCCAGATAAAGATACAGAGAGATTGGAGGCAACCGTTTGACAGTAACACTACTTTGAACTAAATCGTCGAAACCAAATTAAAAATTAGGAGACGGGTAGACAGTCATTATCAAATTAATTTAAAAAGCAGGTTTTCAGACAGACAGACTTCATTTGGCCTCGAAAAAATTTACTGAAAAGTTAATGACCTTGCGGAAAACTGATTGAAAAATTTTCTTAAGCATTGCAATATATGATATAGCTTAAACATGAAAAAATTCTTTCGTTAAACATGCAAAATTATCAAGCTTAAACATGTGAGATAGCTGTCACTAGCATTTAAATATAGTATAGATTAGACAAAAATTGATGAGAGGCTACCTCCCACTCCTAATTCAATTTTATTAAATTTTAGTACTAAATTTTTAACGTGATCATAAAGAAGATACTTTTCAGTCTGTTAATTTGTCTTCTAATTTATTCGCCGTTTACTTAAAAATAAAATAACCGAAATTTGAAAGTATTAAACAAAAAAGTTTCTTTCAGTATTTAAAAAAAAATGTCACTGAAACCAGTGCGCTCAAAACATTCTGTACTACATGCACAGCAACTGTCTATCCTTATTTTGCCTTTGGCTTCCGGGTCAAAATATGGATTTCATTTGTACTTGTGTAGTAAATGTTTGTATATGCCAAAGTTTCTTTGACACGAGAATTGAAGCCTTCTTTCTGTACAGAATGGAAATTGAGAAGGAAAAACAGCGCGAAGAAGAAGAGCAGAAGCGAATGGAGGAACTGGCGCGTCAGGAAGCGGAACGACAAGCCAAGAAAAAGAAGAAGGCTGACGCTAGTAAAACCTCCTCACATGGAACCGAGAACAAAAGTAGCAATAAAAGTAACAACTCGATAGCCCAGAGTTCAAATATGGGTGCTGGTGGCGTGGCAGGAGCAGGAGGTAAAGGCTCAGGGTCCCAAGCCGACACGAGTGGGGTGGGCGGTGATAATAAGGGGGAGGGGAAGAAGAAAGGGGCGACGTCACAGCCTCCCGCCCAGCCTGTGATTGAAGAAGAAGCTCCTGTTGTAAAATTGACAGATGAAGAAATTGTTCAGAACACCAGGTGAGATTTTTTTGCAAACGTTTTTTTTCGAGAAATTTTCAGTCATTTGTTCAACGAAAGCGATTCGATGATTTGAAGTTTGTTTACTAGATGAAATAGGAATATGCTCGTTAAAATAGGCGAAAATTAAGTGTGCGGTCCCCAATATCTCTGGTTTTCTCAAGATGAAGCTTTGTTTGCATTAGAATGAGCTGTATCTTCTTACAGAATTTCGACGCCTGGTAGTCTAAGCATTTAATTTTCTTTGCAATTCTTAAAGTTAACAATTTCAGGTTCAAGTTCTACGAGATGTTCAAAAATGACATTTACAAACTACTGGAGAGATGGGACAGAACGAAGGGACAAACTGGACGACCTCTGAGTGCGGACGGGGACGAAGATGCTCCCGTTCCTAGACACGCCAGGAGATACAAAGTCGGGGTGAGGCCACTTCCGGGTAGCAGTCGAATCGACTATCAATTTCAGTATAATGCCTAGATCTAGCAAACACACTCACTTCTGTCTATGATACATATTAAAGAAGCTCCCCGCTCCCTTCTTTATAAATGCTCAAGTCATCGTTGTGATAATTGAAAAATACTGATTTATCCCATTTTTGTTCAAAGCATGACTGTTCCAAAGATCAAAAATTTCAGCGTCAAGGATAAAATTGAGTATCTGCATAAAATCGAGTATCACTATGCATTTTCCCTACTTATATAAAATTTCACTCACAAGCTGTTTCTTTTTTTACTATTTGTATTCTAGCCTCCAATTCTGACAGCCGAAAACGAAGAAGAAGCACATCACGAAGAGGTAATTTCTTCAGTTTTATTAGCTGTCATTTAAACACAAAAGTTATTAAATTTTTCATGAATCCAATTGCAATTGCGAAGGTATTTGTTACATCCTTTGATTATGATTCTTGCAGTGATTTCTATCGAACGTTTCAACTCCATTGTCCTAGCTTAAAGATTGGTTTTTGTTTTTGCAATTAATTTTAACCTAAATTAAGGGGAAAAACAATGGAAAATCGACCATTCTTATTGTATTTATTGGTTAAAACGACGTTTTGGTGTAGTTTTTTTCTGCTTATTTCTAATTTTTATTAATAATGGATATCAAGTTAAACTGAATTTTATGCATACTAAACAGAACTCGTCCAAAGCCACCAGTCATGTAGGCGGTGGCAGAGGCCCGATTGGGCTCGGTTCCAGACAGAGTAGTTCTCTCAAAAACCGACCAGCAGTTGGTCAAGGGGGACCAAAAGCGTCCGTAGCCCAGGCTAACGCCCGCAAAAAAGGCGCCAGTACTTCTATGGGTGCGGCTGGGTCTAAACGCAGAGGGGTATTAAATGCTGAATAGTCATAATTCCATGGTAGAAATAATGAGAAAACGTTTTTTTTTTCTCAACAGTCATCATTTTAGATTGTTAATTAAGCGGCCACTTTAATGGTTTTTTTTCAAATGAGATATAGAGTTTGTTTCCGTCATCAATCTTCATGTCACAAAGAAGCAATTTAAAAAATAAATTGTCTTGCGAATATTTTTTTTTAAAAAGAACTAATTAGCGAGGCTCATCAAAAAAAACGACAATTACCTTGTACCGAAAAATTATGTGCACAAGTGCCAATTGCGATCAGGATGAAAATGATCAATCTGGTAATGTTCATTTTAATGCACTATGTAATGATTAGAATACAGTAAAATCCTGAGCAGGTATGAGATCAAATCAGAAGCGTGTTTTCAAAGCTTGTTTTCAAAATTGTTCCTAGGCTGATAGCCTTTTTTAAAATAATTTACGTACTAATGCCTTAGGTAAACATTTACGTTATCAATTTTTTGTTTGAGCGAGTTAGGAAACATTAAATCAAATTGATTGGGTTATCAAAGTCGAATTTCCAGTCTAAAAAGTTTTCTTTATTTGGGAATGATCTGGAATTTGTGCATATAAGTATCGAATAAAAAACATCATTGCTGTCATCAGTTGATTCATCAACCAGAAGGACAAAAGGTCAAGAGGTTTAAATTTTGCAGGCCACTCGAGGTGGTGAGCCGGTGGAGCGTGATGAGGAGGCCAGAGCCACTCTAGAGAACATGGGAGTGCCCCTCATCCAGGTGAATGTGGCCAATCCAGAGGTGAAGCTGGACTCGTGTGTGTTTGAGGCCAGAGTTCTCCCTTCATATGAAGAGGTAGCATAAAAGATAACTGCTTGGGAAAATTATAATTGTGGCTCCAAATTGAAAAGTCGAAAAAAGTCGACAGATGCAAAATAAACATTAGTTACGTCCTGTTTTTTTTCAGCAGAAAAAAGTTTTCCTATGGAAAATTTTTTTTTCATGCTCTTTAGTGTGAACTTTAAATTTGTTCAATTCATTATTCCGGCTTTTGTAACGAAAGTAACGGAATATTTGTGCTCGGGTGGTTTTTTTCTTCAGACAAGTTTTTATTTTTTAACTAGCCATTTTTGACGAATTTTTCTTAAATCATTCAAAAGGTATTGTTGTCCTGAGCTTAAATTTGAAAAGATATTTCACCTGTTATCATTTTCCAGTAAAGTTATGGGGGTTTGGCGGTTGCCATTTCGGCCAATTTGGGACAATAAACGCACAATATATTTTGCGCTATTAATGCGTGAGCGGAGATTTAATCCGTCTTAGAAAGCGTTCCGAATTGATTGAATGAAGCTTATTTGCCAGAGATAATTAATACTAGGAGCGAAATCTATCACTTTGTTTTTTATATGGCTGGCGAGGGGATGATTTTCTCAAAAAATCTCAAAATAAAAAAAATTCTTTTCATTTTTTGCATTTAATTTTTCCTTGTTATTACTGCTCCATAGGCCTTAAAACGCAGTCGCAACATTCGCCCTGATACGAGCAGTCTTGTTTACATTTGTGCTAAAATTTGATTTTTTACTGTCTTGTTCATATTCTTTTGCTAAAAGGGAAGAAAATTACGTTCTCCAGTTACGAACGTGCAAATCTTACACCATCTTATACCATCTGAAACGTAATGCTAGCTTGAGGTCAAATTTAAAAAGATATTTCATCTATGATCTTTTTTTTCAGTTATGGGGGTTTAAATGCTGCTAATTAAGGAAAATTAACGCGCGATATATTTCATGCTGTTAACGCGTAAGCGACGATTTAATTTGGCCTATAAGTTGTTCCAAACTGAAGTAGGGCTTGCTACGTTTTCTAACTAACACGATACTATATGCTAAATATTTTGCTGTGTAATTTACATAATGTCAAGGCGGATGATTAAAAAAGTAGTTTTTCTTAAGTAGAACACTATTCCGTAGACGTTAAAAGGCAGGCGGAACACTTGGGGCGTCCCCTGATACGAGCAACTCTGTTGTTCCGACTTTCGAAGAAAGCGAGGAATATATATGCTTGGGGTGATTCTTAACAGTAATGAACGTATTGAGCTTTCTTATATATGTCTTGGTGTTTTTTAATAGCGTATGGTATCGCTCCGGAAATCTCTGGTATGCTTGCGAGTATGCTTGTACTAGACTAAAAATCAGTTGGCCTAGCTGCTTGAGTAAAACTTGATAGTTTTCATACGCAAATTGTTCACGTGTGGCAAATTACCTGATCTCATAATCGTTCCAAATTGAATTGCCAATTAATTGGTCATTTTAATTCATCTCAAATTTTAGCACTTCACATTTGATATTGCAATATAAAAATTTTATTACAAAAATTGTTCAAGACAAGTTAATGGCAGTTGGAACAGTAAAGATTTTGCCTTGATATACGATCAGTTTTGTTGATCCGACTTTTGAGAAAGTGACGGAATACTTATGCTCGGGGTGTTGTTTTTCTCCAGACCAATTTTGGTTTTTTAACTAACTATGCTTGAACGGCAATTTTTTAAACCATCTGAAGGCCAGTGATGTACTGAGCTCCACTGTAAGAAGATGCTTTACCTGTGATTATTTTTTGAAACACTATCGAGGTTTAAATTTGGCTAATTTGTGACAAAAACGCGCTAGATATTTCGTGCTGTTATTGCGTAAGCGGCTGGCTAATCTGTAATCTGCTCCTAAATCGTTCCAAATTGAATTAAGGCAATATATTTAGTGTAAATAATACAAAAAGTCATTTTCTGCAATGAAAATTGTACAATTTTTTTTCAATTGATGTTTTCAAAAACGGTTTCGAAGATACTAAAGGGCAAGCGGTACCCTCAGGGTTTTACCCTGAAACGAGCAGCCTCTTGACCCATTTTTTTGCGGACCATTAAAAATGGGGACGAATATTGCATTCGGGTGTGTTTTAGTTTTTTTTTCCATGCAAAATCAGGTACCCCAAATAGTCTTCGGTATAGGTCGAGTGATATATCATGAAAGAATCCATTTCAGCCGTGATTCCAACGTCATTTAAAAAATTCAAGATGTTATTCGGAGTCGAGAAAAATTGGTCAGCAATTTTCGTTTTTTAGTCTAAATTCGAGGGAATAAAGCGAGCGTGCAGCAGGCTAACATTACAAAGAAAGGCTTTTTAGTTCAATTTAAGATGTGAAAATTGAAATTTTTCGAGAAAAATAAATTTTTCAAGTCTTTTAGCGCCATTTTAGAATTAAAAACGCCATTTTAGAGCAATTTTTTGAATGTGTGGTCTATTTTTGAGCTAATGTGTGGTCTATTTTGTCAAAATAAAGTTTGAAGGCTTACAATAGTTTATTTAAGCAGAGTTTAAGCCGTGAAAACTTTTTTTTTCTCGAGTAAAGTTAGCTTTTGAAATTTTTAGTGCCATTTTGAGAATCTTTAGCGCCAGAAAAATTTCTGCAAAAAAAAATAAAATTTTTGAATTTTTAAACATTTTTTATTCGCTTTTCCATTGATTTTTTGTCAAAAATTGTTGTCCAGTTTGCCTATTTTACTATGTTTTTCGAATATGCCTCAGTTTTAGTTTTTCGTTCAGATCGTTTCATCACACCACGCAGAAAAAAAACCACATAGTTTGAAAAAACTTTTTCTGAAGTTTTATCTAAGACTATAGTCAGAACAGTCTGTGCTTATTCCACAATAACCGGCTATCTTGTTTCTAATCGGGTTAGTTTTAAGAAAAAGTGGTAACCCTAAAAAATTTTGGATTTCAAAGAGTTTTTAATGATATTATTTTTTCTCCGAAATTCCAAACTTGAAAATGTTCAAAAAGTCCTTCTTATTTTGGTTCACTGGGTTTATTAACATTTTTCCAAGTATCTTTTGGCAATGTTTTTTATTGGACCATATTAGAGTTTAACTCAAAATTAATGTTCTGGTAGGTACTAAAACGTTAATTGTTCTGTTCATCTGTCAATATATGCTTCAACGTCAATGCAATTAGGATTTTTGCTGCTTAAGCTTTTACAACAAATTACTGTCTTTAGTTATTTTTCATTCATGCCTTGGCATTGTTTTTTTAAGCTTTTTAAATTAAAAGTTATAAATATTAGAAGTCAGAGTTTTTGAAAACATGAACTCAATTGTTATAAAGTAAAACTATTATGAATCCATTCTTACACGATTCCCCGCATATAATCGAAACCTCACATAGAAACGGCTCATATGACTGGGAACCGCACATATCATTCTACTGTTTGATTCCAGCTCCACGAGGGTCTGGGCATCGGCATCACTGGACCCCCTGTGCCTCCCTCTGCCACCTTCTCCGTGGTTCCATTTCCCCTCAAGAGGAAACCCCACATTGGACCAGACCCCAGTGTCAACTTCTCATTCATAGCCGCCGCATTAGACGACCCGTGAGTTTAAAAAATAAATGAATGGTTCCAAACCACCTTAGATATCCATTTTGCATAACGAGAACAGTTGCATATAAGTTATAATTACTGGTGCTAAAACAGATTACTCTTAAGAACTGATTAACCTTAATGCTGATTGGTTCGCTCGTAGATAAATCTACTTAATTTAAAAATTAACTAAAAGCTTTGTTAATTAGCTTAAGCATAGTGTCATAATGTTACACTGCTCATAGTGTTTTTGATATCGAGATGTTTTTCGAGTTTCTGATTCTCCTGGGACAAAAACTTTCATGCGTCTAAAGTTATCATCGGTCGGTCATCAAAATAAGTCAAATTATTCCAGATTCGTTTTCTGCCTCTATATTGTTAAGTGTTGCTAACTAGAATAAAAGCTATGGCATGGGTGTTTTTTCTTCTGCCCGACTTCCAAGAAAACTTATAGTGGTCAAGTTTGGTATCAAGTACAGCCTCATTAGTCGATTTTAGAAAAGTCAAAAAATTTTCCCTGTATTGAGAAAAACGTGGCAGTTTTGGCTATTAACAAATGCTCTGGAGATCGCCGAGATTTTTAATTTCCACGAGGAGCTCTTTTTTTTCTACTTCCACTTTATAAGTATTTAATTAATATACTTTAAAAGGCTATTTAACATAAAGTACAATAAAGTATAAGTAAACAATTTACTTCCAACTGTTTCCCAGAAAACAGCGTCCAATTTGTGTTCAAGGAATTTGATGGCTGAGAGGGAGATGCTGGCGAAGAAGAAAGAGGAGGAGCAACGGGAGAAGGAGGAAGCACTTCTTAAGAAAGGTGAGCTGCTTGCAGAATGTCTTATATGGAGAACAAAAAAACTTGAGGCTGACAGTCAGTTTTTTTCAATGAATGCGAGTCAAAAGTTCAAGGATTCGACCCTTAGCAATTTATGGAAAAGTTGTTTTTGTGCACTGATTTTGCGTGAATTGCCGTCAAACATTCTAAAACTTGACTGAAATCTAAAATCTATATACTCAATAACCGCCATTATTTACATGCACCAGAAATATTTATGAAAAGTTTATATAATTTTTGCGGTGCCGAATTTTAGTTTTGTCTAAACTTGCACTCATGCAATAAAAATTTCAAATAATTGGAAGAAGTTCATTCTTGTTTCGTTTAACTAGGGAGACTTTGTCTTCAATTTTCAGGATCCTCAGAACGAGGATTGAAGTAACCAATAAAAACCCGAAAAAAAACAACATGTTCTTTTGTTTTCGCTCTGTGAAACAAATTACATATTACAGCAAGTGTCCTTCTATTTAATTATTAGCTTGATAAAAAATAATATTCATGCCTTAAATTTAAAAGAAGTTAAGGGCAAATCAGTAAACCGTTCCGGTGGTTCCTTATAAGCATTTAGTTATGTAATGAAGTCTTTATGGTGTACCCTTCTCCTCTTTTCATAGTTCACTGAAACGGATAAAAAAACGTAAACTCAAGCGTTTATTTTACTCAAGTTCAAATTAGCCGTTTGTTAACCAAAAAATACGCGTGATGAATAGTTCCTCAAATGTTGTATTAGAAGCTCTGCGCTTGGCCGCAATTAGTCCTGCACCTTCTTCCCTCTCCGCCTCAGGTCTGTTCATGTGTGCTTATATCGTGTTCGCTTATGTTCAATTTCATAGTTTGTTCAGTTTGAAATTCAGCTTCAACATTTTGGTTCACTTCATGAAAAAAAACTGCATTCAAGAAGTTGACTGTTTTGGAATTGCAAGTCATAAATCAAGCTGGAAATTTTTCAACTTCGGCTGGTGTTTCTACGCACGAGAACATCAGATCTATTTTGGTTCTTTGACTGTTTGTTTTATTGTTCATGTTACTTTGTTATTGATATTTTCCTTGATAATCCGTGTTTGACTTTTCAGCTCCTAGTCGGAAATCGAGTCGCCGAATGAGCATCGGTACGAGCTCGAAATCTCCTAACGGTCCGATTTGGGCTGCAGAGAATAGTAGTTAAAGATAGTATAATCATAAACTAACTGCTTAGAGCTTGAGCTTTAAAAGAGGTAAAATTCAAGGAACTATACATGATACGGTTGCTTAGAATGTGTCTACTGAATTTACAACTAGATAAAATACAAAATTTGGCCCATAAATTGAACAAAAAGGAATCGCAGCATGCTAAGCGCCACTTATAATCCTAAGGTCTTTGCCAAAGTTTATATCTAAAACTTAAAAGTTAAAAAATTACGAGACCAAACTGTGATTTAAAAAATTAGGAGGTTCCTTGCGAGGCCAAAACAAACAGTGCTCCCATAAGGCGAACTGTTTGGTGCGTGTGGGTCATGGGAATCCGCGTACGAGGCTTGAAACAAAAAAAATTGTTTATGGAATCGACTGATCAAATTATCGCGGAATCAACAAACAAATGTTTGTAACAATTTTCATCGGCATTTTTGTTGTGCCCCAGAAACCGCAAACAAGCGAATATTCAAGAAAATTTTGAATTTGTAAATTTGTTAGTGGAAACAGGATTTGTTACTAGATTTTGCAAAAATTACTCAAAAAATGATTTACTCTATTAAAGCGAAAGATTGAAAGAGTGTGTACCACTAAGAGCTAAAGTTTGAATTCTTTAGAGTAATTTTAAATAAAATCATTTCAAGATTTCGAAATTTCAAAAAACAATTTTGATGTTTTTTCTAAATCACCCACCCGCACGCTATGTTAAGTACAAAGTGATAGATTTTGCATGTAGGAAAGTATCGAATAGACCAAAGAGCATGCGTCAATCCTATTTGGAACTATTTCTAATATATCGTGCGTTAATTGTCCAAAATTGGCAATCTTTAAACCCCCATAACTTTACAAAAAATTGATCATAGGTGATTTTTTTAATTTGAGCTCAGAAGAACAGTACTTTTCAAATGATAAATATTTATTTTTTTTTCAAAAATTGCTAGTTAAATAATCGAATTTTGTCTGGAAAAAAATCTTCTCGAGCACAAATATCCCGTCAATTTCTTCGAAAGTCGGAACAGTAAAAAGCAATTGCGGTATTAAAAAACAAGGATTCGAATATAGTTTATAGATTCCAAGACAAATCTTCAAAAAGAGCTCAAGTTAAATAATTGTTCCGCTCTTGCTTCGAAAGTCGGAACAATTATGGATGTACCTTATAGCTGCCAACGTATGCATCAATTTCTCACTTATTTTTTGTTCCGACTTTCGAAGAAAACGGAATATTTTTGTATTTGGGAGGGTTTTTTTTATTCAGTCAATTTTCGGTGATTTTATGCCCCATTGAAGATATCGACTTCCTAAAATCAAATTTAAAAAGATATTTTTTGCAGTTTTGGGATTTGAAAAATCGCCAATTTGGCCATGCTCTGGACTAATTTATGCACACTTCGAAGATTTTATCCATAATCCTGAAAGCGTAACGCGAATTATTTATGCGTGGTGAATATTCCCGCTCAGCAAAATCGTATTAATTTTGTACGACTAAAATTTTCACACTTGATCTTTGATGTTGTCCAAAATTTATTGTTTTTCAATATTTTCTTTTTAGTTTCCTTTCCCAAAAGTCTATTCGATATGGATTAAGGGGCAGTCGGAACATTCAGGGCTTTGCTCTGATATGCGAGCGATCTTGTTTCAGCTTTTGGGATGAATGTCCTTTTTTCAACTCAATCTAGTTCAAATCATTTTACGATAGGGATTGGTTAGAGGATGGTGAACCCAGATATAAATAAAGCTGATACATTTCATCTAAAATGCTGAAAGTCTCTTACTTTTATAGTCTTCATCTTAGTAACTGTTGGCACTTTTATCTTAATTGCTGCCGTTGACTTTTATCCAAATTCCTGAAGTTGACTCTTATCAAAATTGCTTACGCTGACTTTTATCCTCATTGATCCTGGGACTTTTATTCTATTTGTTGACGATGACATTTTTGCTAATTGCTGACTTTTGACCTAATTGCTGATTGTGACTTTTATCTTAATTGTTGATGGTGGTTTTTTCCTAATGTAACGAAAATAGAGGTTTTACAAAAAAAGCTGGGTAAAACAAATTTCACCTTATCAATTTTTGTGCAAACAATTTAAACATGTAACCATTTTCTTCTAAACTTTGCTAACAAAATGCGGATTCCACTAACAAAAGGAGTATTTGGCAACGTCGCGCATGTGCATTTTTCTGTTTATGGATTCCGCAAGTTTTATTCTAGATTCTCCAAATTTTACTGCTTGAGCAAGTTTTTTGATCGGTACAGTATTTCTTCAGCCATTTGTCTCTGTATTCTCATCAATGAAATTTTAGCTTTGTTGCGGATTCCATTTCAGAGCCTTGTCAACCTTTTTCCGAATTCGCTTACAGCCTCATAAGACACATTTTGGCCTCGTAATGTTGATCTTATTCATTTAAACACCTATTGGATGGTATTTAAACGATTGTTCTGCGAGTAGCTTACTTCTACAAGCAGCAGTAACTTTGAGCATTCTTGTATGTTGACTTGAATTCTACCTCTATGAAATGATAAACATCTCTGCTTTATGTTTCCCTTTTGCTGTTTTTTGTTCAATTTTTGTTGCATACTCATAATTTAAACAGCTTCATGTGAATATTGTAATGCTTACATCCATTGATAAATAAAAGCTTTAAAAACTCAGCTACTTGAACTCACCTCTGCTTTTTTGAAAATTGTTTGATCATGAAATGGTTCAACTGGTTAAAAATTGAGTCGACAAAAGATTTTTTTCTTGATGACAGAATGGCCAAAATCTTTAATTTTGATTTGATTTTCCCCTTCAACAAGCACTGATTTAAAAAGCTGAAATGAGGATTTAATTTCAACCTTGACTTTTGAAATGAAGTGAGCAGTTTCGAGAAATCTAAATACCAGTTTTTGTAAACACTTATTTCAATTTTGAATAGTTCAATCATTCAAAAAAAAAACCACATACGTTTTCTAGTAAACCTTTTTTGTTTTTGGCCTCTTTTCGAAAATGAATTTCGCTTATTCAAAGAGCACAAATAAAAAACTTGGACATTTAAATTGAAAACCGGTTTTGTCAAATTAATTTTCCGAAAAAACATGATATTTTTAGGCAAGAAAGAAAAAGAGAGCAGCCGAGAGAAAGATTCCAAATCGAGTCGAACTGGGACTCTAGGCGGGAGCAAAGAGAAGTCGAGTAAGAGTAAGAAGACGACTGCGGGAGAGGACTCAGGTGCTGCTTCTGGTGGCACGAAGAAGTCGGGCGGAAAGAGCAGTGCTGCTGAACCGACTGAGGCTGTGTTTGGTCTCGTGCAAGAGGATGATTCGGCTCTTCCGAGGTCAGACAGATGTTGTGAACTAATTTTTTTAAAACAAATATTCATATCACAGTAATAATATATTTATTTAGGAGAGAGTTATACATATACTTATTGTTCAGACTTTTGATACGAAAGTAACGGAATATTTGTGCTCGGTGTTTTTTTCAGGCAAATTTCGACTTTTTAACTAACCATTTTTGACGGAATTTTTTTTATATCATTCGAAAGGTATTGTTGCCCTGAGCTCAAATTTGAAAAGATATTTTACCTGTGATTGTTTTTCGTAAGTTACGGGGGTTTAAAAATTGCCATTTTGGCCAATTTGGGACAATTACCGCGCGATATACTTCGCGCTAGTAACGCGTAAGCGGAGATTTAATCCGTTTTAGAAATTGTTCGAAATTGGTTGAAAGAAGCTTATTTGCCATTATTGATTTGTGAAAGGAGCGAAATTTATTCTTTTGTAGTTTATATGGCGTGTGGGGGGGGTGATTTTCATAGAAAAATTTCAAATTAAAAAAAAATTCATTTCTTATTACATTTAATTTGTTAATGATAGATGTTATTACTGCTCCATAAACCTTAAAAGGCAGTCGGGATATTCAAGGCTTCGCCCTGATATAAGCAGTCTTGTGTGATTATGAATTCATTTCTGGTATTTTAAATGCAGAGCTCATATTGTGCGTGTATATAATCAAACACCAAGGACCCTCATTAGCCTACTGGCTTGCAACGAACAACCTGGAAAAATATTGGAAGTAGTTAAAGCAAGTACCCAGCCGAGAGGTAAATTGACCAGTAAAAAAAATCCGTTAAAACGCTGTTATATTTGAAATACTTAACGTTTTTATCAACACACGCTAAAACTTTTTTAGGGAAATCTTGATATTTTTGGAGTTGAAGGTCATTTTTTAGTTTTAAAAAAATGAGGCATCGTCTTTTTGGGATAGTAAAAGATTTACCCATTGTTATTCGTCCAATGTTTCAAAGGTGGAAGTATTTTTTTACTCTTCTCATTGCATAAACTGTTGGATTGGATCTCATAACATTTCATAACAGTTATATTTCGTGTCAGGCTACACGCTGTAAAATAGTTTTCTTGAATATTGCAATAAAGAAAAGTTCGTAAACAGTGTCTGTTTGTATGAAAGTAAGTTGAGACATGATCCATTCTTTTTTTGAAAAAAAATTGTGCATAGCATACGCTTCAGGAAAATCAAGATCCTAATAAAGTTGGATTTACTGGCTGTCCCGTAAACCAGTATTCCATGAAAAAACTGATTACGCATATGCATTATAGAACAGAAGTAATGACTTGGTTGAGAAAAAGTTTCTTCCTTGGAAGAGTATACTGTTGAATTGAGCCAATCGTTTGCAACGTAGGTCAATATAACAAGTAAACTTTAGTTTTTCAGCAATTATTATCTCCAGATTTTTGAAATTCTATTGTTGGCTTATGTAGAGGTTTATACCTGGCTTATACCGATGATCATTCAAAAAGCACAGATGATTGAGGCACAAAACTGAAAATTTTGAAACCGTTCAGATGGTTTCGTTTTTTTTCGGTCATGTCAATGAATTAAATTTCTATCATCTTCAAAAATCAAAGATATTATAATTGATTATATTTGATTTCGAAAAGAGAGATTATAATCGATTATTAATTGATTAAAATCAATTTTTTCTCAATTTCTGTAAGACTGGTACTAAAATCATATTATAATCGATTATTAACGCTTGAAACTGGATGCGGGTGGGAGTTAAATTAACCACATTAGTTGAAATGAAAAGACTAAAGATCCAATTATCAATATCCACAAAACTGCAAAGCTGCTTCTTCCAAGTTTTTGAAACTTAATCTGGATCAAGTCTTTCTTGGCACAGAAGAGACAAAAAATTAGTGATGAATAAAATTTTAAAAAATCTACATAATTTATGTTTTTCTACTTTTCAGATTAAACATCCTACGATGGGTGATCGCTCCGAAAGGCGAGCGAACTATACGAGTACGCTTCATTGCTTCATCTGCCGGGCAGTTCGACCAAACGCTAAATTTTGAACTAGTCGGCACAAGACGCAGATACCAACTACACCTCCGAGGCATCTCCTGTTTTCCGGCGATATCCAGAGAACCCAGAGTGCTGTTCCCGTCGTGCAAGAAAGTGTTGGGAAAGAAAGAGATCGCGAAGAAGTGCTATGTTGGATCTGGCAACTGTTTCGAGTTTGGACCCCTGTTGCTGAATAAAAAACGAGACGAGTAAGCTAATCATCAAAGTGATTTATCTTTAATTAATTTCGAGTTATTCAAGAGCACTAAAATTTAAGTTTGCATAGATGTTTGATGGCGATTTACATAAATTTGGGGATAATTGAAGTCGGGAAAAATAGCTTCTGATGAAATTTCTGTTCATCGTTGGTCTGTTTGAGTGTTTTGGCTTCAATTCGATCAGCCATTGGTCGCCTCATTTTTTCAGAAAGTCTTTAAATTTTTTTAGTCTCAAATTTGGTTTTTCGCAGTATGATTTTTGGTTTCTTTTAAAGTTCAGTTCACTTCTTTTGTTAATCGAACAGCAAAAGTGTAAAGGTCACAAAAACGTGATCGACTATTAGTTTCGTAAGTGAAATTTACATTTCAAATTTCCCTGCGGAGCAAAATTTTTACCTTATAACCCAGTTTTCTCAAATTGGGTTAATTGTATCAAAAAACTGCCTATCATAAATTGTTCTTAATATTCAAAGTGCTTTAAGGTCATCTATTTTCAAATTGAGTTTTTCTGTATTTTTTTCTGTCTCCTTGCTTTGATTGACTCTTTTCCAACTGACTGCTATGTTTTGCTATTACTTTTATTTCCCTTGCGATAAGCAAGGATATTGCAATTGGGTACTAGACTTTTTTCCAGTAAATAACTTTGTTCACATGACTAACCTCCTTGATCCTGGACTAACTCAAATACTTCCTTTATGAATAAAATCAAATTCGATCAACAACTTGGCGCATCAACAACTTTTTTGCAAGCTGGAAATGTTTGGCAGTTTTTGCCTCTCTGCTTATTTTTGCCGGCTTAGTTCCTGCAGAACAGACTTTTTTTTGAAATTTAGGCTTTTTTCTAGCTTTCCGAAAGCTACATGTAAAATTGCTAATGGTGCAGGTAATTTTTTTGGGATCTTGGGCTTGTTTTGTAATTTTTATAACTTTTTATGACAAAAACAATTTTTGAAGGTTTTTACAATTTTTGATTTTTTTGATTGATTTTAATCGCAGTCATTCATTTTTATATCGCAAGTGGTGTGGATTGTGTATTGTAATTAAGTTCATAAAAAGCGTAGTTTTGTCTAGTAAAGAGACGGCCTACCCTGAGAACATGGAAAAGTTCTGTTTGTTCAACGACTCCCTCTTGGACGTGGAGATGTCCATGTGCTTCCTGCAGGACTCCAACGAGACCACATTCATTATGGACACTCACAACATTTCTCTGTCTGTGGGGGAGAAAAAGGCTAGTACTGCACTAAATGGCATCGACTCTTTCCGATTATACTATTCCACGTTGCACAGCAAAATCTTTTACTCCCTTGCCTATTACCAAAATATAGTTTGGTGGGCTATCATCTTTCACTATAAGGCCGGAAATGAGCTATGTTACTCTTCCTGTTTTTTACCCAGCAACAGTGACCGTGGCAGTATGAAGACCAAATATGCTTATGTGAGCCTAATTAGCCAGAATGCTCGTTTTCGTAGCCATCAGACGTAAAAAACTGCTGATAAGAGGAAGAAAGAATTCCCAGAGCTTAAATTTTTTGCCTAGTAAGATTTTGACAAGAAATATAGGCTTTTTTTCCTTTTCACCCCACCTGCGAAATTTCAATAGTAATTATCGCGTTCACATTGTCAGATTGGGCTCTTCAAACCCCCCCCCCCCCTCACACGAGCTTCAATATATTAGTGTAACGAGTGGTTTTACGAGGTTGAGTATGAAGACCAAATATGTTTGTCGAGGCCTTGTATGTAAATTTTCATAACAATCGGACAATGTGGTCAACATAAAAAATTTACGTAAAAAATGGCAGGGAAAAGGAAAAAGAGCCTCAGATTGTTACAAAAATTGGCATGCGGACTAATTAGGCTATGGCAAACATATTTGATCTTCATTACTTTGTAAAACCCCTCGTTACACCATTAAATTGATGTTTATTTGAGGTGGGGCGGAAAAGGAAAAAGAGCCGAAATAAAATTATATACGCGTAATACATGTTGTACTTTATTCAAAGTTAAATAAATTGCAAAACTGCACGTGCCTTTTTTGGTAACAAGGAAAAATCATTTTTCTGATATTGATTGATGACAGCAGCATACCTGTTGACTCTGAACTCCGCTTTATCATTTCACGCTTTGAGCAAACCAAGATTATCACAGCTAAAACAACGCTTTAAATTCTTCTGTATTTATATATTTTTGCTTTATTCGTTCAAACGTCAAACTCCTGACCGGCGATATTTTATGGTCTGTATAGCTAGCTAATTGCTCATATCAAATTTTGAGCGGCTAGACATTTTGAGTTTTTCCGGTAAAAAAACTGAGTTTTTGTCGTTATGAACCAACCCAAACCATCAAAAGTGGCTACTTCCAAACCTAGTGCTGGAATCGCAATTACAGCAGTTAGTGTCAGTGAATCGGCAGCCAGCAAAAGTATGAGCATGAAACAACCGGATGCTATGTCTAAAAACACAGGCGCAACTTACGACAATTCAGGATCGACAGCAATGTCGAATTCTGACAAAGCTCTTGCCAAGTCAGTCGCTGGTTCCCGTGCTATGTCGTCGACATATAACGCGAACACCTCAGGTTTCAACTCGGACCAAGCGCTTGCAAAATCCGTGGCCGGGAGTCGAAACCCAGAAACCCGTTCTCAAAGCAGTGCTGGAACTTATGCAACCAGGGGAACTAAGATGTCCCGCGCTAACTCGGACATGTCTTTGAACTCTACAATCGCTGGACGCAGGATATCAGATAACTCGAGAACTTCACTTTTGGCTGAGATAACAAGACAGGCGAGCAAAGGATCTTCATCTGGTAAAGAAATGAGTTCAATTTCAGAAGGTCAAACTTCGAGTAGCATGATGCAAAAAGACGATGCTCTACAAAAAGCGTCCAATCAAAATCTCTCGAACGTTGGAAATCGAAGTGCTGACTTAAGCCGTAGCTCAAGTGGAAAAGAGTATTCACGAACTGCTTACAGGTCTCAAAGCAGTATGGGAGGTAATCGGAGGAGCTTAAGTGGTTCCGGAAACAGTGCTGAAGTGGAAAGATCAAAGAGTGCTGCAACGTTCAGCGGAGCGCCTCAAGGGTCCGCATTCAAGGGAACTCTTAAACGAAATCCTTCTGAAAGCTTCAGTGGTTCTAAGAGCTTAACGTATAGCAAAATGTCAATAAGTAATCTTGATGAATGGAGTCATCAAAACAACAGTTCCTCGAAATCCAATTCAGATCTGTCGCAGGGGAAGAAAAACACCATTTCATTTAAAAAACCGGTAGCTGAATCCGTAAATGAGGAATACGGAAACGCTAAAGAAAGTGTCGCTACTGTATCACAAATGCCTGCATATGTACAAAACCAAAACCAGGCTCAAAATAATGAGCAGGTTGCTCCAACCAAAGAGGCGTATGCCGGTACTTCGAAGCAAGTAGTTAGTAAAAGTACTATATATTCAAGAGGCGGATGGGCTTCAGTTGAAGCTCAGAGAAACCAACAGCGTCAAAATAGATCGAACTCGGTTCCGAGACCCTCGATTGCGGCGGGTAAACCTCCACCGGCACCTAAACAACCAAACCACCCAAGCTCCAACCGAAACGGCTCGTATCCGTTTGCATCTATGTACGAGAAACCACGATATGCTCCTGACGACGAAAGTTATGGAACTGTTAAAAGCTATGGCAGCAAAAACACCCGAGGCAAAACAACAGGAAGCGGGACGTTTCGGGTTTCCGTTGGGAGTAGCGGTGGCGCCGGTGGTAATACCTTAAGTGGCAGCGGGACTTCCAAGTCTTCGGAATCAAATAAATCCGCGGTTGGATCCGCAGGTGATGCCAAAACTTCAAGTGAAGAGAAAAAGGCGCCAAAATCTACTGACCGAATGAATAATACAGCGGTTGTTTGGATGCGAGGCGAAGGTGGTCATATTTTGTCTCCAAGACGCGCTGGTATTAGTGACTGTGGTGATATGATGGTGATCGGCCGGCCAAATGCTACTTTGATTAATGTAAAACCCTATTCGAAATACTGCAATACACCCGCTATGAAAAGGTTTCGACCCTTTTTAATCATTCCTCTCAATTTTAACCGTTCCAATTCCCATAAAATGCATGGAAACATCTTTCTCAAAAAGCCCCAAATAAAATTTAGATCTGCTTTCCAAAAAAAATAAAAATCCTTCTCTGAGAGCTATAATGATCTCGGTACTAGCTTACAAGGAATATGACTCGAAAGAGTAATATGAAGCAGGCTGGCTGTTTTTTTTTACAATTTACCTTGCATCAATTTTACAGTATTTTGATTTAAGTTATACTCAGGAAAATTAGGGAACTTAAAAAGAGTCTGATAAGATTTCAAAATTTGATGTCTCCGATTTGTGAGTTGGAACAAGACCGGCTTTACAACGAGTACGCCAGTATATTAGACGAATACCAAAATTTCTTTCAACAGCAGTTTTCATTTGTTCGGGCGCTTGAACATGCGAGAAGGCCTTATTCCTGGGACGATGCAGGATGTGTTGAAATTAGATGCATGGAAAATGTTGAATGTTATCTACACCGTCTTTCCCAAACCGGAAATGCTCTTTTCGCACGCGTGATGCATTTATTTTTCAGGCTTTTCCGACGTTGCGAGATTCACTTCAACAATCTGCTCAAGTTTTATCAAGTTTTTATAGTTCCTAATACGCCTCATGATGTAAACAGATCACAAGCTTTGCGAAACTTAAACGAAATGAAAGAATTGCTACATCGAAAGTTTCAGTTTTACGATCTTCGAGTTTCGAACCCGCATCAACAGGTTCTGAGATTAAGCGTTGATGAATCAAAAGTTCATTATGGGGGAGCTGTTAGCTATTTACCTATTGTGTTGGACGTTTTGGACCAGACTAGATCCTTGATGTCGCATGTTATAGATAACACATTGGACCATCTCGACCCAGAATTCGAAGAACGAAGACTTGCGTCAGCTCCCGTACATATGTGATATACATTCCAAGAAAAATATTGCAATGGCTATTTAAGTTCTTTGAAATTAAGCTTGTAACAAAAGTTTTTCATAAGTTGGAGGTCTAGCTTCGTTCAAAAATCTTCAAAAACAAAACAAAATATGCGATTTTTTCTAATCTTCAATATTTTACCTCATTGCTTTATTGATATATTGATACCGCTTCATATTTCTAGCGAAAAAAAAGTTGAAACAAAACAAAAAATATTCGTTTAAAATTGATATTAAACGCATAAATTAATGCAAAAGGTTCAAAGGAAACGTGCACAAAAGCTCTGTGAAATGCTTCAATGAGTCCCACATATGCTAGTGCTTGCAGAGATGGGATGTCCTGATGCATCCCTATTTATTCCAGTTTTTTTTAGCGATTTGTCATTTCCGCTACTAGTTCACGCACCAACATAATTAGCTTTTAAGAAGAAACCGGGTTTTGCATTTAATAGTTTTATTTACACAATCAGGTCGAATGAAATATCACAAGACAATTGTTCGTAGACAAAGTTGCTCATTTTTTTGGTAAATTGCTGTAAGTAGTTTCTATTTTTTTATTTTCTGAGTACTATTTGACAATTTCAAGTTAGAGCTTAGTAACACATATATTGAAGCTATTTCAGTCGTGATTCGAACGTGAAGAAAGTTTTCAAAATGTTGGCCCAATATCGCGAAAAACTTTTTTGATTTTGTCGAAGTTTGAGCGAATAAAGTTAGTTTTACCCAAGTTAAGTTAACTTATGGAGTTTTTAGCCCCATGCAAAATTTCTGCAAAATTGAAAATTTAAAAGTTGTTTATTTTTTTTTGTGATTTTTCTTGAGAAGTCTTATTTGCTTTTTTCACTATGACTGACGAATCTACCTAAGTTGTAGTGCTTCGTTCAAACCCTTTTTTACACCAAGCAGAAAAAGATCGACTATTATTTAAAAAATATGTATATATACTTTTCTTAGACTATGGTCGGAACATTCTGTGCTACTTGCACAGTAACGGGCTATCATTGTTTTCATTCTATTTTTATATGATACGATTTGTCCTCTCAAAAAATTGGTTTTTTCGGTTTTCATTACTTTGAGTGTCAATAAATGTAGTGAATGCTTTTAAATAGGTCTTGATGATTTTTTGTATGTTTTTTTAGGAAAATTTTGCTGTTTGAATTTTCATTCTTTTTCCGCTCAGTTTATTTTTTTGTTTAAAGGAAGGCAAACTCCACTAAAGGTTAGCAGAAGTCTAAAGATCTTGAAAAACGAGAACATTTTTCAGTTTCCAAAGTGGATTTTAATCAGATAGCCAGCGGAATTAAAAATTTACCTATTGGTCCATTTTTCTCACTTAGGTGAATTTTATCAAACAATATTTCTTGCGTTCATTGTCTGTTGGTTTCATTCCTTTGGTAAATGTAAATGATATTTTTGGTGTAATTTCAATTTGAATATTGTTTTTATAAATTTTTCCATGTTTTCTCAGTGTTGATAAAATATCCGTATGTTGTATGTTACAAGCTCAATTGGTAGTGGTACTCCTTAACCCACATTTTTTTCTATAAACCGAAATATTATTAAATGTAGTTGAACGAAGTTAAGAATTTTATTTAAGGTCATCTTGATTTTTTTTCGATTGCTTGATGTTCCGACTACTGCATGTTGTCCATGTTACTTGTTGTTCCAAAATTTGATGACATAAACAATTGTATTTCGATGATATTAATTTGATTCTAATGCAGTGCAATTACGACGTTTTTTTAAAGTTACTTCTCTTTATGCAATTTTTTCTACCTACTGACGACTACAAGTTTTTTTTATTTAAAAAAATTTTCGATGAAACATTCGATCAACGTAATTCAGATTCTTGTATAGGTTTCGGTATTTTTTTTTTCATTTTTATCAGGAAAAGTCTTAAATTTTGTTCCGGATCAAGTTTTCGTTTTCGCGGTTTGACTTTTAACCTTTGTGATAGCAAGTGTATTGCAATTGGGTACTAGATTTTTGTCCCCTAAACAACTTTGTCCACAGGACTCATTGAACTGGCGGTACCTTGGTTCATAAAGAATTCAAAATTTGTAGTGTCTCTTGCATGCTTGGCCTGGTGTTAACGAGTACGCCTGGGATGGCAAAGGTCCTGGGCTCGAATTGGACTAGGATCAGTTTTTTTTTAAAGGTAATTGTACCGGTTCAAAAAAATTTTCGGCCTATGATTTGGCTGCTTATATTTTGTCGGCTTAGTTCCCACATCTGAGAATCGTTTATCTTAGCTGTAAACAATTTTAACTGCAGTTGTTTTTAGCATTTTAAAAAATCGGCAGAATTGAAATTTGCTTTTCACATTGGTTGTAGTTTAACCAGCTCGATTTATTAAAATTTCATTTAAAAAAAAAAAAAATTTCGTGATTTTTATCGGCCTATTAAATTTCGGCCTAATAAATATCGACTTAATGGCCTCCTATTGCGTCGTTACGTCCGAAAAAAGTTTTTGTGCGCGTGTTTGTGCTCTGACGGGAAAAGGGACTTATTATTTTTTATAAGTTAAGCATTTTACTTTAGTTCTTTCTTCTGCATGAAGGTTTTCTGCTCACGTTTTTTTGCCTTTGTTATTGCTGCTTGGTAATTATACACTCAAATCGAATCAACCATCCGGCGCACAGATAAAACAAGGGCTTGAGATGGTATAGATTTGCGGTTCGAATCTAGCCGGGCCCTTTTTTGCAAACTAAAGTTTTTGTGCTTTTTCGGATTATCGTGCGTCTGTTTATTTTTGTCGGCCTAGTTCTCGTTGGTCCATAGGTCAGTTTTATTTCAAATTTCTGTAACCCCCATTCTTGAGAAGACAAAGCCAGTGAGTTTGATTCTAGTTGAGACTTGTTTTTCTTGCAAATAGAAAGTTTTGGCTAATTTAGACTATTGTCTGTCTGCTTATTTTTGTCTGCTTTGTTCCCCAGAAAGGACTTTTTTAAAAATTGGCTTCTGTATAGCGCTACTGAAGCTCTTTGTAGAATTTCTAATGGTGCAGGTATTTTCGTTTTTTGGGCTTTATTTGCCATTTTTATTGACAAAAACGATTTTTTGAATTTTTTACCGTTTGATTTTCATAACATCAATATTTGTATCGCAGGTGGTGCGAAGCTCAGCTTCGCCTCTGTGTTTCAGTTCATTTCGTTTCCTTGGTTAAATGGAAGGCCTGTGTTTAAATTCATTTCATTTCCTTTGTTAAAAAGAAGGCAAACTCCACTATCGAACAGCTAAAGTGTGAAGGTCACGAAAAACTTGATCGGCTTCTATTTTCGAAAGTGGAATTTAATTTTCAGATTTCACAGCGAAATAAAAATTTGACTTGATGATCCAGTTTCCTCAAATTGGGTTATTTTTTTCAAAAAAGTGCCAATCACAAATTTCAAAATTTAGAAGAGCTTCAAGGTCATCTATTTCTTTCTTTGAAAGTAGTTTTGTCTGTTCACTTGCGTTCACGTACTCTTTTCCAACTGTCTGTTGGCTATGTTTTAGAATTTACTTGTACAGCAACCTGCTATTTTGCTTTTATTGGATGGTGTGGATGGTGATTATGAACATTGGTCCCTTTATGTCTTTGCACTGAAACTAATTGCTCTTGTTTAATAGTTATTTGTATTCACAGGAACTGACAGTATGGGCCTATCCGAAGACCCTAGGCGAGATCTCGGACGTGATCGTGTGTTGCATCAAGGACAACCCAGAACCCCTCTTGTTGAAGATATCCTGCCAGGGGTGCAAACCCCAGCTAGAGATTCCCAAAGTGGACGGCAAAGTGGCGTTTCAGTTTGACAAAGTCCTCTTGCACAGGTCGCTACATGATGTTTTCTACCATATTTCTACCATAAGTTATATTAATGTTTTTGAACCGCCTGCTCGACAAAATTGAATGGAAAAGTATAAAAATCATTAAAACCCAAGATAAATCTGAAATCATCGGCCAAGATAAGCAGTTTTTTTTGAGACCATACTAAATGAAGCAGCTATTTTGAAAATGTAGGTTTCCAAGTTTAGATTTTGTAATACTAAATTAGCCTTTAAGCCAATTTTTTGCTGTTTTTTGCAGAAAAGACACAAAGGTTGTCCCGTTCCGGAACCCGACAAAACTTCCAGCTGCTTGGAAGATCATAGGCATGGATAGTCTGCGTGATGACGTCACTCTATCGGCTGAGCAGGGAGTGGTTCCCCCTCTCGGGGAGCAGATGGTGACTGCTGTGTTCAAGGCCACCAAAGCAGGGCCCCTTCCGAAAAGGACTGTGAAAATGGAGGTATGAATGAACACTGATCAATAGAATTTTGAGATTTATATGCATATTCTGATTTGAGAAAAACTCCCAATAATTGACAAGATACTGATGAAAAGATTTCATATGTCTTCAATGTTGCATTTACTTCATTTTTGCATTAGTATACATTTCTATAAAGGTTAAAATTTTATTTCATTTGTATCGTTGGCCTGTAGCAGCCAAATTTGTTGAATTTTGAAGTTAAGTGCCATAAATTGACATGAAATTTAATTTAATGACTAATATCCAGATGAGATGCGGCTGTTTTTTTTGTGGTTATATATTTTATATATTTTGTGGTTTTAAGCACAAGGATATGTTATGGGTCAAATTGCTTTAAAAAATGAAATCAAAAAAGTTGACGTCAAATTTTCAAATTTATAACATGATTAACATGTTTGATGAGTTGTTTGTTCGTAGGTAACGGACGTGGACAAGATCATGGGCGTTGTGCAGACAGAACAAGTGGTGGCCACAGGCGAAGCGTATGATGTACTCCTCGATATGAGTTTCCCCAAAGGTAGGTATCTCCGGTCGCCAGGAACTGCACCACCTATTAGCAAAGAATCCGAATTGAAGACAATAGTAAAATTCAGAGTATTGCTCTTTAACAATAGTTCTAGATTACTCTTCATCTTACTAATCCAGACTATAGCATCCAGTTGAATAAATCCACTGCAGTAGTCAGGTTAAATTTGGGCTGAAACTCCAGGCCATTTATAAAATAACTATTTTTTTTGACAGAAAAAGAAACTATAATCGATTTTGTATGGACATTACCGATAAACCCATGGTGTTTTGTATCATTGTCCTGTCCAATATTTTGTTCATTTTGTGTAATGTTAGTTGCAATTCATACATTTTTTGTTTCATTCATTTTATGTATTATTTTTTAGAATATGGTAAGAGAGAATTGTACCATCTAAACTAGTTTTCATCTAGTCTGCATATTCTAGAATATTCTTGCTGTCTGTTGCATAATCAGTAGCAAAAATTTTGGGCAGTAATTAAACAAACAAGGGCATTTGACTTATTTCGGAAGTGTCGAAAATGAACTTATTTATCTTTTTATTTACGTCCGAATTCTTTGCTACTAATCATCCGTAATAAATAAATATTAGCGGTTTTTATTGCTATTCACAAGCTGCAGCTCATTCTTTTTGCAGCATAAACTGATCTCTTATGAAATTTTGTTCGTCTGGCTTTTCTCTGTGCAAGAATGAGGAAGACTTAGAAAACCATGAGGTCTTTTAAAAACCTGGAACACGAGGAAGTCACAATATGCTTAATCTTTTGTTTAAGAGTCGGTGAACGTATTTCAGACTCTTATAAAGGTTGTGATGATTTTTTGTTTCTCTTTTATCAGGAAAAGTTGCACAATTTGTTCAGGCTCACTTTTTTGGTTTGGCTTTCAATTTCATTTCTTTTGATAAAGAAAGGGAAGGCAAACTGACTATCTAATGGTAAAAAAAGTAAATATTACGAAAAACGTGATCGATTTCTATTTTCGAAACTGGTTTTAGATCGGATATCCAGCAGAAATAAAAAGTTACTATTTATACAGTTTTAACACTTGCGAAGCCAGTGTATTAGTATAAACCTTCTTTTTTCCAATCTAAGTAGCAAATACTGGTGCCACTTTTGGGGCACCCTTACAACTTTTTCATAGCATGTGCTTTAACGTTCAAAGAATAATAAGTTAACGCATTTGGTGCATTTTTACTTCATCAATTGAACCGAAAAAATTGATTCGTTTCAAAGATTATAACAATACCGAAGAAAACTCGATTTCAGAAATTTTCTAACTTATTATATCTCGAAACTTTTTGAAATGCACAAATTATACATAATCTGGTTTTATGCTTTGCGATTTATTACATGCAAAGTTAGTGTGTTTGCCTTCAGTTTGTTTTATTCCAAACTATTGAGTCTATTTGTATTTGGGGCCTCTTTTGCTGAATGGCATTGGCTAGTTATTAGCACATGTAGATGCTTTATTCGTGACTAGTGTTTGTCGGTTGTTCAGCTTGCGTGGCTGAGTGGATAGTGAGCGAAACTAAAAATCTCTTGATTGCAGTAGTTCGTAGATTCGAATCCTACACAAAGCCGAGTTTTTGCTAATTAGAGGCTTATTTCTACTTTTTCTTATTTCACTTGATAGAGCTGTTTTTTGGTGGTGTTCCCGCAAGTGTTTGCGAAGCGCAGCTTCGCCTCTTTGTATCAAGTTGGGTTAATTTCATCCAAACAGAAACAATTATAATTTTTTGTTGACATTCAAAGAGCTTTAAGAGCATACAATTTTTTTAAATTTCGAAAATTGAGATTTTTTCAAAAAATAAGTCAGTTTTTTTTTCTGTTTTTTTTTGCGTTTTTTGAATCGTTTCCAACTGTCTGTTGGCTATGTTTGACGAATATTACCACAATAACTAATCTGGTTTGCAATTTTAGGTCCCGAAGGTGGACTTGACTTCGGCTCGTGTCGTGTCGGTGATGAGAACATCCGACAAACGCTTTCGTTGAAAAACAAAGGCAAATACGAGATCAAGTACCAGTTCCTGTTCGAACAGTGTGGGCTAAGTGAGGATCCGAGTAAGTTCTTTTCGATCACGCCTGCAATTGAGGGGTCTCTATCGGCTAGTGACAAACCGACTAACATCACTTTGGGTTTCTTCACGAAGAAAGAACTGACGATTAAGAATGCGCCTATTATCAAGTGCAAGGTAAGCTTTGTATCAACAAAGAAACGAAGGTATAAAAACAAGGAAGCAGGATGAAACTTGATTCCTCTATTTTTGATTGGTTTTGGAAGAAAATCCAAGAGCTTAAGAAATTTTTTTGTCTTTTTCTGGTAGTCGGAACGATCATGAGCGGTAACAAAACTTGGTAATTTATTTGAACTGAAAAATAATTCCTTATTAGAAATATCATTTCACGTCTTATATATAATTTTTCAGATTGTTGAACCGTCTCAAGGCGACCTGGGCGAAGTGATTGCCATAATACCGATTAAAGTCTCAGTCAGGGCAATCTTCAGTCGGTTCAAAATAAGTCCCGCCCACGATCTCAACTTCGGTCCCGTGTGTAGTGGAACAAGGAAACAGAAGTTCTTCACGATTGAGAACCTGGGGGAGTTTGATTTTCAGTATAACATCACGAGACCAGTGACAAAAGATGATCAACTGCTTGTAGAGAAAAAGTACGTTTTGGGTTGCTAATAGATGATTAAATTTTAACTGATTTGACCCATTTTTATAAAGTTTCTTTGATTTTTAAAAGGATCTGATAAATATATGGGAGAGCTCGAAAATTCAACTTGGTCGACCTTGACAAAAGGTCGGCGAAATTCGCTTTTTTGAAATTTCGTCCCTCTCCAAATGCTAGATATGTTACTGGTTTTATTAGTCGCTAATTTTATTCAATGCCACATGTGATGTTATGATTGATTGTGAAGATAATTTAGTCAAAATTTGTTGAATGTTTTCAGGGGCAAGCGTGGTGCCAAGGCTGAAACAGCGAGATCACGTGATGCGTCAGTGTCGAGTAAGGCTACTTTGAACCCCAAAGGAGGCAAGAAATCAGACCCAAACAAGTGAGCCAATCTTCAAAAAAAAATTAACATTTTTTGTTTCGATCACTTCAAGAAGTGAAGGGAAAGAACTATGTTGTAGTCTGTTTTTTTTTCCTGATTTTAACTACCTCACGAAAAGCTTGCTAGGGATTATGCTATAATATAACATAATGCTTGCCCATCAATCTGCCGTTTTTGACCTAACTTAATTGATCCTTACTTGAATAAAGGTGGTGAGAACATTCTGTGCTACTTTTACAGCAACCAGCTATCCTTATATCATTAAATTTAGTTCAGTGTTAGATTCGGTTTGCCTTTTCGAGAGTTACTGCAATGTAGACAAGTTTTTCAAGTTTCATTGTTCCGACCTCTGAAAGTGGGGAAGCTTTTTGTCCTCGGGAGTGTTTTCGTTTTTTTTCTTTAAAAAATTCCAAGTGTTGAGAGAAGCCGGTTCGAAACTTTCGATTTTCGAAACTTTCGATAAAAAATTTGAAAATCATTTTTTTTTGTTTTTCTTTTCTTTTTTCGAAAAAAATTGTAGTCGAATTTGCTCAATTTACTATTAATACTGAATTTCGCTAGGCTCTAGGCTGTCGTTCAGATCCTCTTATAACAGCGAGAACAAAAACCGATACAATTTGAAAAAGCTGTTTTTTTTCTGTTTTTATTATCGAGGTCAGAACTTTATGTACCCCATGCACAGCAACTAATTTTGCTTATTTCTATTTAGTTTTCATAGTTGGGCACGTACTCATCATAAACGGTAAAAAATGATCTATATCTTCATGACCGCCTATCGATTGGCTTTTTTCTGAACTTAAACTGATGAACAATCAGCGCCGTTTTTTTCTTTAGCGAAGCGAATGATGTAATCACTGTCTGAATAAACGACTGAATGCTTTGATTTTAATAGGAGTGTTAATTTGTCACAGAAATCCTGTTTTGATCTGCGTAGATTGTAATTCTTGATTATCTCAACGCTATTTGGATGAACAACTGTAAACTTGGGTGAATCATGATTAGTTTTTCCTTTTTCGATGAAGGCTGATTTGTAAGTATACCCATTTAAATGAATACTAATTGATCCGACTATTTGAAAAATGGGGAGAAACTTTGTATTCGGGTGTGTTTGAGTTTTTTTTCTCTTTTTTTGGTTTCCACGCAAAAGCAGCTACTACAAATAATAATCGGAGAGAGTTGAGTGATATATCTTATTTAAGTCCTCAAAAATTTTAAAAAGTAAAAACTTAGTTTACTCGAGCATAGGTTTTTGAGCATTTTAGCGCCTTTTTGCAATTAAAAGTTCAAAAAACTGCAAAAAAAAACTGAAAAAATTTTTGAAATTTTTTGTTTGATTTTTGATCTAGTAATTTTTCTACAAAAATCGTTTTCAATTTGCTTATTTTACTATGACTGTCGAATATGCCTAATCTCTAGTTTTTTGTTCAACTTCTTTTATCACACCACGCCGAAAAAAAAAACGATATAATCTGAAAAAAAAATTGTATTTTTTAAGACTATACATTTTTTAACCGGCTATTGTTGTTAATATTTGTTTCTTAGTCCCATGACTGGAAATGCGCAGTTCAAACTGAACATGGAGGCTTTCAACTTGTCGCCTGCTTTCGGCTTTGTGCTCACTGGAACTCAACAGGTTGTACAAGTGGAGGCATATGGAGAGACCATTGGACACTTCGAAGAGGTAAAAGACTGATTAAAGTGCAGCTAGCAGATGTGAAAACTGCCTAAAGCAAGTGAAACCTGTCCTACAGTATTTTCTTGCCAACTGAAGTTTGACACATTTCTCATAATTTTACGGGGTATAATGTAATTATACCATGTTTAAAATGTAAGTTTTGGGTATAACATGTAGGTTTTGGACACGATAGAGAAAAATTTTGAGCTAAAAATGTCTTCCATTTTGTTTGATAAAAAAATGTTGATGTTTTGTCAGGATCTTCTATTGGACATCAGTGACCGTATGATGACTCCTAAGACCAAAAACGGGATCCCATTTAAACTCATCTCGGATGTATGCAGTCCCGTGATTGAGACGCAGAACATCCTCTCTATCTTTGAGGAGCACATCGTCTGCAAGAATCTCAGGAACTACAAGAGCACCTCACAGGTAACTGGATTCATATCTGATTTGGTGTCATGTGTATGTTGCTCCTTCCGTTGAGAAAAAGAGTCAAAAAGACAACAAATTGGCCTTCGTTTTATTCCTTGGAGTTTGGCCATTTTAGGCTTTATGGCATTTGTCAATCCCTTTATGATATATAGTTAATAATCTCCTACCTATGGGAATTATTAATTGCAGAATTATTAGTTCAGCTTTACCAATATTGAGTCTACTGACAAACAGCGCCCTATTTTCGCGGGGTTGTGTGAAATAATGAAAAGGTTAAAGCTTTGAACTATTCGATTGCACGGTTAATTTCTAAAAAAGTATGCATCGTAGAATAAACCTTTTTTTTCAGTACACCTTCTGTGGAGTGTATGGAGAAGATGAGAACCGATTCGTGTTCTCAAATGTCATCATTGTGGGAGAGAAAGCCAAAGCCAGATTCAAGATCGTCAATCCCTCCAAAGTAAGCTCAAAGCTTCTCGCGCACTCAAATAGGTTTTGGTTTTTTCGGAAAAAATCCTGTTTCAAAATAGCTCTGAGTTAAATAATTCAAGGTATCCTGCAGAAATGGTTCCAAAAATGTACGAACCTCTACTCATGTCAAAGTAGATTTTTTTGAAATTGTAGTTCTGAATAGTGTTTCTTTTCCCTTTAAGTTGGATATGACCAATCTCAATTTAATTTGACAATTTTTTGTTTCTAGGTCGCAGCAGACGTGACATTCTCAGTGAAGAACAGTTCAGTTCAGAGCAAATCGAATAAACAGACAGTGGAGACATTCGAAGTGTCCCCTCACCAAGTCAACATCCAGCCCCACAGCCACGTCTACGCTGTGGTCACCTTCTCGCCCGCAAGCATGCACAACTACAGCACTGTGTTTGAAGCCATGGTCGACGGGGTAGCCCAGTTCACACCTTCCAACTACTTCTCATTCGATATCACTGGAGAAGGTGGGTTGAATTGATAATTATATCTAAGCGTCTAGCGAGATCTTTTACCGCTTCCCGTTTCTATGACTTTGAAGTTCTAGCCAGTGAACGTTGAATAATTATTTAGAAACATTTGTTGACTTTTTCTACTTTAGTTTACTTTATCTAAGTTTTGTTACTGAACAAATGCTATTGATTCTCTACAGTTACATTAATCACCAATCTATTTAAGTAACTTTTTGCTCTTTAATTTTTCGGCGTTTGTAACATTGATTACAAAAAGGCACATTTTTCAGCTACTCTGCCTCGACTTACTGTGGCCAGACCAGCTCTCCAAAATAACCGAGGACATCCTCTCCTCTTGTTCAAGAGGATCCTAATCGGCCACGCCCAGACAATCCCGGTGGTTCTTAAAAACGAAGGCGAACTTGTATGCAAAGCGTACTTGGATGTCGGAGACCAATCAGGAGTCTTCAAAGTCGAAGCTGGAGATGACGTCACTCTCGTGTCGATGAGCGAATCGGAGGCGGAAACAAATGAAGATAAACATGAGACGAATGGAAGTCGCAAGTCTTTGCATGACTTCGTTTTTGAACTGCAGTACCAAGAGAGTGCGACTTTCTGGGTGACATTTGTTCCCAAAGAGGAGAAGAGATACCATGATGGAATCCGAGTTGTGGTGGAGAAAAATAACTTTGAGGAATTGGGTTTGTAGTAGGGCCAATTTTGTTCGACCGAATTTATTCGAATTTAATCAACATAACAAAATTACTTGTTAAATGAATGATTTTTATAGTTTCCTGCTGTATTTTGTATCTCAGTAAAGCACCACAGAATCTTTACGTTAATATGATCTTGAGGATACCATGACTTTTTTACAGAATCATCTAGCAAAACTCATCAGGCTTTTTGAGTAAAAACGGTAATAATAAGTCTGCTGCCATATGTCTCCTTAAATTTTTCGATCGAATTCCCTAATGCTGTGAAAACTAAATAGTGTACCCTTTTATTCAGACATTGTGTTGGTTGGAGAGGGCTATTCAGACATAATATCCATCGATAATGTGCATGGAGCTGTGAATGACATTTCCAATGCCAGAATCATGGACAGTAGCAGTGCTTCTGAGGCTAAAGACTCCTCGGCCATGATGGATGACAGCGAAATCAAAGGTATGGCAACATCAAGGGGGTCAAGTTGCACATGACATTTCACATGCTATTTTCTCCATTTCAAATGTAATTCAAGATTTGAAGTCAAGTAGAAATGATCTGATTTTCAGTAATTTTTCAAAGCTCAGGAACCTAGCAGGATATCACGCATTCATGCATCAATCCAATTGATTATTTTAGCGCCCAAAACGAATCATCTCGACTTCGGGGATGTCTATCTAAACGAGAAACGACAAATGTCGTTCACACTTACAAACCACTCGAAGGAAGATTTGATCCGATTCGAGTTCCCGTCGGACCACGCCCACCTCTCGTTCACGCCCTCTGCGGGTCACTTGAGGTCAAACTGTGCGAAGGATATTGTGGTCATCTTCAAGAGTGCGAACCCCGTAGAAGTGAAGATGAAAGAGGTCGTGTGTGCTCTGAGCAAGATCAGATTGGCTGATACCGATGAGACGGTATGAAGAAAATTGAACGAAATTGCATGCATGCAACACTTGAGAAATAAATAAAAAACGATTATTAGAAAAGTTGATTTTGCTGAAAGTGGCGGAAATCTTGAGTTATAATTTTCAGGGAGTTTCAATTGCAAGGCGTTAAGTTTTTTACAATGGTAAACTGTGAGTCGGATGTGGGCTGCAGATCGAGAAATATTTCATGATCATTGAAATAAAAAATGAGATAGTTTTGACATACGTGGTCTATTTTCATAGCCAGTGAACTTGATTAAAACTATTTAAACTTCTGGTGTTGAACAAATCATGAAAACTATGTTTGTTCATTCAGACATCTGATGGTCAGTGTGGTGGTGGGATGGACTGGGACAACTCTATGAAAACTATGCAGTGGGTGGATATTAGACGCGAGAAGACATCTGCCGGCATCACATCTGCACATGACCACTTTGACCCAGACAAGAAAGAACCCAGCAATCTCTCCAGAAAACGCACAGGGTTGGTGTTTTTAGTTTTCATCCTTAACTCTGCTGTCATTATTAGAAGCTGATATTTGTTTTTACACGGTATCCTAATTTCCTAATTTTTTTTATATCTCAGAAGGGTTATTCAAAAGAAACAAGACTGCTCGTATCAGGGCGAAGCCCTGAATGTTCCGACTGCCTTTTAAGGTTAATGGAGCAGTAATAACATTAAAAAATTCAATTAATTAAAACAAAATGAAGAAAAAAATTTCTAAAATTTGAAATTTTTTTTGAAAATCAATCCCCCACACGCCATATAAAATACAATAGGATAGATTTCGCTCCTTGTAACAAACTAATTATGGCAAATAAGCTTCTTTTTGCCAATTTGGAACGATTTCTAAGTCGGATTAACTCTCCGCTTACGCGTTAATAGCGCGAAAATTATCGCGCGTTAATTGGACAAAATGGCAATCTTTAAACCCCCGTAACTTTACGAAAAATGATCACAGGTGAAATATCATTTCAAAATTGAGCTCATGACAACAATACTTTTCGAATGATATAAAAAAAAATTTCGTCAAAAATGGCTAGTTAAAAAGTCGAAATTTGTCTGAAGAAAAAAAACCACCCCGAGCACAAATATTCCGTTACTTTCGTGTCGAAAGTCGGAACAATAAAGTATAAAATAATAAAATCGCGTTTTTTTCTGTTATACAAAATCTTGGCAATTTTTATTTTCATTGTTGGCTCAAATGTTTTGAATTTACAGATTCGACGTTAATGAGTAAGTTTGAAGTTGTATCACTATGCATAGGAAATTGGGTTTCTGCATAAACGTTTTTGAGAATCACAATTTGGGTCCGTCGTGACAAAGTTTTTCATCTCAATGTTCAAAGAATCCGTTGCACTAGCACAAGGTTAAGACTGTTTCTTTCCCTTATTAACCCCTCCCCCAACCCGCTCTTATATGGCCCATTCAAACTCTCTATATATTTGTTTTGATTTCAAACTTTCGCAGTCTTCGTTTGCATCGCATTGCGTTACAGTTCATATCATTTTACTTTTGTTCGGTTTAATTTTCTTGGGCTGGTCGATCAATTTACTTTTTTCCTCATTAAGAAGCGGCATCAGTGCCATTGGAATGCACCACGAGGACGCCATCGTCTCTAATTTGAATGTCGAGGCACCGCAACCAGGAGCAACAGCCACTGTCTCCAGAGTCGCTCGCATTACGAGGTTCCGCAAAATCACGACCTGATTTGTTTAAAAAATTCATTTCCCCAGACTGTTTCCTTACATGACCTTATACTGCATAACTCCCACGATCTCAATTGGACGTTCAAATATGTATAATGCGTTATTTTGGACGTTACTTAATATGATGTAAAGTACTGTATCAATTTTAACCAGTTTGAATTATGGGATCCCTTCGCTTAAGTTAACTTGTTTTGAAACAGTCGATTGGGAATCCGAAGGTCATTTCACATTGGTCTATAATTCTCTGGTCATTTTTTTTACTCGAGTTCAATCTAAGCTAAAGTTAGGAAAGTTTGAACATATTTGCCATTTCAAATGTGCAAAATTGTCACCACTTCATTGTTTTATATTTCTGCCTTCAACCATATTTTGCATGCCTTGTCTTCTCCATTTTCATAACAATCCAAAACTGTTGTTGCAAAATTTCAAGCTTATAGATTTGATTGTATTTTAGTGCCACTTCAAGTGACAAATCGGGAACCTCTCGCGCTCTCTCCCCCAAACAAGGAAAATCAGGATCCCAACGCTCTTCATCTACCTTGAATCCCCCGTTCAGGAAAAAGATGACCCTGGTTGAACCGGAGCCAAAACACGAAGTGGTGGATGGGTCGAAACGCGACGTGGAGTTGTACTACTCGGCTATAAGCGACTACTGCCGTTTTAAAGTGAACTCTCAGAATGGAACTGATATCCACTTCAAGGACACGCTTATGTTTCAATCACGCGTTTACGAGTGCGTACACTTTTTTTAATCTAATTTGATCTATAAATTGAAAAAATGCTGTCTTTTATTTTCTATTTTTCATTAATGTTTTTTTTTGTGGGAAGCAAGATCAACTAACCTTCATTTTTATTGCAAGAAGTGAAAGAAGATGCCAAGAATAAGCATCAAAGTTCTCCCTGATTTCAATGACGTAGTTTTTTTTTCAGCTGGCTTTTGAATGCTCATTTTTTATACCCTGTTTTTTTTAACTCTTAAAATAAGACATAAATTTGCATCATGATTGTTTATCCGATTTAGATTTCGCCTTGAGAACACTTCCAAGATCAACTTCGAGTACGAATGGCAGGCTGTCAATGAGAGCAACCTCAAATCTGTCAGTTTCGCCAAGGATCTGCTAGATGAACGATCGGCCTCAGTGGACCAGCAACAAACAGCGCGTCTGAACGAGTCTCCGCTACCTATAATGTTAGTGTATTACCGTTCCGTTCTCAAATTCGAAGGGATATGGTTTTGAAAACATTTAATTGTTAATTATCGGTTGTGGAATTTCTTCGCTGAAGAAACTTTAAGCAACTTAAATCAATAGTTTTATGTTCATAACAGTAACAACATTAAAAAATGTTGATTTTTTTACACGACTTTTGCATATTTTTAACATTCTACTGGAGCGGAACCTGTTTGCAGGCAACAGAGTCCAGTCAGACAGCGGACAATTCAATCCACTCACAGCAACGTCAGCACAGTCAACTCTCTCCGAGTCTCAGTTATGCCTGACTCGGCCGCCGACTTCCTCCCGCAGAATGCGACAACCAAGCCAACTGCAGCCTCTGGATACGAGAGCCCGGCACCCCTGGATGATTTGGAAACTGTTCCATTCCTGGTGGAACCTCCTAGAGGCGTGGTCAGGGCGGGTCTGTCACAGACTTTCAAGGTCAAGTTTTGCCCATTAGATGTGAAGGAGTTTAATGCACGACTAGTATGCAGGTATGTTGACTTTTAATAGCATGAAAGTCTGTTGAGCTAGCGTTTAATTATTATGAAGCGAAAAAATGTTAGAAAATTGGCTTTTTTTTGTTCTGATCAGGTCATGAAAGACTGGCAAAGACTATGGCCCAGATTTTTTCATTCCAGCCTATTTTATGTAGCTCAAAGAACGCTTTTTTGCAGTCAAGTATGTCATTTATCATTTTAAGGTTCTTGTGGTCATCATTCGGAAAGAATAATTTTACATTTTTTGTTTCAGAGTCGAGAAAAATTGATCTGAATGTCTCTTACTATAATTTTGAAAAATAGTTAATCTGCTGTTAAATAGTTCCTGCATTTTTGAGTACTCTCCCGGCTATCTTCGTTTTACTTAGAGTTTACAAAATATTTCAGTGATAAATGAACTAAAAAACAATTGTCAAATTGTACATGTGATTTGAAACCTAAATTTAATTCCCATCAATTAAGTGTCAAAACGCATCAATTATTTGAACACCATTTTATAAAGATTGCTTAAAAACTTTGAAACAATTTATTTAACAATTGTGTTTTTCATTTCGAAGTTTGGATTTGAATTTATCTCACCACTTTTTTGAGTTTTACTTTTTTCTTCTAGGATCCCGAATTTGGAAGAAGGCGTGATGGGTCCCGTGATAGCCGTGCACGGTAAGAGTCTCCTTCCCTACGTGCACTTCGAACTGGAGGACTCGGACTACTTGACCTCTAACAAGAGGTCACACCTGGGGTCAAATCTGTTCACCCTCATGGACTCGGCTGTGGACCCGAACACTAGGGTGTTAGAGTTCAACAGCTGTGGAATCAACAGAACTATCAGAAGGTGGTGATTCGCTTCATTTTATTGCCTCAAAATATTCATAAACAACAAAAATCACTTAAAAAATTTTAAAAACGAGATATGGCTGATATTTTCAGCTTTTTAATAGCCGATGAACATAGTTCAGACTTTTATATGGGTCAAGATATTTTTTTTGTTCTTTTTCAGGAAAAGATTTAAAATTTGCTTAGGCTCAAATTTAATTTTTCCTGGTTTGACTCTTGATTTCTGTTTAAATTTTTCATTTTCTTTGTTGAAAGGAAGGAAAACTCGACTACTGAAAAGCAAAAGTGTAAAGATCACAAAAAACTTTATCGATCTCTAGTTTCAAAAATTGTATTTAATTTTTCAAAATTTATATTGTCAATCATAAATTGTTCTAGAAATTCGAAGAGCTTTAAGGTCATCTATTTCTTTTTTTTTGAAATTTGAAGTTGATATTTTTTTCAAAAAACAAATCAGTAGTTCTTTCTAATTATTTGCGTTCATTGGCTCTTTTCTAACTCTCTGTTGGCTTTGTTCGGCTGTTTCTAAGTTATATCAGCTAGAAATATCTTTTTTTTTAAAGTTAAGCTCCCAGCACCCAAGAAAACTGCAGAAAAATTAGACAAATTTTTTTTATTTTGTTTTTCATAATTTTCGATTTACACATTGCAGTCCTAATATTCTGCGCTACTCACACAGCAATCAAATACTCTTTTTTAAATAGAAGCAAGGCTCGGTTGATTTTTTATACAGTTTCTAATAATTTTCAGTATAGTGAAGACACTTAAATAGGTCATATTGCGTTTTTTTTTCGAAGAATAAGTCCTAAAATTTGTTCACGTCAAATTTGATCTTTTGCGGTTTGAGTCTAGATTTTTTGCAAATTTATTTCAAATTCATTTGATAAAAGTAAATTAAGCTCTCCAATTAAGGAGCAGAAATGGCGCAAAAAATGCGTGAATGGTTTTTAGATTTGAAGGTGATCTTAAATTCTGAAAAACAACTGGGCAAAAATTATTTAACTTTCAGTATCATTTTGGACAACATTTGTTTGGAAGTTAAAAAAATTTTCATCGGCCGTGAGCAAATCATCTCAGCTACCCTCTACGAACGTATCAATAGTTGAAATCAATCACTTACCAGTATATCTGGGTCTGAAGTTCAAATTTTTCATCATCTCCAACAAGTTTTTTCATAAGGCGTGAATTTTTAAGAACAGCTGAGTCTAGTAAAGTTTTCACATCAATCAATTGAGGTTTCTCGCATCTAATGTTCTAGTGTATGAAGAAAGTTTACTAATCTACTTTTTTGAGAAAATATTCACTCAGATAGAAAATTTATTGGAGATCATGAAGTCTTGCTTTTCAGGCCGGTATAAATGCTGATTACTACTGATACCAAGTAACTACTGATACCTTCATAGAAGGTAGTTGACATCATTTTCTCACGGTAATCATTTTTTTGAAGTTCCAATCTGATCTCATTCAAAATGGTCCTCGAACTAAGGCATTTTATTGAGTGAAAGCCTAATTGTTCCGACCATTTGAAAAATAGTGAGGAACTTTGTATTCGGATGTGTTTTAGTTTTTCTTTTCTTTTAGTTTTCCATGCAAATTCAGGTAGCACAAACAATCATCAGATTGGGTCAAGTAACATAACATTTTAAAGTCCTTTCAGTCGAAATTTGAACCACATTAAAAACGCACAAAAAAAATTCCCTGCGTCGAGAGAAACCAGTTAAAAATTTTTGATTTTTCGTCTTTTTCTGACCAAATTAAGCAAGCAAGCAGGCTTAGATCAGCTTAGTTATGACTAATTCAAGGCCAAACAGCTTAGTTTTAATTAAGTGAAGTTATTTTTTGGACTTTTAGTTCCATTTTAGGAACCAAAAACTTAAGAAAAATTCAAATTTTTTCTGCAAAAAATTGAATTGAAAAAAAAATGTTGAATTTTTTCAATATTTTTTTTAAAAAATTTCTGTTTTTCCACTCCTTTTTCTAAAAAAGTATCCAATTGTCCTTTTTTTATTATGATTTTCGAATATGCCTAAAATATACCTTTACGTTAGATCTCTTTACCACACCACGCAGAAAAAACTACACTAATTTGATAAAAACTTTGTTTTGTAGTTTTTCAAAGACTATGGTCGGAAAATTCTGTGCTACTTGCACAGTGCCTGGCTTTCAGTGTTTTACGTTTAATTTTGTCCTATGATCAATTGCCAGCGGAGAAAAAATGTTTGTCTGATTTTTGACGAATTACCAAGGTTGGTTCTATGAACAGCCTCACTGACAAACTTGAGATTGACATCGATATAAGTCAATTTTAATACAGAAAAGAAAAAAGAAATGGATTTAAAAGGGTTTTAAATGGAGGCAAGGAAAAAGAAATGGATTTAAAAGAATTTTTGCAAAGTAGTGAAGATCATCAAATCTCAAAACAAACTGATTCACATAACTTTTTTGTTTTGCTTGGGAGCTTGAGCAAAATGTCCAACTCAAGAAAATCTCAGGGAGAGCTAGAGAAAGCAAAAGTCACTGAAGAAGAGCTTTGTACAGCAACTTTTTGCGTTTTAGGAATTTCCTTTCAAGTTTTGCAAAACTAAGGGTTCCCGCGGTAATGAGAAGGAAAACTATGTAAAATTTTTTCAAATTTTATTTTTGTTATTAACGTTCTAGGCTCGGTTTCCAAGCTTATCACCCCGTCTTTCTCAACCCCTTTTTCTTATCCTCACTCAAATAACCCCTGAAATTAGATAACCCCACTACAATATAACCCCTTCTTAGTACCAATTGTTTGAATCAAAGTGAAACTTACTTGAAAGGGATTCAGAACCATATTATCGGTAAATATCAAAGCTTTAATTGCGAAAAATTTTGCGAACCAAAACAAATTTACATGCACGCTGCTAAATGCGTTTTAGATTTGAACAGAAATGACCCTCCTTGCCGATAGTCTAGACTTTGATATGAACTTGAAAACGAATCCGACCGACTTGATTCAAATGATCCTTAAAGCTTCCTTTATGATCCTTTCCCAAAACGGATTAGATTTTCTCAAAACTGAACTTGATCTTGAAACAATTCCTGCCAATAAAAGATTAATTGGCTGAATTTAAATGAAATATGGAATGAGAACTGGTATTTTTTCTTTTTTGTAAATTGGTGCCCACTCGAGGCGTTACAGAAGTTCAGTTTTTGGACGGAAGCGTCTTTTTGCAAAATATGGAATGAGAACTGGTATTTTTTCTTTTTTGTAAATTGGTGCCCACTCGAGGCGTTATAGAAATAAAGTTTTTGGATGGAAGCGTCTTTTTGCAAAAAAGGAATGAGAACTGGTATTTTTTTATTTTTTGTAAATTGGTGCGCACTCGAGGCGTTATAGAAATTAAGTTTTTGGACGGAAGCGTCTTTTTGCAAATTTGCAATCACTTTCCATATACTGGGATGAGATCCACTGAAGTATGACTGTATGGCATAATGCCAGCCATCTACAGCAATTGTTGTTCTGGCCAAACCCGATGAAGCCGCATCCCTTTGATTCCATAATGAAGGGGGAATAGGACTTCCCGATTCGGGACGAGACTTTTTATGTAGTTAAATCCACAATAAAGGCAAAGCTCGTCAACTTTTGCTATTTTTCCGACTCTTTTATGGCGCAATTTTTTTTGAGATGCTTGAGGCATCAAGTGAATTAAGATTAGCTTTTCAGGCCTCAATTAGTACACTTCATTGGACTACTCCTGTACTTATAAAAACGACCTAATTTGAAACAAATTATTGTCATTAAAAGGGGTTTAAATTGTGTGGGGTATCTTGTTACGGGGTTATAATATTGGGGGTGTAAACATAGGGGGTTAAATATCGTGGGGTTAAAGAGTGGGACACCCTAGGCTCAATATTGTTAGGCAAATACCATATAATTAAAATTTCAAAAAGAAAAAAATCATTTTTTTGTGCACAAAATTTAGATATTAGTTATCCTCATAGCTTATTGTCAGGCCAAACATCAAAACAAAAACTTAATTGAAAAGCGTACGTTACTTCTAAGCGTAATTGAAAAGCGTATTTATTTCCTCTTTTTTTTCTATTGTTTGATAGTCTTCAAAATTTGAACCTAATCTGTGTATAATCTGTATAAAATAAGTACACAAAAATGTAAATAAAAATCGATTCAAATCGACTTTGTTATTACTCAATCCGTAGGAAATTGAAAGCAAAAAATGTTGACAAAAAAAGATTTAAAACAATTTAGAATCGATTGAAATTGATTTTTAAGATACTTTTTTGTATTGAATTAAATCGATTTTAAATCCATTCAAATCGATATGCTTAAGAACCGCTACATTATCTGTATAAAATCGATTGCAATCCATCTCTTGCTAGTCTTCTGCTCGAATTCGCCAATAGCGGATTTAGGGGGTTTATTGGACGACCCCTGGCCTATCAAAGAGACCCAAAAATTAATTATTTATCTGGACTCATGTCACCTTTGAGTTTTTTTAAAAGGACAAGACAAACTAGATCACGATGATGTGATGATGACTAATAAATAGGCTAATAAACTCGTCTTCGCTGATTTCCCCTGTAGTTTGTAACATAAAATGCGTGTTTCAGATCGTTCCGTGTGATCAACCCCACGAAGCACCCCTTCTTCTTCTCGTGGAGTCAGTCGCTCTCTGAGACCGAAACAGTCTCGTCCAATGAGTTCAAGTGTCTGAAGAAGTCAGGACAGATTTTAGTCGGAAAAGCAATAGATGTTAGTATCTGTGTCGATATATTGAAATAAGCAAATGACAAATAAAAACACAAATAATGAATAAAAACATGGTAAATTGCAAAATAGCTCCATTAAATGCAAGCAAAGCACGCGACACACAAAATCAAACTATATACAAGAACGCGCTGGAGTTTGAATAGAAATACCTGGATCTCATAGTTCAAAGCGGCCTCAAGGATATGCGAAGAGTCCTCTTAAATGCTGTTTTTTTTGCGCTATAGGAAATTTTGGACAATTTAAATTTGTGTTTCAGGCGTTGTTCGAGTTCAAAGGGCGCAAGTTGGGCTCGTTCGAGACTTTTTGGACGTTCCAGATTCCCAAACTAGGAATTGAAGTGCCATTCTTGCTAGTTGGACATGTTTCGGAGCCATCAGTAACACTCGATAGAAACCACGTGAACTTCAAGAGCCTCCTCATTGGTCAGTGTCATAGCCAATCAGATTGAAAATGTCTAATGAAAAAAACTATCAACAAAAAGTTTATTATATTCTGGTGTATTCAACCCCCTATTTTTTATTCATTTATGACTCTAGCAATAATTAATGAAATGTTAGCATCATCCTTAGTGGTTACAGGTATAAGGGTATAAGTTTGCAAGCTCTTGTCGAAAAGGCAATTACTGCTTTATAGGTAGTTAGCAACAAATTTTCAGTTCGACACATTGAATTTGAAAAAAAAAATCAAATTTTTGAGGTCCAGTTTATCAAAAAAAAAATCTTTGGAAATTAAACGGCAGTGATGGCCAGTTGACTTTGACTTTGACCAGGAAAACGAAAAAGCCCAATAGAAAGCGATTGATGTCCTAATACCATATTTTTCAAACTGTAAATAATTTATTTGACCCTAATCTATTTTATGGTATTATATGGCGGTATTGATGGATAAAATATCGACAGAACGACGTGATAAAACATGTATTTAAATAAAAAAGTAACGAACAAACTTTGTTTTGATTCAGGTGCTTACTCGGAGGAGACGGTGTACGTGGTGAATCACGAAGACGAGTCGTACAAAGTGACAGCTGACGAGGCCTCACTCATTGAACCAGACACAGGAGAGAGCGTACAGGTCACTCCAAGGGCATTCACATTGGAACCCAAGTCAAGGTCAGTGGTTTAAAACTTTCTACCATAGTCGCTAATCAATACTCGGCTTATAATGATAATAAATTGTTTTACAAGCTCTTGTAAGTTTTACAACTTAGTTTTAAGCCTGAGAGCTTGTTGTTGTAGACTATATGGTCAGATTTCAAACGTCTCTGAATTGACTTAAAAATAATAAAATGAGCATACGATTTTTGATAGCTTATCTGACATATAGGGTTCTTTGTAATGCCTTCTTATTCTGAACCTAAGTTTTGTAGTTTCTGCTTCTGACTTTTGTAATAAATTTGAGACAACTGAATTTTCAAGAAAAACATTTTCATTTCTGTAGGGCTTTTTCATTCCAAAATTTCGAAGATAATTTTCACTTTTTAAAGTCGACTCCACTTCTGAGTTATATATTTGTTCTATAAACTGAAATATTTTTAAAACTTCAATAGACAGAACATTTCAACTTCATAAAGGCGGCATAGAGATTCAACAATGATCTTGAAATTATCATGTTTTTTCAAAATTTTAGCAAAGATGTTGAAGTTATGAAATTTTTCTTTGTTACTTCAGAACTGCTGTGAAGCTTCGTTTCTACGCACGACTGGAGAAAGAAGTGAGCTTCAACGTCCTCCTTCAAGTCCAGTTCAAGTCCATGCCTCTCAAGGTTAATCTGAAGGCAGTTGGCTATGGCATGGACTCACAGCTGTTCTACATCGAGGGAGAGAACGAAAAAATGGAACTGAGTCACTCGCAGATCAACGAAATCGACTTCGGAGAGGTAAATGTTATCCTGAAATCTTTTTGTATTAAAGATTTTTTTTGTCTCAAGCAGCTCGGAGGGTTTCTTGCTATTAAAGTTGGAGGGTTTCTATTGTGTTTAAATTTAAAATAAAAACAAGAAAAAATTAAGTTCATTTGTTCAGCAAATCTTGTTCACCAGTTTCAGTTTTGCTGAACAAATTTTTAAAATCTGAATATCCAACATTTATAACCTTTCGTGAATACTGCAACAATTGACACTGACTCTGACAAATTTATTTTTCACTCTTGTTCTAATTGAGTTTCAAAAAACGAGTATTCAAAGGTTTTACCCCGTCTCGATATCAAGGTTTTGCACCTTTTAATTGCAGTCCCAATCACGTCTGAATTGATTTCGATTTAAAACATCGCTCGAACTAGTGTGACTTGTATCTGTGAACTGAAACTTGCGTGAAAACAAAACACAGCGAATCCAAATTGCCTCCTCATTGTTGGTTATTAGAGCCATTTATCGATTACTTGCCAATTGGCATGAAAAAAAATTACCCAAATAGCGTGAATACCATACAAATGTTGCAATAATACATTTTTCCAGATCAAAATTTCACTGATTATGGATGAAAAGCATCTAATTTGTCAATTCAATTATTGACTGACACTATCTTGTAAACATATTTCAGATCATAGTTTGTCATCATTTTTTTTCAGGAACAAATCTTAAAGTTTCTTCGCGCTCAAATTTGATCTTTGTTTGACACCCGTTTTCTCTAATTGGGATAGATTTATCAAAAGAAAAGTATCAACCATAAAATAATTTTGAAGTTTTAGGAGGTTTAAATTGATTGATATATATTTATCACTTCCCATACGCCTGTGTGAGCCCCGTTGGCCCAAAAGTAGCAACCGTACACCGAGACTGAGCCGGCCATTATTTGCCAATATTTGCCGAAATTGGAATGTTGAGAAATGTTTTAAAAGCTGTAATTTTTTCATCGGTTCTCCTGAGTTCACCATTTTTTCCAATTGTTTGTTCACTGAGTTCTTCAATTTCCGCCGTTGTCTGTAAATGTTGTGGAACTCGTCATGTAAAATCTATTTAGATATACATAAAATATGTGATGATTTACAATCCCGTCATGTGATCATGTGCTTGGATTCTAAATGTTTTTTTTTTACTTTAAAGTTTTTTATTTGAAATGGGGTCTTGGGACGGTTTTAACACAATGAAATTTGGGGTTCAACTTGGAAATTTTGGGGATGTACTTGATTGCTAGTCATAACCAAAACTTTTTTATTTATTTAAAATTTCAAGTTAATAAGACGACTTCCAGACTAATAAAAAACGGCAACAGTGTTGACTTTGAATGGTCTCGCAGTCAGTTTTTTTTTAAACTTTTACTTGACCCCCAATAGCACTTTCTCCATCTGGATGAAAGGGGTCTCAATAATACAGCTGCAAACTAAAGCCACACAGTTAATACACATAAGCATCCCACTGGCATATAGAATGTAGTTGAAGGTAGTGAACCGGATCGGCTGTTCCAAAGTCTGCACAAACAGTTGGAGAAGGACAAAGTGTATTATATAAGTTGTGTAGTTAACTTTAGCAAATGAAGACCAGATTTTGGCGCCTAGAATATCGTTGATGACTCCGCCGTAACCTAAAGAGCAATTGAGTATAATGACACAGATGAAATATGCCCACATAAGACGCATAGTCGCATTGTAGACTGCCACTTCCCATACGCCTGTGTGAGCCCCGTTGGCCCAAAAGTAGCAACCGTACACCGAGACTGAGCCGGCCATTAATCCAGACACCCAGGTGCCAGTGATGATTAGTAATCTGACATGGAACGGGATCTTTTCGAGATGGTCGCTCATCGCTTTCTTGTCATAAAGTGCGATCCCTAGCAAAAGTCCTACTCCGTACGCCTGGAAGCGACAGTAAGAGGAGAAGTATGTCTTTATTGTCCACGGGCCAAACATATCGAAGGTAACAGAAGCAGTTTCATATCTGGCGAGAATAGGGAAGCCCTGAAATTATGAAACGATTTAAAAAATTAAAATATAAAACTTTTAGTGATGGGATGTGGACAATTAATTGAGATCAGTTTTCTAACTAATTTTCCAGGAAATCATTTAGCTGTTCTATCGCAAGCAGGACAAACCAAATTGTCAATTAAACTGCGATAGCCGCTTGCTGTGCAAGTAGCGCCGAATGTTCCGGCTTCAAAAACAAAAAACTAAAAAAAAAAACATTTTCTTTAAAGGAGTTGATGAATGTAGTTCAGGCTCTTAGATAGATCATTATGATTTTTTGTTTTTTTTTTTTTCAGAAAAGTCTAAAATTTTTCGAGGCTCAAATTTACTCTTTCGAGATTTAATTTTTGATTTTGTTTTTAAATTCTGTTCATTTCTTTGTGAAACAGAAGACAAACTCAGCTATGGTACAGCAAAAATGTAAAGGTAACGAAAAACGTGATCAACATCTAGTTTCGAAATGAATTTTTTTCCCGATTATCCAGCGCTATGAACAAATTACTGGTTGATCCATTTTCCCCAAATTGGGTTAATTTTGACGAAAAGTGTCAATCATAAACTAGTCAAGAAATTCAAAGAGCTTTAAGGCTTTCTATTTTTTTTGAAATTCGAAAGTTTTTTTTTATCATTTTCTTCCGTTCATTGACTCTGTTTTGACTGTCTGTTGGCTATGTCTTATTAATTGTGTCGTTTTTTGTTCAAAAAAAATAAACAAGGTTTCTTATCAAACAATTTACTGGAAATACGCTAGGAGAACTTAAAAAAAAAACAAATTTTACTGAAGAAAATTTCACGGCTTAATGTAAATTATTGGAATTATACTCTTATAAGACCTCGCTCGCTTACCAAAACATACCCGAAGAACAACCTAAAGCGGAAAAAAAACCAAAAATGTTGCAAATTTAAATCTATTAGAATGTATCAGACTAGTTTTGAAAAAAAAATGCCAAGACAATAGAATGTGAATTTAGCATCGGAAAAAATTACCAAGTGGTAACAAAGCTGAAAACACAACACTTTAGCAGAAACCGTTTCAGCCGGAAAAATCGACAATACTTAAGACTTATAAAAAGTTAACAAGTACCCCTCGCCTTCAAAACACACTGATTAAATTTCATCTGCTCTTTAAATGAAAGAAAATGAGGCCAATAAGCCGATATAGTATAGGAAGACTCCTTTTAGGCCGAAAAAGAAAAATAAAAAGGCGGGAAAAAAATTGTTATGTCGCCCTCAAAACACACTAGCACATCAAATTTTTTTCGCTTATCGAAAGACGCAATATGTGGCCATGAAGGTGATTTAATATAAGCCGAAACCTATCAAGAGGAAAAAAGGAAGAAAAAAACGAAAACCAATTTTTTGCCATGAAAATCTATAATTTCTATTCAGAATTTTCGAGTTTTGTACAATTTAGAAGGGCGCATAGAAAATACGTTTCCATTGAAACAACTCAGAAATACGACACTAAGCTGACGAAATAGAAGCAGATAAATGATAGGCCGGCAATTATTTTGAAACGGAATACTTACCGTTTGAAAAAAAATAGGTCCTGTCTGATTCGAATCCAGGACCTAAGCAGTTGCAGGCGTATTCGTTACATCAGACCAAGTGCGCCGGAGACGCAAACAAGATTTTGATTTCCTTAAGAACTCAACCTAACTCAACAATTTCTATTTTTGATCTTTCTGTGAACAAAGTTATTTGCAGGAAAAAACTCTAGTACCCTATTGCAATACCCTTGCGATGTGGGTAATGGTGTTCGAAAAAAAATTTGTGAAATAATTTTTTTGAAATTTTTTCAACGGTTTATTAAAATAACCATTTTTTGGAGTTTTTTTTGCCCTCTTAGTCAACAAAAAGCAATTGTGTCGTAAACTATCCGAAGCTTTGAACTTATCTTACTTGAAATTTTTAAGTGATAATACTTTTTACAAACAATTTTTTCGCCTGTTTTTGTGTTTATAATTGAGCGGTCATGGTTTTAAAGTGTAATGGAGTTTTTATTGATTGTGGTTAGTGTTCAAAATTTTGGTGTTTTTGAAAACTAGGAAATAAGTTTTTCAAATCGTCACTTTTTTTTATTTTGTCAACAAACACTATTTCTTAGGAACAAGTTCTTGTATCGCAATAGGCGCGAAGCTCCGTTTCACCTTTTTGTTTATTTTTTTTCATCGTTATTGTCAAATTTACTGAATAATATCGAAACAAATGTTGCAAATCATACACTCACAGAGTTAGCTGGAGGCACTTTATTCCAACCAGATCCCAATATGACAGTCAGGGTGCTGATGGCGATGACCGTGGAAATGGCAACTGCTCCGAATAGTCTCTTTCTCATGGTCAGTAATACAAACATAGGTGATATGAGGTAGAACTGCATGTAATTGGAGACATACCAAGTCCAATCTAAAACCAAAAAGCACGGTTAAATTCGCAATATCTGTCTTATGCATTATTGATGACTGGGGAACTGGAACAATCAAATTTATACTTTTAGTAGTAAAATTGAAAAAAGAGTTGCCCTATTATTATCACCGTATATCGAACTGCTTCAAAATTGTTTCCAAACTCATTTTCATAGTGCTCAAGTATAAGTTGTACCCATGCAGGCGATGTTAGGATTATCCACCAGATTGTTGTAGAAAAATGCAGTAGAGAGCCAGTTTGATCTCTTGCACCTAGCTGCAAAGGGCATACTGGGATCCTCGTTTTGGAAAATTGGACTGTAAAATAGGGGAGCCAGGTTAGGATAGATCCCGGCTACAAAGAGGATTGTGAGCAGGAGAGTTGGCCAGAGTCGTATCAAACGATGCACGTAGAACCAACACCAGAAAACCCCCTGAGGCTTATTTGCGCTCTTCAGCTTATCCATGGATCTCAGGGTTCCTAGCATGACTAGGCATGCGCCCATGACGAAGAAAGTATCGACAGACGAGAATCCGTTTGCGATTGTCTGGAATAGCAGGTTTTTGCTTCTGTCGATGACGTAGATTACGTTGTCCACGATTGTGAGCCAGAGCAGCAAAAGGTGAGAGATGATTACCCAGCCCAGACTCATCACTCGCATCCCATTTAACACATCCAGCTGGTCTGGGTTCGGCACCTTCGGAGTTTCTGAAAAAGCTAACCATTTTCTAGAAACTTTTTCTCCGTCAAAGAGTCGAGCTGTATATCAAAAGATATGCACATGTCGCTGATGATATCTACTTTTTTTTGCTGCCGGTAACTTTTTTCAGAAATAATCAAGATTTATTGAAAACTTTTGACGCTCTTTTTGCATTTCTGTCAGATATTAGGCAAATTTAAGTCTAATACACCCTGTTTGCCTAATATTTGACCTTCATTGGATTTCAGCAGAGTTCACTAAAGAACCAGAAGGGATTATCTGGTTCTCGAGTGGGCACTGCTGAAAACCGAAGTGCAACAGGTGAAAAATCATGAAAACAAAAAATTTTCGAAGCCTCAACTCACCCAAGATTTTGCAGAAGTTGGCGTAGAAGTCGAAGCTCATAAGAATCCTGATCGCAAGTGGATCTCTCCGCTGCTGATACTGCGGCAGCTCTTTTGAGTTTGTATGGTCAGTTTCCTCTTGAACTGTTGTGACTGTTGGCGGTGTGACGTCATACGTCGCCTGATTGTCACTCTTCAGGCTCTCGTATTTTGCTGAAACCGTTCGCTGATAACGTTTTAGTCATAAAAGTTACCGAACTTTATGATACTAATTAGTTTAAAAACGTGATTATATCTCTGATTGGTTTATTTCTCTCAATACCAATCAAACCAGTTCACAAGTGTTTGAATGCATCTAACCTTTGGCTCTCAAGAAGGTGCCTCTTAGAGTTGCGCAGAAGACTACAGAAAGAATAAGGCCATAGACTAGAACTGCAACTACAAAGCCGACATCTGCGTTGAATTTTTTTCTGGCAAGGACAACTGTGCTGCTGTTTCCAAATATAAATGATACTTCTTCGGCCGAGCAAGAAGAAGGATTACACATTCCCAGACTGAACCCATAAAATTTCACAATAAACATCTCAGTGTCTGGAAAAGGTCTGACTGCAATTCCAGTCAAACCATTCTTTGCATTGTAACACTCCTCGGATTGGCCTGGAAAGGTCACATGACCTTCAAGGATCCCAGTTCCAGGCACTGCGTAGGAATCCCAAAACTTAAACACATCCCCCTGCGAGTAGCTGAGGATCAACTGCCAGTCTTGGATCCAGACGACGCCGCCTTCCAGTGGTGGATCCGACATCTTGGGCCTCACCAAGATGCAAATGGCGTCAAGCCCCCCCCTCCCATTGGGTCGGGAGAAGCTCAGAAGTCTCCGGGTTTTCGGTTACGGAGCGTCTGAAGCCGGCCAGGCTGCTCCGTCTGCTCATCCTTATACTACTACTCCGCTCCGGCATTAATCCAAACCCTGGTCCAGGGCCTTACTTTTGCTCCCCTTGCTCTTTCCGCATCAAACGCACCCAGCCCAGTGTCTGGTGCCACATCTGTGGTTACATTCACCTTAAATGTAGTGGTCTTACCCCCTTTAACCAACACCACCCTGACTACTATTGCCCTACCTGTACCTCTACCTACATTTTACCTCCCCCAGGCACCAGGTCCTCTAACTTGACCACCCCCAACTCCCAAACTTGTTCAACTTCCCTAACCGCCCCCCAACCCCACCTCCCTAACCCCCCTCCCCCTCCCACCCTTCCCACCTCCTCGAATAATAATTCCTCCTCCCAAAATCGCGCAAATCGTAATCGTGTAAATAGTGTAAAAAACTCAAGTTCAAACAACCATTTTAATCATACTGCTGTTAATAATGTAAATAGTTCACCACACCCCGCCAAAGGCCTTTTAAAAATCCTTCAATTTAATTGCAACGGTATCTCCGCAAAAGCACCCGAAATTGCTGCTTTCTTATCTCAAAATCAAATTCATATTGCTGTCTTCCAAGAAACTAAATTAAGAAAGAAATCTCGAAACCCCTCACTTGGCTCACACTACACTTTAATTAGAAAAGATCGAGAAAAAGAAGGGGGCGGTCTTCTCATAGCCATACATGAGTCGATACAATACGAAGAAATAAATATTAACAACGATGGAACACTAGAGGCTATGGGCAAATCAGTGGTAGCCAGTTCATCCAAGCTTCGTATTTATAATTTCTACATCCCCCCTCGCTCGAGCTGTCCCCCTGGTTACTCTGCGTCCCTTACCGAACTACTTGAACCTGGGGACGCCTTAGTACTCGGGGATGCCAACGCATATTTACAACTATGGAACTCCAACATCGAGGAAGATCAACGCGGCTCTGTACTTAGCAATGAAATAACCGAATCCACCTTTGCACCATTAAATGATGACACACAAACCAGAGTCCCTTTTAACTCAGAAAACCAACTCTCGTCACCAGATATTTCCCTCGCATCCCAATCGCTCTTACTCTCCACATCATGGACCCCAATTAAATCCCTAGGATCAGATCACCTACCCATTCTTCTAGAACTACCCTTGGATGATTTTATAAATTTTTCACCTAAAAGGACTTTTATAAATTTTTTAAAAGCAGATTGGATCAAATTCACAGAGGAAATTGAGGAGGGTTTCTTTTCAGCGGTTCCACCTTCCGGAGTTGCCGCCGGAGAGAAATTCTTGAGGGACCTGGTGCTCAGGGCAGCACGCCACCACATCCCCGCTGGCCGTATTCGCCACTTCACTCCCTCTCTTTCCCCCGAGTCCACTGCCCTTGCCGCCGAAAGAGATTTAAGCCGACAACAAAATCTCCCCCCAGAAGTCATATCCCAACTGAACTGTAGACTCATGAAACAGACAGCAAAGGACAAAGAAAATAAATGGCGAGAATTCCTCCGGACTTGCGACTACCGCACTGGTGCCAGAAAGTTCTGGAAAGTGGTACGCTCCTTAAATGGATCTAAGCCCGTGGCAGGAAGACACCCCATTACTTTTGGTTCTAAACCCATACACTCACCTCGTGATATTACCAGCTCTTTTAACAAACAATTCACCAATGCCAGACCCCACGCCTCTGACAAACTCCTTCGTATAACGAGAAGAAAAATTGCCAAACTACCGCTGTCAGACAGCCCAATTTTTACCCCTGAAAATACTAAACAAGCCATTGCAGACAGCAAACCATCGCGAGCGCTAGGTCCCGACGGCCTTTGTAATATACATCTTAAACATCTCGGCCCACTTGCTACTCAATACTTAACATACCTTTTTAATATCTCTTTGTCCGAAAACATTATCCCTCAAATTTGGAAAAATTCAAAAATTGCACCGCTTCCAAAGCCCGCTTTCAATTGTTATGTCCATGATGCACCGCCACCTCCCGATAATGTAAACCTTGTTTCGTATGCAGACGATTTCCACCCCTTCGCAAGCAGTTCCAATATTGATATCGCCTCAAACTCCATCAATAGCTACCTAAAAAGGCTCTACGATTTTTTCACCTCACGCAAACTAAGTTTCGCGTCCTCTAAAAGATCAGTTACACTTTTCTCCTCTTATAACAAAGAATTTAATAAAACACTTAGTGTTCTTTTAAATAACGAGGCGCAACCCCTAAACAAAAATCCAACAATCTTAGGGGTGACATTTGATCCAACACTTTGTTTTGCCACTCACTGCAAACAATCCGCTGAAAAGGCCAGACGCAGGATCGGAATCCTGAAGGCATTAGCAGGATCAACCTGGGGTCACTCCAAAGAAACCCTCCTCCTAACTTTTAAAGCTTTAATTCGCCCCATACTTGACTATGCAGTCCCCGCATGGTCCCACGCATCAAGTAACACCTCCATAAATTGCCTGCAGGTTGCCCAAAACCAATCCCTTCGCGTTGTTACTGGATCAAATCTAATGAGTTCCACTGCCCACCTGCACAGTGAATCTGAAATCCTAGCGGTCAAAGACCACCATACCCTTCTGTCATCTCAATTTTTTATCTCTACCTATCGTTCCCACCATCCCATTAATTTTATACATTCACATCCCCCTCCTCCCCGTCTACTTCGCCCCTCAATTATAAGCTGCTTCAAAGAAGACACCCAGAAAATTTTAACCGACTTTTCAGTCTACGCAAACCACCCTCTAGTTCTGGACGACCGAGACGAAGTCTCCACTTTTATTTTTAACTACTACAAACCAATTTTAAAAGACAACCAACCTCCCTTGTAACCAATTTCCTAGCCGAAACCCCTCCGTCTAAAGTTATTTGTATCCCTCCCCCAAAGATTGGCCCCTCTGAAAAATCTCTCCCACGTCCCACGCGCTGTAAGCTCTCCCAACTCCGGTCTGGCTACAGCCGGCTCCTTAACACTTACCTATCCCGCCTCGACAGCTCCATCTCCCACCTTTGCCCAACCTGTTCCCTTGCCCCCCACACAAAATGTCACCTTTTCAACTGCTCCCAAAACCCCTCCCCACTCACCCCAGCAGACCTGTGGCTTCGGCCGGTAGAGGTTGCTAAGTTCCTTGACCTGGAGACAGAAGAGCCCAACCCGACCCGCGTGGGCTAACAACAACAACAACAACTGCCAGTCTTCATAGCACTGACTGGCATTGTGTAGTTCTCGAAGGTTTTCAAACACCTTTGGGTTTGCCTGCAAATAGAAAGGCAAGTCTTGTAAATGCTCTGGCAAGGTTTGATCCGACCGGTTTTTGGTAGATACCCACTGAATTTTGTCTTTCAACATTCGAACATAGTTTTCGAAGCATAAACTGGGTGAAAGCAGAGCAAGCAGCACTGTTATGAAAAATATTGGAAATACCATTTCAAAACAACTTCTTGTTAATAACGGAAGCCAGTTATGAACGGAGCAAATGAATGAATATAATCATGTAGGAATAAAATGTTCGCTTAAACTGCTCAATCAAAGGATCAAAAACCTGTGGGATATTTTGTCGTTATGAAACTTAAAAACTTTTGATTAACAAATTCAGAAATCCAAGAGTGAATATATACTGAAACAATCTGAATGAATCTCACTTCGTGGTCGTTTTTTTATTAATAGAGAGAAAAATTCAACAAATGCGTTGAAGATGGAGATGCAGCTACTTCAGAACCATGATTTGACTACTAAATTTAAAATCTTGATTATTCTTACAATAGCTTACATTGGGTCATTTTTTGGCACCTAGATTCTCCCATTTTAGAGCTAAAATGACTAACAGCTAATTTGGTTTTTTGTTGTTGCATCTATTTGCAGTTGTCAAAATTTCGGAGCATAGTTTTAGTTTATTTATATATTTGTGTGTCTAACGTCTATTTTTATATTTGTAGCAATTTGTTTATTTAGCATTGAGTTTATTTTGCGTTGAGATTGACTATGTTTTGCCACATCTATTTTTGTTGTTTAATTAAGAGACAATGAACGTAGTGAAGACTTTTCTATAAGTCATGATGATTTTTTTGTTTTTGGGAAAAAGTCTCAAAATGTGTTCACTTTCTAATTTGATTTTTCATGGTATGATTTTTGATTTATTTTAGAGTTCAAGTCTATAGTTAAACGGAAGGCAAACTCTTGTGGCGAACAGCAAAAGTGTAAAGGTCACGAAAAACGTATTTGAATTCTAGTTTTGAAAATGAATTTCAATTTTCACGTTTCCCAGCGGAATAAAAAATTTGCCTTTTTACATATTCGAAATTTTTTTTGAAAATTCCCCCCACCACGAGAAAAGCCTATATCTGCTCTTGGTGTCATTGCTACTTCCAACATTTGGAAATTAAGTGCATATGATGAATGACTCGTTATATTTTATATGTTGTCATCTATTTTTAAGCTAAGAGGAGCTTGTTCCGTATTAATGTTTATATATTTATGTTGTCACATCTATTTTTAAATTTCAGAAAACATAAAATTGTTGCCTTGTTCAAGAATTTTTATGAAACTGTCCTTTGTATTTTTAACTTATAGACCTTTTGAGCTTGTTGTTCCGACTTTCGATACGAAAGTAACGGAATATTTGTGCTCGGGGTGGGTTTTTTTTCTTCAGACAAATTTCGACTTTTTAACTAGCCATTTTTGACGGAATTTTTTTTGTATCATTCGAAAGATGTTAATGTTTTGAGCTTAAATTTGAACCAATATATCACCTGTGATCATTTTTTGTTTAGTTATGGGGGGTTTAAACATTGCCATTTTTGCCAATTTGGGACAATTAATGCGCGATATATTTTAAGCTATTAACGCGTAAGCGGAGATTCATTTCCGTATTATAAATCGTTCCAAATTGGTTGTAGGAAGCTTATACGTTATTGTTCCGACTTTGGTAACGAAAGTAACGGCATATTTGTGCTCAGGGTGCGTTTTTTTTCTTCAGACGAATTTCGACTTTTTAACTAGCCATTTTTGACGGATTTTTTTTTGTCATTCAAAAGGTATTGTTTTCCGAAGCTTAAATTTGAAAAAAATTTACCTGTGATTGTTTTTCGTAAACTTATTGTGGTTTAAACTTTGCCATTTTGGCCAATTAGGGACAATTAACGCGTGATATATTTCGCGCAATTTACGCTCAAGCGGAAATTTAATCCGTCTCAGAAATCGTTACAAATTGTTTGAATAAAGTTTTTTTGCCGTAATTGATTTGTTACTAGGAGTGAAATTTATTTTTTTGTACTTTATTTGGCGTGTGGTGGGTGGGATGATTTTCACCAAAAAATTTCAATTATTATTTTTTTAAATGTTCTTTTTATTTTTGTTCCAGTTATTATTGCTCCCCGAAAGTAACGGAATATTTGCGCTCGGGTGAGTTTTTTTCTTCAGACAAATTTTGACTCTTTAATCAGCCACATTTGTTTATCATTCGAGAGGTATTGTTGTTATGAGCTCAAATTTGAAAAGATATTTCACCTGTGATCATTTTTTGTAAAGTTATGGGGGTTTAAAGATTGCCATTTTGGCCAATTTGGGACAATTAACGGGCGATATGTTTCGCGTAATTAACGCGTAAGCGAAGATTTACTCCGTCTTAGAAATCATTCCAATTTGGTTGAAAGAAGCCTATTTGCCAGAATTGATTTGTTACAAGGAGCGAAATATATCCTTTTGTACTTTATATGACGTGTGGGGGATGATTTTCATAAAAAAGTCAAATTTTAGAAAAAAAATCATTAACCATGAAGAAAAAAAATTTTTAGAAAAAAAATCTGCTCCATAAACCTTTAAAGGCAGTCGGAACATTCAGGGCTTCGCCCTGATACGAGCAGTCTTGTTCATGTTTGCTGTCCAATTTTTTGTCTAGTTTCAAGTTCACTTGAATTTATTTGTTAAATGTAGGCAATTTTTGATCTATCAAAGAAATGCTATTCAATTCGAATTTCAAAAGTGGTTTGCAAAGTAAGGTTTCCCAGCTAAATCAAAATTTGCCTCAGGTTGAGTTAGTTTTATTACAAAAACAAAGTTGAATAAAAAAATTGACTATTGTCCAGCTTTGTTCAGATATTATTGTGTTCTAATTTGTCACAATTATTTTTGACTTGCATAAATTGTTTTTGTGTCTCTGTAGATCTTTTGGGCTTACAGATAGATAAATTAGCCAATTTAGACAATTACTGGCCCAAATCTGGGTATCTTTGGCTGGTTTGACTGAATTTTAACTCTGTTGAACTGTCTTGGGGCTAATTGTGCGATTGGGATTAATCGTATATCTTATGGTGTTGAGACAAAAGATGTCCTACGAAAATATCCAATGGCAAAAGATACCAATTCACACAATCATATATGACAAGGTTGCTTTATCATAAAACGATTTAAAAAGACGAGTCCGCAGGTTGAAATCAAAGAAGATGATTACATATGGCTATATTGCAAACCATTCACAAACTTAATGTAGATCAAGTTTGGCATAACAAAAACAGTTCCACGGTATGAATGAACAACAGAAATATTAATTTTTACAGATACATATTCATTCGGAAATGCCCTGGAGCATAAGATTCGCGCATTTAAGAAAAGTGAAAACAAATCGATTATAATGGATTTTCGTAGTTATTTTCAATGAAATCTGAACTTGGTGAATTGATAGTTCAGATACATGTTCATGAAAAGTTACTCCAATGGAAGTTAAGTTTGGTGTTTAGGTCGAAGTGAACGACAAACTGATCAAAACGTTCTCGATCGCCAACAGTGGCAAATACCTCTTCGACTACTCTTGGTCTCTCACCCAACCCCAACTTCCATCCTCCGCCTCCCCTCACCAGCCCCCACTGAGTATGGACCCAAGTGGGGCATCTGTGGAACCAGGGAAGTCCACCACTGCCATTCTGACGTGGCACCCAAAATGCAAACATTCACTCAGCGGAGCATTGCTCAATTTGTCGGTTAGTTCTTAGAAGTTATTCTTTTTCATTTTCTTAAATCAAAGTCTATCATGAAAGTGCTAAGGTTTTAGAACCTCAACTTTTGAGATTTTATTGTTTTCATCTTCGTAATCGATCAGCTATTTCTTCCTCTTTTGATTTTCGGATCGATTCGCTCGTCACATATTATCTCGGCATTGAAGAAATGTGTTATTTTTCAAGTTTCAGAGTTGGCGTTTAAACTATCAAATCTATGCACTTTTTTCCTTAAAACACACTTTTACAGGTTAAAAATGGGCCCAAGTACAAAATAGCTCTTGTGGGGAAGGCTGTGAAACCAAGTGTGAAGTTCTCCTTCCGCAAATACAATTTCGGCTACACATTCCTGTCGGCTAATGAGCAGATTGTCAAGCAGAGTTCACTCACAATTACCAACAACGACTGCAAGACCATCAAGTGAGTCCAAAGATCAAATAGGAGAACGCTCGTTAAAACGACGGAATCATATTTCAGAAACTAACTAATGAAAAGTTCCATTTGAAAAATTGCTATGTTAATCAACGTTTGTATACAAGTAAACTAGCTCAAATTTCGGTCTTTTTGTATACTGCGCACAGAAGCGTGCGCGCAAACCTTTTTTACGGAGCAAAATTCGAACAAAAATTTTAGGGTTGGGGTCAAAATTTGATGCAAAAATGTAGCTTAAAAAGTATAGAAACCCCTCTTTCGCGCCAAAGTTTCTCGGGATAAATTGTCATCATAATCTTACCTTTAGCGTGGACTGTCTCTTCACTAATCAGCCCCACCTGAAAGTGTCGATGGAAGGTGGGGGCACTTTGGAGCCAGACAGCAGCTGCCAGGTGTTGTTCAAGTTCGCCCCCCAGAAGTGCGTCAAATACAGTGAAGTGGTGAAGTTCCTGATCAATGGACTAACTGAGACAGACGTTAACATTACTGGACATGGCTGTGATCTGAAGGTATGGGTTTGATCTATTTGAATCTTTCAATCAACCGTCAATTGTTACTTTTGCCGCGTCAACTAACTTTCGCACCTGGAAAATTTGCGCAAAATTTTCTCTACACAGTTTAAGTTATAGTTTCTGAGCAAAATTTCCCAAATATTATATTTCTGTGTAAAACATTTGAGATAAAGAAACCACAAGCATTAAATGTCATAGCTCATAATGGACCTGTAGTCTATTTACCTTTGCGAGCGTAGTGTTTTAGTACGAACCTTTTTTTTCAACCTAACTTGCAAATAAAAGTCTTCATTTTTTGGTGCCACTTTTGCTATAATAACGATCAGTAGCTTAGGAAAACTCATATCATCCGTTCTCTGCTTTATTTGTGGCTATAGTTTGTGTTTTATTAAGCGTCCGTGGCTGAGTGATTAATGCGTGAGACTCATAATATCTAGGTCGGAGATCGAATCCAAGACGATGCCGAACTTTTACCAATTCGAGGCTTATTTATACTTTTTTTTATTGCACTTTGTAGAGCTGCTTTTTGTCGTGTTCTCACTCGTGTTTGTGAAGCGCAGCTTCACCTCTGTGTAACTTATGCCACACGCATAAGCATTTGTCATTCATTTTAACACCCACGTGTTGTCATGATAATTAAGAGTCGAGGACCCTAGTTCAGACTCTTATGAAAGACTCTTAAATTAGCCTAATTGTTGTGATAAACTTATTAAATAGATAGATATGTCTCGACGAACCGGATAAACATCTTATCTTGGGTAGCCCTTGTCTACGAAGGGATTTTAGAGATCCGGTTGATGGAAATCGAAATTGACACAAACAGAATCAGATAAAGAAGATAAACCAGCTCATTTGAGAGTGGTTACGACAGCCAGAAAAGACACGAACAAATTCCCGGGTGTTATCCAGCTCATTTTAGAGCGGAAACGACAAAGAGAATTTGGAAATATCTTTAAACAAATCTACCAAAATCCAGCTCATTTTAGAGCGGAAACGACCAATAATTCCCAGCAAGACAATTGAAATATGTCGTCTCTCCACTGTACAGTATGTCAAAACGCTTAAATCAATCAATCGGCGAAATGCGTCGGTTGTCAAGCTTCTGCCCACTCTGCGTGTATTGGCCTCAACACTGCCGATAAGGTGGTTGGGCACATTGAATGGAGTTGCCCAGATTGTGGAACCTGTAAAAGAGATGTTTTCCGAGTTATTGATGAACTGCGACAAGAACTGTTCTCAATAAAGACTATGGCGCAAGTTGTGCACGAATTAAAGTCTGAGCTGCTATCGCTGAAGCAATATCGGGAACCAAGTAGTATAATTGAAAAGAACAAAACCAATTATGCTGGGGCAGCGAAGTTTAATCTGAATTCTTCGGCATTCATCAGAAATGCTCGTGAAAGTGTATCCTCAGAAGCTGGTAGCTCGAGGGTTACGAAGCGAAAAGGCTCCAAAGATAGAAATGACCGCAGACCAAAGAAACCACTACTTACGGGAGAAGTGGTAACAGAAGCACTCAAAGGTGTAGAGAAGCCACGACCACGACGCCATCTCTATGTTGGAAGAATAAAACAGACAAATGATGAAAGTGATATAGTCGCATGGTGTCAAAGCAAAGGATTTCCTCTGAATCATATCAGGGAAATAACAAAGGAAAAATCTCGCCACAAAAGTTTCCACTGTGTATTTGACGGCGAACATGCAACAATCATTGATCAACCTAATTCTTGGCCGGAAAACGTTGTAATAAACAGGTACTATCTTGAAACAGAAGCCAGAACCTGGCTCAGAACTTTGAAAAGCGACTGACTAAAATCAAATAAAAAACCCGAGTCTCAATCGAATGCTATGAAAGTTGGTGTAATTAATATACGTTCTCTAGCGAAAAAAGTAAATCAAATACAGAGCATATTGGCTATAGAACAAGTTGATATCTTGATCATAACTGAAACCTGGCTTAAGCCGGATACGGAATATATTCTAAATCAGTACATAGACTCTTCAAATGAATATCGATACCATCATGTTTCACGAACGGCTAAAATAGGTGGAGGTGTTGCCATAATTTCTCACGAATAACTACAGGGTGAAAGAATTTTAAGCCATCTCTCGGACGATGGTGAATTCTTGGTAACTACGGTCGTGACTAGAAAAGTCAAAATAACAATTGCAGCAATATATAGACCGCCGAGTGGAAATTATAACGAGTTTTTTAATGAATTGACTGAAAATATTCTTGCTTCATCAATTGAAACCCAAATTCTCCTCCTGGGGGATTTTAATTTGGATCTAGAAAACAGACGTTGTGCCAAATCCAATACATTTTGTTCGATTCTACTGGAATATAACCTAGAACAGATTGTTAAGAAACCAACTCACGAATACGGGAAAATTCTAGACCTCATAATTTGTTCAAACCCGGAATTGTGCTCACCAGTTAGAAATGAGCACGTTGAATACTCTGATCACCATTTATTGACGTTCACTTATGAAATCGCAATTCAACGGAAGGATAAAACCAGATTGACTATTTATGATTGGAACAATACAGACTGGAAACATTTAGAGACGGAAATAGATCAGAATTTAATCTTGAATCTGAACACCAGTGACCCGAACGAGATGGCAGAGAATTTTATCGAAATTTTGCAGCTGCTGAAAACTGATTATGTGCCAACTAAGACCAAAGTTGTCAAAAACCGATTTTGTAATTTTTACGATAAAGAGTTAGCAGACGTAAAACGAAAACGTAGAAATTTAGAACCCGTAATGCGTGTAAAACCTGGATTAGAAAACGAAACAGTTTTCAAGGAGTATTTAAAGAAATGTAAAGATCTGTTTAGAGAGAAGAAATTGATATATTTTTCCAGGCGCTTTGAGCTTTCAAATAGCCATTCGCTCAAATTTCGTGAATTGAAACGCCTTGCTGGAGAAAAACAACAAAACGTTCTCCCACTGATATACTCCAGTGATTATGAATTAGCTGAAAACTTCAACCAATTTTTCATTCAGAAGGTTAGAAATTTAGTGGCAAATGTTAAAAGTAATGGCATCTCGCCGCCACTCTTTGCTTTCACTGCAGTTTCTTCTTTCCAATTCCAATATAGGACTATAGATGAATTAGAAGAAGCAGTAAGAATGGTTTCAAACGCGAACTCACGAGAAGATATACTGAAAACGATAGATATGAAAAGAATAGCACACTCGCGGAAAGATTATTTCATCATTATGAGAAACAATTGCATCCATCAGTCCAAATTTCCAAAGTGTCTCAAGAGAGCGGTAATAACTCCTCTCTTTAAAGACCACAAACTTGACCAAAACGTTTTAAATTCTTATAGACCAATAGCGAATCTGATGTTTATCAGTAAAGTTTTTGAAAGAATTTTATATAAACAGCTCGATCAATACCTTAGCTCCTATAATCTTCTAGATGAACACCAATCTGCTTACAGGAAGCATTTTTCAACTGAAACGGCTCTGCTAAAAACTACAGATGATCTACTGACTAGTCTCGACAACAAGAGACAGGTCCTTTTGATAGCCCTTGACCTTTCAGCTGCATTTGATACCATTGATCATAAAACATTGAGAAAGATCATGAAAAATCGGATTGGAATGACGAATGATGCAGTGGATCTAATTCTTTCCTATCTAGAGAATCGGACTCAAATTGTTGCTATCAATGATGTTTTATCGAATTCTCAAGAACTCGAATTTGGAGTGCCTCAAGGTTCTCTTCTGGGACCCCTCCTGTTCTCAATCTACCTGACACCATTGAACGATATTATTGGCTCAACTAAATTTTCACACCAAGTGTATGCCGATGATACTACTTTAGACTGTGAAATTAAAAATGAGAGTGAATTAGCAGAAATAGAATGATCTCTGGTTATTATTTCGAACTGGTTTTCGTCCATGGGGCTTATGTTAAATGAATCAAAAAGCCAAGTAATTAACCTAGCCACTAGTAAGTCAAAAGGTCTAACAAACGGTTCAATACTCATTGGAAATTCAACGGTTAAGCTGATGAAATCAACAGAAAACTCTGTGAAGTCTTTAGGTTGCCTCATTGACCGATCCTTGTCAATGAAAAAACAGATCGATTCCGCGTGTGGCGCCAGTTACCACAGTCTCCGGAAACTATACAGCATACGTTTCTACCTTGATTTTGAAAATAGAAATATGTTGGCAAGAATGCTAGTCTTGAGTCGATTAGACTACTGCAATAGCTTGTACTCGAGCTTCCCAATTTATCTGCTCTACAAGTTGCAAAAAGTCCAAAATAGTGCCTGCAGATTTGTTTTCGGTTTGAAGAAGTCAACGAGTATTACTCCTTATCTACATGATCTACATTGGTTGCCCATAAAATCTCGAGTGATTTTTAAAGTTTTGACAATCGTACACAAATGCATTTTCAATCCTCAAATCGTTCCGTCTTATCTGAGTAAATATTTTTCACTACAAAAAAGTTCCTCCCGTTTCAGTGAAAGGACCATGGTCATTAAGAAACCACTGGTTAACACGAACTATGGAAAAAGGACGTTTAGATTTGCTGCCGCACACCATTGGAATAGCTTACCATGTAACCTTAAACTACCAAATGAAACTGAATTTCGTAAACAGTTGAAAACGTATTTGTTTAACCAGTATTACTATGAGACTTGTTTCAGTTAAAGGTTGCTAAAATGACTGAAACTAGAAAGGTTGGAATTCAAAAGCTAAACGAAACCTTGCGTCTAAGAAATGTTCATGTTGAAACCAGGTTTCTCCCCAAAAGACGGATAATATTGAGCTCTGATAAGATCAAGAGAGTGACATATGCTGTTTTGGGATCATCGCTAGTTTATGGGATTTTTCTGCCAGATTCCGTGACAGTTTCGTGCCCTGGTGGAACTCTCTCAACCCTTTGTAGCGATCAGGTTCTCAATGACATGAAAAACTTGGATGTACAAACAGTGCTCATAATGGGAGGAACAAACAACCTGTTTGACCGTTCCGGGCGCCAGTCATTGGGAGCGACTGAAGTAGCCGAGGAGATGGAGAGTGCTATTTTTAGACTCCTTGACTGCAATTTCGAAGTTGGCGTCATGTCACTTATTAGCCGGGAAGGTGAACGCTCTCTTATCAGGAGAGTGAATAAATGCTACAGAAATCTAACGGCATGGTAAAAAAATCCCGCTCTTTAAAACTGTAAAGTTCAGCTATCGGAGGCATGTTTGCGCAGATGGACTTTAACCTACAGCAAATGGCGTGCGCGAACTTGCTAAGGACTTTTATGACGCCTTCAGAAGCATAGAAAATCCAATGGCTGTGAAACGAAGGCAAAGAAGGCGACGACGATAAAACGCCCCGCTCATTTTAGAGCGGGTCCGATTTTTAACCATCTTCAAAGAACATTTTCTGTTTAAATCCCAGCTCATTTTAGAGTACGTACGGCTATCGACAGAAACGAACTCATCTTTAGCGGGAGCGACTGATTATTTATACGACAAAACTGGTTTTTAATTAAACTCAAACACCTTTGAATTCAAGAAATTGGTGTCGAAATAACATATGTGATGATGATGATGATGATGAGTCTCGGGTCTCTGAAGAACAAGTTGTAGGTTTCAAAATCTTCGAAAAAATGGTTTGCGTTCGTTTACTAGTGTTTTTGAAGTTTTACCCAAAAATTGCGGGACCCATCTTTTTCCTGGGACCCAACTATCATATTTGTACTGCAAAATCCAATATCGAACAGCTAAAGTGTAAAGATCACAAAAAACGTGATCCATTTCTAGTTTCGAAAATGGAATTTAATTTTCAGGTTTTCCAGCAAAAAAAAACATTTTGATCGAGTTTTCTCAAACTGACTCTATTTTATCAAAAAAGTGTCGATCATAAATTTTTGTAGAAAATTATCTGTGAAATCATCGAGTTTTTCTAGAGAAATCATCGATTTTTTCTGCGAATTTTGAAAGCTGAGGTTTTTCAAAAAAACAAGTCAGTGTTTTTTCTGGTTTCTTGAGTTTCCAATTGTCTGTTGACTATGTTTTTTGTTTTATCTACTCTGATATATTACAGTTTTGGCAATACATTACAGTTTTGGCCGTTAAAATTGATCTTTTCCTGGGTTGATAAAAAGATCTTAACTAATTAGATAACTAATTGAGTACCATATTTTGTGAGATCTTAACGTGGAACATGATCTCTCTATAACAAATCTTACGCGTTTATAAAAAAAATCTTCGTTATATAATTCAAATATTTACGATAGTATCAGGGAGCCATATTTTATTCTGACTCTTGTTTTGTGTACAATCGATTAAAAAATTATGAGAAATATTTTGACTCGAATTCATATTCATATTGCAACTGTAATATCTTTTTGTTTTGCAGCTGGACGTGATGGGTGGTACGAAGAACAAGACGTGCAATTTGGGCGCCATCAGGATAGGACAGGTTTCCAAGAAGAGAGTCCATCTTGTCAACCACAGTCTCTCACCGGTCACATTCTCGCTCGGTAAAACAAACTTTTCACCCAGTTGATTATAACCAACTCGACCAATTTTCCATCATTCTGCTTTGTCTCTTATAAAACAGACTTGTATAAAATCATCACAAACTTCCTTTTTTGGAATAAACTCTCATAGTTTTCCCAATATACACGCTCTGTTTATTCTTAGGAGCTGCAATCATTGATGATGTACCTTTCTGCATGCAGCTGCATACAAAAAGGTATATCAGCTGGAATTTTCGTATGCAGCTGCATAAAAATGTCGACGAAGTTCTCAAATGACTTCATATCCATTTTTAGACTGCAAACTGTCTCATTTGCTGATATAGAGAATACTTAAATATTTTTATCTTATATAGTGGATTCGAGTATTTTCCCTTGACAGAGCAAGTGTACTTATAATCGGGAACAAGACTTTTTTCAGTTAATTAACATTTACAAATCTGTAAGAAATGGACCTTGCTTTATTAGGAAACCACGATATTTTTTCTAGGTTTTACAACTTAGTCTAGTCATGAAGCGAGTGTCTTCGGGTCCCAAAGTCTAAGTTCAAGTCACGGACCAAGTTCTTTTTGTTCTGATTGTCGAAGAAAGTGGGAAATAAACATTTGCTTGGGGTTTGCTTTTTTATTATTCAGACCATCTTTAAGCTCACTTAGGGGATCCATCCCTGGACCTACGTGCGCCCTATCGTGCATGCACACCACTTTACTAGCGCGACTGTCTCTTCAAGCTGAAACGAGTCTATCTAAACTGCTCATTTTTTTCATGCTGAGAGTGTCACGCAAATTTTTACTCAAACGACATTTAAAAATTTCGACTATTTTTTCCAGTGTCAAGAACAACGGTTTAAAATTTTTGATTTTGCGTTTAAATTCGAGCAAGTAAAGCAATTTTATGTTTAATTTAGGCCGTTTACAGTAGCTTATTTATGCTTAAATTTAATTAAATTTAATTTTACTGGAGTAAAATCAGTTTTTAGAGATTTTTAATATCATTTTGGAATCAACAATTTCAAAAACTGCGAAAAAAAATTGATTTTTTGTTGTTGATTTTAATGTGTTTTTTTTTTGCTTTCGCGGTAATTTGTCTTCTAAAATTGTTTGCCTTTCTTACTATGACTGTCGAATATGCCTAAATTATAGTTTCACGTCTGATCCTGTATCACACCACAAAGAGATAACTACACTAAATTGAAAAGGAAAAATTTTTCTTGTAGTTTTTTTTTAAAACTATGGTCGGAACATTTTGTGCTACTTGCACAGTAACCGATAATCCTTGCTATGTTTTAGTCTATTTTTTTGCCTCATTTGGTGGTCAGTTTTTTTTTTAACTTTGTGTTTTCAGTAGTGATTGGCATTAAGAATTTCTAGTTTGCAGTAAGATTTTCAAAATTTTTAGCTCAAATTTTTTAAGTTAATTTGTTATCAGTTCAATTGGCATCTATCTACCCACGTAGTGGCTGCTCGATGAACTATTCTGAGTGATTGTTTAACACTAGTGATTGTGTATGCGATATATTTGTAATTGACAATGAACGCAGAGAAGGCACTTGCATATGTAGTAATGATTCTTTTTCAATTTTTTTTTCCAAATTTAACTCATTTCATTCGCTAAAAGGAAGGCAAACTGCTGTATTAGTTTTCTCAAAAATCGTCAATCATAAAATTCTTTCGAAGTTTCAAAAGCTTTAAGAGCCTCTTTTTTTCATTAAAATTCGAAAGTTAAAGTTTTTAGAAAAAAAAACAATTCAGTATTTTTTTTGCATCCCTGCTTTCATTAAAATTTTTCCCACAGTCTGTTTTTCTATGTTCTTAAACTGGAAATTATTGTAAATGTTTGACTTTTGAAATTTTTCAAATAATATTTTTCTCGATTTGGTGGCTTCAGCTTCCTGTTCTATGTGCTAGGTTGCAATGCTATGTTTGTATGTATTGCAAACACAGTGCTGATTTAAATTAACCGGACAAAACGCGTTAAACTTGAAATTTAAAACGCGTTTTTCCCCAACTGGGTTGAGTTTAAGTGAAAACTCATGAAGACAAAACTTGCTTAAAATTTTAGCAGAATTAATATGGTGTAATTTGTTTTGAGAAATTCGGGCCAATTTATCCCAAAAATGGATCATTTTGGCTTTTCTTAATTGATCAAAAATTATGCCGAAAATACCCAGTCGATCACAGACATAATTATATCAAAGTGAGCTTCTTACATTGCCCAACAAACTTTAAGAAGGGTATATTCTCCAAAACATTGTATAAAATAATTTATTTTTATTTGATAGACAAAAAAGGTCGTTTTTACTATATAAAATACCAACTTTTTACTTAAAAACAATTTTTAAACGGTTTGCAATTTTTTTTTTAGAGAATGTACCCTTCTTAAAGTTTGTTGGGCAACGTAAGAAGCTCACTTTGATATACTTATGTCTGTGGTCGACTGGGTCTTTTCGGCGTAATTTTTGATCAATTAAGAAAAGCCAAAATGACCCATTTTTGGTATAAAATTTTGTGCCCGAATTTCTCAAAACAAATTACACCATATTAATTCTACTAAAATTTTAAGCAAAAGTTTTGTCTTCATGAGTTTTCACTTAAACTCAACCCAATTTGAATAAACTCGTTGTAAATTTCAAATTTAGTTCTTTTTGTCCGGTTAATTTAAATCAGCACTGTAGTTCGATGGTGCGGTTTGCCTCAGTGTGATAACTTAGCCTTTCTTTTTCTAAATGTCTTAGTTTCAATTCAGGCACCAACTTGACTGACCCGGCAATCTGTGATCCGGGTACTCTGTCTCTGTGGCCAGAGAAGGACATCACTCTGGCTGCGAAGAACGGGTGCATAGACATTGACGTCAAGTTTCACCCAAAGACCAGAGTCACCCAGTTCCTGGAAGAAGTAAGTCACGCAGAAAAAAGGATACTTTTGTGAAATGTCATGGAACGTGTAATAATTTTTGTTTGTTGCGCTACTTCCCATGATCTGATTCTTTCTCTGCAGCTTTTTGAAAGAGAAAGCTGGCCGCAATATTCAAAGGGAAAAATGACTTGACCAGTTTGTACGCGAACCGCAATAATAACGTGGAATCAGCCTGTCTAATAGTTCTTTATTGCGATTCCAGTGGCAATTTTGGGATACCAGTTTGATAAATATCTTTTCGAAATTTTCTAGGTGTTACTGGAAGTGGATGGTATGATGACGTCACCTCTGTTTGCTCTGAGTGGTTGTTGTCAGGCCACCGAGGTCACTCTGGACAGTGAGACCATTCCCTTCGGGGCTGTGACCTTGAACAGCAGTTCAAACAGGAAACTAGTCATGACCAACTCGGGTGACATCGGGGCCAGGTATAACCTGATTGAAACTAATCAACGAAATAAAAGTTCATATGGTCCTGCTTGCCATAGTGAAGGTGTGAAAAACAAGAAATATTTTTTTTCGAGATATAAAAAATTATACGTGATTTGCTCCAGTATTAAAAATATATTTTTGCCAACATTTGAAAAATGTAGTATATATGACCCACTGGTGTGACATAAATAGGTTGAAAGTTTGCATCTCTGATCAAACTGCAATAATTAGAACATTTTTATGTTTAGATATTTTAGATTTTTAATAAAATCATCCCATTCCTCTCAGTTAGTATCGCTCAGTCCTTAGAAAAACGTGATCCTTATGGTAACTTCAACACAACTTAATTCTGCCTCCTTTTGAAAGATGTTAAAAGAATTTTTGTTTTTTCAGCTTCCAGTGGAATGCGGCCAAATTCGCACCTGATTTCTCCATCTCCCCCACCGAGGGCTATTTGTCCCCCGGCATGGAGCTGGTGTTTGACCTCACTTTCCACCCGCAGACAGTCAGCCAGGAGATCAGATACGACAACCTCATGTGTTACATTGAACACTACAAACCACTCAAGTTGAGTCTCACTGGAATGTGTGTGGGCACAGCGCCTATCCGAGAAGTTAGTATCATCAAGGTTCTGATCGTTTTTGTTGCGATTATTCTAGAAACGCGTTATCAAGGTTCAATTATGTAACTCAAGAAACACTTCAACTGGTTAATCATAATAATAGTAATCATCATAAAAATAAAAATCATAATAATAATCAAAATCATAATAATCATAATCATAATAATAATCAAAATAATAATCATTATAATCATAATAATAATCATAATAATCATAATCATAATAATAATAATCGTAACAATAATCATAATAATAATAATAATAATCATAATATAATAATGATAATAATAACAATAATAATCATAATAATCATAATAATAATCGTAATAATAATCATAATAATAATCATAATAATAATCATCATAATAATCATAATATAATCATGATAATAATAATAATAATCATAATCATAATAATCATAATCATAATCATAATATAATAATGATAATAATAACAATAATAATAATCATAATAATCATAATAATAATCATAATAATTATCATAATAATAATAATAATAATAATAATAATAATAATAATAATAACAATAATAATAATCATAATAATCATAATAATAATCATAATAATTATCATAATAATAATAATAATAATAATAATCATAATAATAATAATAATAATAATCATAATAATAATAATAATCATAATAATAATAATCGTAATCATAATAATAATCATAATAATAATAATACTCATAATAATCATAATAATATTAATCATAATAATAATAATAATAATCATAATAATAATCATAATAATAATCGTAATAATAATCATCATAATAATCATAATATAATCATGATAATAATCATAATAATCATAATCATAATCATAATAATCATAATCATAATATAATAATGATAATAATAACAATAATCATAATAATAATCATAATAATAATCATAATATTAATAATAATAATCATAATAATAATCATAATAATAATCATAATAATCATAATAATAATAATCGTAATAATAATCATAATAATAATAATCATCATAATAATAGTAATAATGATCATAATAATAATAATAATAATAATAATAATAATTGTGGTTTCTGCGATTTGCAGAGGATCTATGAAAGGCTATCCAGCCTGTCTAAGCATAGTCCGTTTCAGATGTTAATAATGATATCAGCAAGATTTAAAAGACTTTTGCTATTACAATTGAGTTATATGGCGTTAACTTTTTGAATTTTCCGGCCATTTAATAGTTTCTCCTGCATCCATTTTATTGAAATAATGTTTGGTTTTTGAAAAAAGTTCTCGAAATTGAAAGATGAACACCTTTTTTCAGATTTTTTACATCTCTTGATTACAAGATTAAGTTTATCCTTTTTTCTAGACTCTCAGCTTCACAGCACCCGTTCGAGGCGCTGACAAGAAGACGATCTCTCTGGCGAACAGAAGTTACGCCAACTGGAATCTGAAGCCAGTGATAGACGGGGAACAGTGGCACGGCAGTGAAGTCTTCAATGTAGATGCGGGACACACTAAGAACTATGAGTTGGTCTACAAACCACAGAGCATGACTATTCTAGATGGAAAGAAACACACGGTACAGTTAATATCCCCTTCTTTTGGATACCTGCCAAAGATTAAAGTCGAAACTACTGTAACGAAACGCGCCAAAACGGTTCTGTGTTAAGAGCTCGATAGCTCGTTTTTTATATTTTCCCTTGTGAATAAATAGGGGAAGACTTAGAATGCTGAAGAGTCGAATTCTCGAAAACAGGGAAAGTTTATTTTTCTGTTGTCATTTGGGGTAAAATAGACGAAATTTAGTAGTTAGATAGGAACTTTAACATACCACTGTTCAAAGGTTTTAACAAAAAAATAAGGATACTCTGTTAACTTAACAATAATTTAGGGCACATTGTTCTTCCCGATGCCAGATGGGTCTGGTCTGTTGTACCAGCTGATAGGCACAGCCGAACACCCTAAGCCCACTAGCAGTCTCACCAGAGAGATCCCCTGCAAGACCCACTACACAGAAGTACTCACTGTCTCCAACTGGCTACAAGTACACCAGAGGTTCAAGGTAATATAAGAAGAGTATAATAAATAGGGTATTTTCTGCTATACGGCCCAAAATTATCAAATTGTTAATTGAGCTTCTTTTTTTTATTGAATATCCAGATTTTTTTTTGCAGGAACTAATTTCAACCAATCCGATTCGCGTATAATGATCTAATTTTCAAAAACCGAAAAAGATCAGTCTTGGGCCGTATAACAGAAAATAAATTCGCTTCTTTGAAGGGAACAATTTGTATACAGTTTACAAAATTTATTCAAAAAATCCTATCTTGGAAGAGCATCAAAAGGCCACGTATACACACTTCACTGCAAAACGGACCAAGTTAACATACAAAACCTCTCGCCCCCTCCCCCATATGAGCACATTAAGATTTGCCTCCCCATTATTTAATTTGGATTAAAACTGCTCTACGATACTAAACTCCATTCGGATTCTCTGAATATTCAAATAACAACATAGTTATCATCCATCCTCTAAACCACTTTGAGGTGACGGATGATAACTTGATGCCACAAAACAAACAACGCCACAAAATTCTTTTTTCTGTGCAAATTGAGTATTGCACTAAAATAATAAATCCAGTGAATGTTAAAAGACAAAGCGTCCTTTTGTGTTCAGTATCATCTCTGCCAATATCTAGCTTTGACTTGCCCCTCTCGATCAAATCGAAAACCTATAGTATTTATAGTATTTTAAAAATTATGCAAATTGTTTTTATAGTATTTTTAATAGTATTTTAAAAGAGTTTTTACAGTATTTCTAGAATTATGCAAGTTGCTTTGGCCGTATTGTAAATTAATGTAAACTAGTGAAAAACTGGTGAAAAAAGAAGTTTGATTCTTAAAAATAAATTCAGAACAAAAATGGATTAAAGAAAGAGTTTAATTAGGATTTTATATGACAATAATTATGTGCTGGTTGTGTAGGCGTTCATTGAGATGGTGAAGCCGGAGAAGCTGGATGCGACTACGACTCTGAAGGGACTGGACTACGTGGAGGTGCCTGCCATGTCTACCGCAGACTACAAACTCAACTTCTACTCTTACAGAGAGGGAACATACACTGCCAAGGTATGAGGTCAAGGTCAACGCAGACCTGCTCATTGACAGCGAATTGATATTAAGGTCAAATAGTTGATTCAATTTTTCATCTTGAAAGCATTATGTTCTTTTTCACTATCTTATTTTTATCTATTTGTTGTCCAATTTTTTTATTTTTTACTTTTTCAACGTATAAACAGTGTCAAATAATCCAATTAATTAATCTTAATTGACCTTGAAAAAACTGACAAATTGAATTGAGAGAAAAATATTGTTTTTTCTCAATTGAGATATTCAAACTCACAGAAATAGTTCACGATTTGATAATTACCCTATATCGCATTTCAAATTGAGTTATTAATTTTAACTATATTAAGCATTATGGTGCTTAAAATTTTTTGAGGCGAAAGGATTTCGACCAATTAAGTTGTAATAGTGTTTAAGAAGAGCTCTGAAAATCTTTTTTGTTGCTCCCAATTTTCTCTAGCACGAAGCACCATCTCCTCGTCTGGAATCAAAGTGTTAAGCCTCGTTTGCGAGAAATTTCTATTTAAGATTGTGTTGGCGAACGAGAAGACACGAGAGTACCAATACTTCCTCGTGTCCTTCAAGAGCATCACGCCTGGAGTGCTGCAGACGATAGACCTCACTTCGACTGTGCGCAAGTCTGCCTCTCACACTCTCAAAGTGCACAACCCCCTCTCTACTGCAGTCAACGTGACCCTTAGTAGCAACACGTCGGAACTGTCTGTACCATCTCCTGTCACTCTGCCGCCAGAGGCTGAGGTGAGTCGTCTTTGTAAGAGCAGAAAAAGTGTCGCCTGCTGACGTTTTGCGGACAGAACTCATGAAACGAATTGGAAGGATGTTGTTTTACAGGATAATATTTGCAATAATACTTCTTTGAAAATTCGTTTGTTTTTAGGGCTCAATCAGCGTCGACTATTTGCCCCTGAAAGAAGGTGAAAATGTCAGCCGAGTGCAGCTGCAATGCAATGAGCTTGGACTGTTTGTGTATGAGTTCAGAATGAAAGCGCTCCCGGCTGGACTCGAACGCCCGATGTTCTTCAAGACTACTCTGGGGTCGAACCAAGCTTTGACTGCAAAAATTGTGAATTATTACAAAAGCAAAACTGACTTTACTTGCCAAGTAACTACCATTTTAATTCTTTCAACTTTTTTATGCATATAAGTTTTTTTATCAAGTGCATGAACGACATTTTGGTTGCCATAAAATGATCATTGTTAAAATAAAAATGACTGTTTACATGTAAAAGAGAAAGTGATTTTCATTAGTATAGCTCTTGCTGATTTTTTTAGGAAAAAGGCTCAAATTCTATTTTTCGGGGTTTGGCTTTTGATATTTTTAACTTTCTGTTCATTTTTTGCTAAAATGAAGGCAAACTCCACTATCGAACATCAAAAGTGTAAAGGTCACGAAAAACGTGATTGACTTCTTATTTCGAAAATGTCAATATTTATCAAAATTCGAGAGATTTTTTCAAGAAAACAATTCACCATTTGTTTTCTGTTTACTTGCGTTTATCGACTATTTCCCAGCTGCCTGTTGGCTGTGTTTTTTAGTGTAATTTCAAAGAAATAAAAAGATTATGTTTGAAAAAAAGGGCGAACCACTTTCCCTTTTCTTGAAATGGGGGAGATTATTAAATAGAGCATTTTATATATTAAAAAAAAACAGTTTTGAATTTTTTTCTAGTAGTACATTTCTTGTAGATTCTGTCAGTGGACGGCAGCAATGCAGTTCAGGATTTCACGATTGAGAAGACGGTGACTGCCTCTTCAGGGAGTGTGGGTGGATCTGAAGTGCCTCTAGATGTCACCTACGAACCATCAGCAGTCGGAGACTTCAAGGCCATGCTAGAGGTCGGTTAAGTAGTCAATTGACGAACACTTCTGAAAACCTTGCGACAATTCATTGATAGTTTTTTGTCATACTTACTTTTTGCTTTGGGCTCTATCGCATTTTTTCGATATGCTCTTCGAACTTGGAAAAAAACATTTGTTTTCATCATTTTTTTGTAAAAGTTGAGCAATTTTAGAAGCTTTGAGGCATGTCGATTTTTGTGTAGATTTTTTTGGTTTTCACCTGGTTTTCAGATATTTAAGAAATTGAAATAAAATTACCCAATAACAATTAACATTTTTTTAATGGGCACTGCACAAAAAGTATAGCGTACAGAATAAATAAATATGTTTTGGCCTCCCAGTCATAGTCAAAATGTGCTCGCCGAGCCTAAACGCAAATTTGGAAGAAAAGCTGAAAGTGAATAGTTGAAACATTTTCTCGTTTCCTGCAGGTTTCGTCGTCACATGCCGGAGACTTCCAGATCCCGCTGTTTGCTACATGCTTGGCTCCCAAACCACAAGGACCCTACGTCATAAAAGCCAACTCAAGCACACCAATTGTATTCAAAAATGTCTTCAACCAACCGGTGAACTTCTACATGACAACCGACAATAAATGTTTCTCAGTTCGGGAATCCGACTCCATTCGTGCTAAGAAGTCGCACAGTATTATGGTGTACTATGAGGGAAACCCAGACGGAAGTAAAAACACGAAAATGGGGAAGCTGAAAGTATACTGCCCTCGAGAACTTACAAACGGAGAAAATATTGTCTGGATTTTTTACCTGAAAGGAGTCACGCCCTAGATTTTGTTCGTTTGAAACACGAATCAAACTTCTATCACGTTTTAGTTATATCTGATTGAGGTGAAAACTCTGAAAGTGTTATAAAATCAAATGTGAATTGTAAATAATGTAAATAATTTTAATTAATGTTGTAATTTTAATCAAATGCGATTTGCGTCAAATCCATAATAGATATTTTGGAAGTAAGAGCACATATTTTATTTACCGTATGACTCACAAGAAAAATATTGTGTAACAAGTATAGCGGATTGCTCTGCAAGTATGACAAAAATTACAGATAATTTGCGGGAAAAATGTTTTTACTGAATTTGTGCCCTTTTTTCTTTTTTGGGCTTCAATAACTATTGAGTAAGAAAATTTATTTTGAGAAAAGAAGCTCCTGGGGACGTAATACTCCCCTTGTACGACATACTAATGTTGTGCTTGATTTTTCTATCAAAAAAAAGTTAGTTCGCTGGTCTAACAAGTTTTCTGGTCGATGTCATCATGACGACAAAAGTATTTGAGCCGAAAGTTTAATGAAACAAATGAAAGATCAGTTATTTTGAGGGCAAAATGCACGTAGGTTAATTCAGGACCAAACAAGGAAAGCTGGCAGGTAGAACTAAATTAAGTTAGCTGATAGACTTTAGAAAAGCTGATAATCATATCCAGGGGCGGATTTAGGGGGGGGCCGACCTAAATTTTTTCTAAAGGCGCCCTGGGCGCCAATATATCCTCATTCATTTTGAGGGGAAGCGCGCGCCAAAAAAAAACGCAATTTTTTAATCAAAATTTTCTAAGAAGTGCCCAAAAACGGCTTTTTTGACCTGTTTTTCAAAAATTTGCCTGCGGCGCAGAAAATTGGGCCAAAACAGCGTCTTTTTAGTGCTTTAGGAAAGCTCGGAAAATCAATTTGGTCGACCTAAAAAAAAAAGTTCGTCAAAATTTTTTGAAAATCCGCCCCCCCCCTGTCGAGAAAATCCTAGATCCGCCCCTGATCATATCCTATTGTTAAATTGGAAGTAAAGAGCAAAAGCTTGAACCAAAGAACATTGTCATTCCAAGCCTGTGCGCAATCTCAAACCAAACTAAAAGCTGGGACTGTGCAAAGTAAGTTGTTGATTTTCTGGACCAAGTTGCTATCCGGAAAAGTCTAATACCCGGTTGCACTACCGGTAATCGCGGGGGTATAAGAATTCGGTTTATAAACACTGAACTCGCTCTCCCGAAGGAAATCCTTGTCGATGAGTCAAGGTCAAAGACTAAATTAAGGTCATAGACTAATGAAATAAAAACAAAAAAGCAAGCACAACGTTTCACCTAACTGGGAAAATTTTAAATACTACAAATTAAAAATGAGAAGGGTCCTTTTTTTCCTCTGGAACAGAGAAGACTAAAAGCGTAGTTTAAATCACAACTAGTTGTTTTTTTTTAGAAAAAAAAAACAACTTTTTGCATCAACGAATTGAATGGAGAAGGTTTCTAATGGTTACTGAGAATAATTATGAAGCAAGGTTTAGATAAATAAACTATTCTAATGATAAAATTGATATGCACAATTTAGGTACACTAACTAAGAATTAAAGGAGAAGAATAATTTTGTCAATTAAAATGCCTGTTCTCAAACTATAACAAACATTGAAAATGATCGACCGTTGGTCGATTCATAGCATAGTTGGCAGGTATGTTATCAATACCAAAGTTCAAAAGATCAAACAAAATGAACAACTCACAACATTCCCCAGCGGTAAAAAAATTAAAATTTACAATTAACTAAGAACAAACTCTATATACACCAATTTCCCCCTTCCAAGTACAGTGAAGAAAATTTGCAAACTGCACAAAACTAAATGAAATGAACAGAACAAAAAATTAAGTATTTACAGTTTGGGATTAGTATTTACAAATTTGTACAAACGGTGACTTTTACAAAATTTACTTAATCTACACTAATAATATAAAGAGAATAAATACAAAACTACGCTACCCAATGTACATCTAAATGTACACATAAATAAAATGATAGAGTTATGTAAATGTGAAATGAAATCTTAAAAAGGATAAGATGTTGATGATAAAAAGTTAGAGTTTATTTAAGTTCCTGGAGTTTTAATTGAATGTTGCATCAAATTCATCTAGAGGATGTCTCAAATCCTGGTCAATTGTCGACGAGATTTCACTCATGGCGTCCTGAACTTTTTCGCTGCTAAATCGTTCCGTGTTTTCCCCATTGGAAGAATTCCACTAAGTTGAATTCAGGGAAGCATAATGAGAAGCTCCGTTGAAGTGGAATTATTAGAGGACCAGGTAAGTGTTGTTTCGACGACAATAGTCTGTTTTTGAAGAGATTTAGGGAGAGGAATGAGTAAGTCCGATTTTGACTATCAAAGGAAGGCTGAGGGTGTCGCTAAGTCGGTCTCGAGTCTTGAAATCTTCTCACGTCCTCTACGTTATCGACGTATCTGCGCTCTCCGTAAAACTGTGGGGAACATACATTTCGTCTGGGTCTGGACAAAGGCCTTGTCTGAGTGACCATGTGGGTCCTTTAAGCTCTTCGGTTTCTGAGTTTGTGTTCATATAGCCGCCTCTAAGACTCAAGTCATTGTAATGATATGTGACTCTTTTCTGACATATCGGAGCGTTGTTGTTCGGAACGACCTCGAAGTATTCATCAATGAAGCTGTACCAAGAGTTTAAACTTAACGAAGAAGACGAATAAAAGGAACCTGAGATGTTCTGGAATGATCACTAGTTCCGGCGGGAACTGAATGATGCCAAGAGTCAGCATCGTGTTGCCAGAAATCGCCTTCTTAAGGGTGTCTGTCCGGATGGCCTTCTTGGGTAGCGACATTTTCCTTTTTCCAGCTGAAATAACCATGTTTTCACGAACAGTACCCATACATGGTGGATTAACAAGAGTTTTTGGAGGGCCCGGAGGTATTTTCCATTTGATCGCTAGATCTGAATTTTGTAAAACGTGTCCAATTTGTAATGTAACCGTAATTTCAAAGTAATCAATGATTGCCCCCTTGACGGGATTAAAGTACGGGTATCTTGTTGTTTTTTTTCTCGAGAGGTTACGTCGAATGGTCAGCTTCGCTTGTGACGTTTGGCGGAAGGTCCGGTTTTCTTGAGGAGATCTTAGCCAGAGGGATGTTCGCTTCTAAATCCGAAGAGAGATCCGAGTCCAGGTCGTCGTATCCATCCTCTGCCTCATCATGGAGCTCCCAGTTCCTCGCCCGATGGTGTGACAAGATCGATTTCCCATGATCAAAACGGTTATCAAGGGAAATCAAGTTTTTCCACTTAGTACTAGCAGTATGGTTGAACTGTTTTTCGAACGGTGTACAACCAATGGAAGGTTGTTTTGTAATTCGTGCGTTCCAAAAAATTTTTTCGATTGAGGAAATCAAAATCAATTTGGGTAATTCGTAAGATATAGCAAGAAGCTTGGATTTTACGGTATTTACAAGTCTTTCTACAGGTCCGTTTGATCTATGTTCTCCTACTGTACAATAAATAATTTCGACATTGAATTCCTCACAGAGAGATTTAAAATCGTGTGATAACCAACGTGACCCATGGTCGACTCTGATTTCTTTTTCTTGGAGCGCCGTTAAGATGTCAATTATCGTTCAAGAAAGAAATGACTGAAGTTGGCAGGTATTGGTAGTCTTTTTTGCGGAAAGAAATTTGGGAAATCGATCGATGCAGAGAAGAATGTATTTCTTCATCCCCAAAAGCGTTCAAAGGGCCGGCGAAATCTAATTTTATCTCTTCAATAGCAAATGACAATTCCGGAAGTTTGCTCGAGTCCTCCGATTCCAACAAAGTTTTAAGGTTATTATCGGCTTTCAAGCACTAGCTGCATGACTTGCTATGGTGGTAGTTCTCTCTAAAAATATGCGCCCACCAGATAAATTCAGCCAGAAATTTCAGGATGAATTTGAACTGAGAGCCCCTCGGATCGCTGCTTGAACCATAAATTTGTTGTCCAGGAATAGGAGCTCATCCTTAATGCGCAAGTCCTTCTCGTAATTCTTCATATGCTATCCATGGATTCCCAGTGGGCGGCCGTTCTCTAGTGTCGTTATTTAATCCCATAAAATTTTATCGTCCCTGGTCAACTTTGGAAACGTTTCTCTGAACAACGATTTTCTGGTATTAGCGGTGATGATCCTTTTTTTAAATTTGCTTTATATTGTTTTGATAAGGCGGCATGATCGCTATTTAGAGTGTCGTCTTTAAATTTGAGGGCAAATTTTTGTTCTTCTGGAACAATTAATAGCGTTTGTGAAAAATTGGTATTCGACGTACACACAGTCTTCATTTTTTGCAAAAATTCTCCTTAAGCATTATGAAATGTAACAGGGCCTTATCCATAAACGAACTGCTTTTGAAGTTGAATTAGGAATTATCTATAGGTAAACAATTAGATGGCAGTTTTCTGATCTAACGTGGGAGTTGTTGCCAATTTTGAGCGACTGACCAATCCAAGAAGTGTTAGCGGCAAAAATTTTGAGTTAAAAAAAAGCTAAAGAGTGATCGGTAAAATTTCAACCCATCACAGTACTTGAACTATTCGTTCCCGACGAGAAATTAGTATATAACATTGTATTTGGGGTGACCCACGTTCAATCTCTAATTACTCTATATACAGGAATAAATTAGATAAATTCGTTAAGATATTTCGAGTTTTGCCGATCGAAGCCACGACAAACTCTTCGTCGTAGTGGAAAGGGGGTAAAACTTTGCCTGAAGGCGTTCTTGATAACAGATCTCTGAATCCCATATCTTTACCCGAAGGATGAGAAATTTTGAAATTAAATAGTAAAAACGTGTTTACCCATGGGGTTAGTCTGATGGGCTTTGGTTTGTTACTATAGTTCGCGGAAAGCGCAGATAATAGCGCGTTGTGATCCATAACGATTTCCAAATCAGAACCATATAAATAGCTTGTAAAGTGTGCAGATGTCCAGACTACACCTCAGAGTTCCAGGTCGTTTGTATAGTGTTTCTCATTTCATCGTTATTCAAAAATCTCGAAGCGACATCAATGGTTTTCCACTCTCCCCCTTGAAACTGTTTTTCAATCTTGTTTTTTCTTTGATGTCTAAAGGACTATTCTCGATAATATTTACAAATTCAGATTTTACTTTTTTAAATACAATAGAATGACTGTTGTTCCATTACAACACTGACTT